TGTGTAACCGGTCAGAACAAGTATCCCTGTACGACTGCTGAGTTAAGGACATCCTCTGGGAGCGTCGCACGGGCTGGACTCAGGATTGCGGCGAGTATTCCTTCGTCCTCCTACTATCCGTTGCCGGGTAGCGCAGCCCTATAGAAAGTATGCAGCGACGCACCGCGATGGTAATCCTATTGGGCTTTAGCTCCGTGCGCCATGGTCAAGATGTATCGCTGAAATTGATACAGCGTAAGAAGAAAATCTCAGATAGTTGTTATGCAAGATCATGACTTTACTAACGCTACTCTACTTCAGCGTCTTATGCTTGCTGTCACGAATCCGTACTATAACGAAGACCGCAATCTACTTCTCTTTCGCACCCGACTCCGAACCCGTGTTCTCCTGACCTTCACTCGCGTTCTCCAAGTACTGCTGAACATTCGAAGCTGGAATCGGCAGCGGGGCATTGCGCTTACTGCTCTTTATCATAACCTGCGACAGCTCGAGTAAGAAGTCCCTGGGCAGCTCATCTTCAGGATCTTTGAGCCAGACCTCTGTCCCGTAATCGTGATACAAATCGACAAGTAGCCGGCGTGCAGGATTCGTAGGCGAAGCCGTTCCGTCGTAGACAGTTTGAACGATATCCGCCGGAAACCAGAACGCCCCGTTCGTATCTGGGGTACGCATCTGCGAGAAGAAGCCATGCATAACCGCATTCTTTGCGGTAGAATCCATGAGTTGCTCGGCCAGGACGTAGACCTTTGCCAGCCAGGGGAAGTCAGGCACACCATCCTCTGTTCTTTGCGACACCGGAAGTTTATCCGTGTAGAGGAACTCCAGGTAAACAGCCATTGCTTCGCTGTCCACGTCTGGCATGCGCAAGGTGCGGTCATTTGATTCGGCCCAGTGGGCGTTCAGGGCGTTCTTGAAGTAATCTGATCGCGCGATGAGTAGATCTTGGTGGATTTGGAATGACTCCTCCGTCGACTCTCCACCGTTGACAATGATGGTAATGAGCGGAGACTTGATGAAACTATGTAGGAACGTTAGCAGATCATCCTTAGAGTAGAAGGACTTGTACTTACGTCGTAGTCGACTTTGCCTCGCCGATATCCCGTACTTCAGTCATCTTGGGTCCGCTAGTTGTTGGTTGTGGCCAGGGTACGATTCGTTCGCGGTGGTGTTGTGGTGCTTTCTTTTCGAAGCGCGGGGTCGCGTTATATGTGCCCAAACGTTAGTGCAAACGTTAGCGATAAGTGAAAGACTAGGTAGGTAGCTTTCCTGAGCCAAAAGTGAAAAGTGTTAGTATTTTCACAGTGACGCTGGCGGGCGGCAGTGTACCACATCAGTAAAGTCGGTTTCTAGTCACCGAGGTTTCGAAAAGCAGATTGTGACGTCAGTAACCAGAATTTCCTTCGCCACGGCGAATCGGTCTCACAGATGAAGAGTGTTACCGGTCGCTCGCGTAACCCCACGTCCTCGCGAAGCGCTACTGCGACCCAGAATCGCGGAACCTGCTCCCCCGACCACGACAGCGCAGTCTCGAGCGGAAAATTCCGAAGGCCGACGCTTGATCACGGGCTCAAGCGTCATCCGCACTCTGTACAGCGGGATGGCGAGCGCGGCGACCCCCACGCGCAGGTTCGTCGTCGTCGCAGGCGATGCTGATTAAGGAGCGGAGGGCGGACTTTGCGCAGAATTTCGTGTGCGAAGTTGCGTGCAGGATGATTGAGATTTACGGGGGTAGAAGTTTGGATGTTAAGGAGTTGTGGAAGACGTGTCATGAAAAGCGGTATATGGGGACTGCGGATGGCGAGGGGCAGGGGAGAAGGAACGGGAGATGGTGGATGAGTCCGATAGGGATACGAATATAGCATAAGTTTCTTGGAGGGCAGGGGGATGCTACCCTTGCCCAGGCCCACTCCAAGCATCTCTATTCCCATCACGCTATTTCCGGTGGCTTCACAACCTGGGGCACCAACTCAACCCAATAGCCCTGCACTCAGAAATTAGCCAAGCCCCTCAAGCAAATCCCCTACACTCCCATAGTAGAGCACTCACATCAGGATCCCTAACAAACGCCAACTGCCTAAACACATGCTTATACCCTTCATCCACCGCACCGGCTCTTCCCTCAACCACCTCCTGCGGAACAGCCATCTGGTCCTCCTTAGCCTCGCCGAGCGGCTTGATGACTTCGTAGCCGAAGCTTTCCACGTGCTTGATGGCTTCCGCTACGTCTGGCACCGTGAAGCCAATGTGGCCGAATCCGATGCCGGAGGGGTTGCTCGTGTAGTCGTTCCCGGAGGTGTAGGAGAGGCTGGAGTCGGAGGGGATGTGGTAGAGTTCGAGCAAGCCCTTCGAGGTTCCAAGGCTGGAAATAGCTGCATGAATATGTCAGTGCTCCTTCTTAGAGGAAGATTTATGTGTTTTGGGAAGCTTCGATCCGAAGCGTGGGAGCTGGGGTCGAGCGAGAGCTCAGCACGCACTAACGTCACGTGGTCCGAGATAGTAAATCGTCCAAGGCCCCACGTTGAAGATGAAGACGACATGCAGCCCGAAGCAGTCGTTGTAAAACCTCAAGCTCTTTTTCGGGTCCTTGATACGCAGCATCAGGTGGTTCAGCCGATACTCTGCCGTTGCTGGGGACGCTGGCCGCGGCGGTGGTATGATGTGCTGCCCTGTTGGATATGGGCCTGGTGGTTCATTTGGGTTCTCAGACGCCATGTTGGCCGTATTGTTTTCTGGGTACGAGTGTAAGGGTATGTAGGTCGGGAAGTTAATGATAGAGGAGGTCCTTATTTCCTAGACCAAGGCTAGCGAGAACGGTAGTCAGCATTAGGCGTGGGTAATCTACAGTACACAGCTAAGGGTTACTTACGGGTTCAGTTAAAGGGTATGCGGCCAAGGGGAGTGCTGTAGGTTGGTATAAATGGAGTCGAACAAGAAAAGCTATGAATCCACGGCATGTGGGGCTTGTGCGGGGTAGCTTGCGAGGAATGTGGAGAAGCGGTTTCCATGCATCTTCGGGTTGTGGTAATATTGTAGACGGGATATTCTCATCGGATCTCGGTAGATTAGGGACATAGCCACCTCATGCCGCTGACGAGTTGCGGTCGCCATAACACCCCATTTCGTACAGGGTTCTCCGAACCTGACCCTCGGAGAACACCGCTCCAAATGGAGACACGCATTCCTCTTTAAAGCCTGCCCTCGCCGGGTGCCGTCGCCAGCGGCGTTAGAATCCATAGTGGACGGTCATCTTAACGCTGCCTACGATACATTCCCAGCCTGGGTACTGCCGTCAAGTCAGCATTCGTTCTACCCTGTCGAAATATGCGACTTGATCTGCGAGTCTTGGGGAAGTTCTCCCGCTCTCCAATAATGGCATTTCGTCCCCGAGCCAGGTTGTCGGAGGACTTAAGCATTGAAGGCAGGTAAAGTTAGCCGCGAGAAAGAACATCGACTTACCTTAGCCCTCGCCCAGATCAACAGACGATCCCCCTCCTTCAGCTCCTGGAGAAATCCCTCGCCACGCCCAGCTCCTTCGTTACCCTCGAAATGGTCAAAGGCCCAGACTACTCGGTAATCATATCGTGGAACCCATGCCACACGGTTACCCTGGAGATACCACGCAAGGTGGCCTTCGCCAGCCTGTGGACCCTGCTCTACAGACTCTGGCCGAGTAACGAGAGTCCAACCATAATCCTGCAGCATGCGCTGTAATTCGAGCGGAGAGCTCTGGCGCTTGAACATTAGGTGGGCGGGGGGAAGGTCTCGCATAACAGAACCTGGGCGGAAAATTGATACCTCCAACCAGGAAGAAGTGTTGAAGGTGCCTCCGGTGTGCTCGCTGGTCCATCCTTGGTCGCGGCTCTCAATCCAGAATTCAATCTCCTTGACTTTTGGCGTCTCTGTGCTACTGCAAATATGGCGCAAAGTATCTGGACTGAGGATTCCGGCCTCTAGAGAAAGGCTAGCGCTCACCGAAGCGCTTATCCCTGCTACAGCTCTTCCGAGGCGAATGCTGGTGAATTTGAGTGCGGGCCAATAGCGAGCGCGGTCCAGAATTTCGAGCACGAGCTCGGTAGGGAGCTTCAGGGCGTTTAGCATCGCTCGGGCGACGCAAACATCCGCGTATGATGGCGAATGCATAGCGCGAGTGCATTTGCTCCCCAACGACGCCGTGTTGATGGATTGTCGCTGTTGTGGTTGTTCCGAATCGCCAGGGGGGCTCATGATCAGCGATCGAAGGAAATTCGAGCCAATATCGAGTACTCGACGCGGATCCATTATCGGCGGTAATCCAGCTTCCAGCAAATCAAGGCGGAGAACGGCCGCGTTGTTGTTGCACGTTGGTGGGTTGTTGGAAGTGGTGACAAGACGTGCGCACGGGCGTGACATCAGGCCCCGGGGTCAAATTCTCGCTAATCCAGGAACGGAAAGGCGCAGCACGGATCTTCATTCCCGCAGACACCTCACCTAGGCACTCTATCACCTTGCTTACCAACGTCTACATTCGGTTCAGGTGGAGGCCCAACGTCCTGACCTACGAGAGGTTCTGCATCTCCGGCGCGATGTCCTCATTACTCACCTCTCCATGAACTTCAGGACAAATTCATCGACTATGCGTTGCTATCCGCTATATTCCCACCAGACGTTCAAAGAACTTCTCTAGTCCATGTGGCATGGCAATCGTTCCTCCAAACACATACTGATAATTCCACCTTCTACCCAATCTCCAACGCAGTGTACCCCTCCACAGAGACTACGTTAGAAACCTTGGAATCAGACGGCACTTTATTACCCAAGCACTACAGATACCCCTCACGGCAATTACTAACACTTCATTGTAGTCTGTGGTTTGGATAATGTCCCCGTCAAGACTTGTGGGATTTGTAATACTCTCGCCCATTACTAAGATGCACAAACGCGCTGATTGGACAAGCCCGCGGTCCGCCCTCCGCCTAGCATATTCTTGCCGTAACGCGTGATTAACAATACTCCTTCTAGTCTCTTACATTCGCATAGCATGTCAGAACCGTCAGAACCGTCAGTCAGAAAGACATCGCTTCTAGCTGCGCAGAACCCATCTACATAACCCGTCCTCACCCCCTCTTCCCTCCCCCATCCAAGCTCTCCCTCTCCCCCATTCGCCATGGCCCCCCTCCGCACCGCCCTCATCGGCCTCTCCGCCTCCGCAAAAGTAACCTGGGCCGCCGACGCGCACCTCGCATACCTCCTCTCCCCCCGTGGGCGTCAACACTTCTCGCTCACCGCGCTGCTAAACTCCAGCGTCAGCGCCGCGGAAGCCGCAAAGCGCGAGTTCCAGCTCCCAGAACGCGTCAAGACGTACGGCGATCCCGCCGCGCTCGCAGCGGATTCTGATGTCGACCTCGTGGTGTGCTGCACGCGCGTCGACGTGCACTTCCCAACCATTGCGCCGGCGCTGCGCGCGGGCAAGGGCGTTTACGTCGAGTGGCCGGTGGCGGAGAATCTGGCGAGGGCGCTGGAACTCACCCAGGGGGTCGGGGTACCGAATAGCGTTGTTGGGCTGCAGGGCCGCGTGATGCCGGTCGCGCTGCGCCTAAAGGAGATCCTAGCCGCGGGGACTATCGGCGCGGTGCTTAGTAGCGACGTCAAGGCGTTTGGGAATCTGCTTGCGCGCGATGGGCTGCCGGAGGGGTTGACGTATTTCGCAGACCGCAGGGTGGGCGGGCATCCGGTGAATATTTCGTGGGGCCATACGATTGACTACGTCCATGAGGTGCTGGGAGAATTTGAAGACTTTAGAGCGCGGATGCAGATCCAGCGGCCGCAGCTGAAAGTGTTCGACGCGGAGGGGCGGGAGAAGGGGATGGTGAAGTCTGATGTACCGGATCTGCTCGCTCTGCATGGGACGCTGAAGAAGAGTGAGGGGAGGATCAGGGTTGTTGACGGGGCAGTGCTGTCCGCGACTTTCCGCCTCGGACCGCCGTTTAAGGGTGAGCCGGGGTTTGTCTGGACGATTAATGGCGAGAAGGGCGAACTTTTGATTACGGCTCCGGGGCCTTATATCTTCTCGGGGGATTCGTATAATGGCCCAGTTAGCATCAAGCTGCATGATCATTTGACGCACCAGGTTAGGGAGCTGGGATGGGAGTGGCAGGACTGGCAGAAAGAGCTGCCGATCCGAGCGCGTATTACGGGGGAGGTGTATGAGCGGTATGCGGAATGGGTGGAAAATGGGATGGGGGAGGTGAAGGAAGGGCGGGAGTGGCCGAGGTTGGGGGATGGGTTGGAGAGGATGAGGGAGTTTGAGAGGTTGTATGGGGATTTTGATCCGAATTGGAAATAGACGTTTCGTCGTGCTAGCTTTAGTCGCTTCTGACCGCGAAGGCTCTGTGGCTAGACGACGGGTATGCACCCTCAACCACGCTAGCCCATGAGTGCTTCCCATCGTACATGCCTACCGCCATATAACTTTCCAACGGCCCAGGCACGCAAGCGTCTCCGGCATGTTGCATCTAGTTTAGTAACTTTGCTTGCTTGGTAAGCGTCCCTAGGGAGGATCGTCCCTGCATCAGATGTCGCAGCATGGATTTAGCCTATCCCAGCCTATACAACCAAGCACGCACGCACGCACGCGTCTATGCTTCAACGAACCGTAATCCAGGCTTACGGTACGAGATCGAATGAGATGGATCTCAAACGCATGACTGTAAATTCCGAAGAGCAGGGAGGGTCTTGTGGTTCATGAGGGGAGGGAGGGAGGGACATGAAGACTTGAGATCGTGATATTGAACCAACAATGCCAAAGGTATCTAAACGAAAACATGCAAGCCATAGCGTTACATCATACATACAACATGCCCATCATAACGGTCGCGACGGCCAACCATCCCGTCCTGCCTCCAGCCCGCCACGCAGTTCCAGCGTTCGACAGCTCCGCACCCTGGTTCGGCGGCAGCGGCGGCGGCACACTCCCGCCCTTGACCTGGCCCCCGCCGCTAATACTCGACGGATCCCCCGTACTGCCCTGGACACACTGCGCCGTGCCATTGCGGAACATGCGGTCGACCACGCCCTTCCACACCATGGTGACGTCGTTGATCATAGGCGCCGTGTAGAACATCCTGCAATCCGCAGCTTCGTAGATAAACTCCAGCGGCGTCTGGCTTGTGTCGTTGCGGCGCAGGTTATCGCGGAGATTGATGCCGCCTGCAGGGCGCCCGCCGCTGTATACAGTGCGCTTGAAGAGCTGCTCTGCGAAGGCGGTTCTCCCGAGGGCGGTGTCGTTCCATTGGGCCTGCTGTTCTGGGCTCCCGAGGCTGGAGCAAGGGTAAGCTTGAGATGAGGGTAGGGGATAAGAATGGAGGACGTACAAGTAGACGATCTGGGTGCGGATTTGTATATCGTCCCATTCGAAGTTTTGCGCGCCTTTGGTGCCGCCGATGCCTTGCATGGGGGCGAGCTTGGGCTGGCCGCCTACGGCGATCGTGCGGACGCCGCCTTGGTTCTTGAGGAGCTCGGAGGCGATGGTGCATGTGGAGGAGCACATGCCGTCGTGCAGCTGGCGGGTATTAGGAAGCGTTCACGTGGGGGATGACATCGAGGACTTACCAAGACCATGTTCTCCGCCTTGAACGGCTGCGGAGTGCTTGTCTCGTTCGAGTTATTCAGAAACCCGATGACCGAGAATCCCGGATACGTATAGCTCGCCTCGTCGCTGAAATTGTATCGAATAGTCGAAGTGAAGTTATCTCCGTTAATCACTTCCGGTCCAAACATCTCATCCCAGCTCTGGATAGCTTCATCATTCACATCGAGCTGATGCTGATAGTTAAGCCCCACGGTATACAAGAAGATATCTTCCGGTGTGCTGCCGTTGAAGTTCTCGGCAAACGCGGTCTCGTTGGTCTGTACGTACGTCTGGTTTGCGTTGAACTCGCTCACCATCGCGCCGGAGATGTTCACGGCTTCGTTGGCCCGATAACGCGTGGCGCCGAAGGGCTCCTGGTCCGCTTGCGGAAACACCTGCTTGAAGGAATCATAGCCGAGGATAGCGTTGCCGCCGCCGTTACCGCGGAGGTCGAAAACCATTTTCGTTTTATTGGCTTTGACGGACATGCGGATGAAGTCGCGCATGATGTTTTGGAAGAGTTGGACATCGGGTGATTCATAGGAGGGAATACTGAGAACCGCAGTGTCCTGAAAGATGGTTAGTGAAGGCAATGTGAAAAAAGAGGAGCTCGGCTTACCTCGTATCCAGTTTCATTGATGAAGTAGCCACCAATAGAGAGATTGGGATGGATGATGATCGCTTTGGGGTACCCCGTATGCGATGGTGCTGCCGTCGACGTAGCCGTTGCAGTGGCCGTGGAAGTAGTCGTGGTGGGCAAAGGACCAGTGCAGAACTTGCTGAAGAAGGCAGGCCCACTATCGACACCAGAGAAGTCACCGAATACAACCGCAACATTCATCGTAGACTTGGTCGTGCCATTGGCAAATGACATGTTGGTGTTCGGACCCTGGTACTGGCCCGTCCTAAATGAACCAAGGAAGGTGACGCCGGTGGCGATGAGAGACTGGCTCGGAAAAAGAGCATTCCATCTCGTATCCGCATCATGAAAGTCGGCTTGGACCGCAACCTTTGAGAGGTACTCCTCAACGCCCTGTCCATTGATAGTCCGGATGGGTGATGGCTGGAACGAGCTGTCATTCTTGGCGAGCTCCAGGTCACGGTAGGCGAAAATTTCTGGGAGAGCATTTCCATCAGAGGAGACCGAAACCAGTTCTGTGCCCGGAGACCGCTGAAACTGCATAACTCCTGCCAGGATATCCGGTTGCCAGGCTAGGTGGTTGTCGTAGGCTCGATTGAATAGCTGGTTCAGGTCCAATTGGAAATCATACTCGTTTGCATAGCCACCCGATGCGAGCTGCTTCTTCATGCTCTCCATCTCCGCCATTATGTCCACCGGTGCTTCTGTGTAGTCTGGCGGCGGGTTCTTGAGGAATGCGAGGTTCGACTGCCACTCCAGGTAGAGCTTCAGGTCGTCTATCAGCTTCATGTTGCCATCCCTATCCAGAGGAACCGATTGTAGACACTGTACTCCCAACTCTGCTGGTACCACTTTCCGACTACCCGAGGGTAAGGCTTGTATCGCGCTGCTTATTATGGCACATGGCTCTGCGAGGCCGGGAGTGCTGGGAGCCGTAGGGGCTGGGGAAGGCCGAGGCGTTGTCGTATTGGAGGAAGACGTGGTGTTCTCTCCCGCTGCTGCTACCGCACCGGCGACTGCGACTTCGTTGATATCGAGTCCTGGGGCCTTAGGTACGCCGTATAACATGTACGGGTTGGAACGTGCGGCCGCTGACCCGAAGGCGGCGCTGAGGAGAAGAAGGGAGGGATGCATTTTCGTGACCGTACTCGCGGATTCGTCTGCATTCGGTGATCGTCTAGAGCTGGTCCACCTGCTTGCTCAGGGTAACAGTGATGCGCAATTCTTTTCTTGGGGAATTAATATTAGGCGACTAGAGCGAACCAGCGCGTGTAAGATGGGGTATCAAGAACGGAAAGGACAATTAAGAGACGAATAAATCTATGACCAGAAGCAAAAGGCGCACAATAGGTGTTCAGAGAGGTACTTCAAGAGGCATAGAGGCGGAGAGGGATACCTCTGTGACCGTACCGCGCGCTGCGAACACTTGCGGATCAGGCGGGTATTTGGATGGCCCCTCGCACCGGCAGTGGAGGGGCAGAACAGCGAGGAGAGATAACTTAGCCTGTAGCAAGAGCGTCGCATTGTCAATGCGTGAGATGCCGACGCTGAGCTAAAACGCAAAAGTCGACGATGCGAAACCCTACGCGTGTCCGCATGCTCATCCCACTCTGCAGCGCAAAGCGCGTGAAACAAACATCCCACGCAGCTCGAGATTCGTGAACTGTAAGCGCTGAGAAGAAGGGTCGCGTGCTCTGTCGGAAGCATGGCGTCCGGGCGTTGGAGGCAGCTTGGGCGATGCTTGCGTGCGATGGTGAGGTCTGGGGTGGTGTTGAGGGATCATCGCCAGACGAACGCGAAACAGACCTGGGGGTGGCTTGAGCGGTTTCCGCGCTAGCCGCCTCTGTAACTAGCTTAGATTGCCGAACCCAGGCCTTGGGCATCGACCAGCATCCTCTATGGGCGTTGCACATGGACTTGATTGTGCCTACCATGGTGGAGAACCTGCCGGGCCGTTGGGCGGACCATAACCTGTCTGATTAACACAGTACTACATTGAACATTTAAACGTTCTATTCATGGCATATAACTAGATTATCGTAGCTATTAGATTACTAGCGATATGTTAGTCTATTAGTACCTATCATCTTCTACATTCTACCAGAAGTGAAATGAGCGATTACAGGCCGCTTACACGATAAGCACGCTACACCCAACAAAAGGACGGTAAAGCCAGCATAGTATCAAAAAGGCTCTCCGGAACGCATACTCATGTAACCAGGCGCCCAGCGCTTGAACTTGCTATCTCCCACCCCGTTTCCCATATTCGACAGCCGACAACGGAGAATTATCAGCTGCAACTACAAGCAGCGGCTTCGCGATTGCCCAGTCCATATGTAGCCAGGTCTCTCCGTCGCAGTGATGTGTACTCAGACAAGCGCCTATACTCTCAGCGGAGAGTGAAAGGGCTTCCCACATGCTATGTCCCGTCGATCTCACACATGAACCTTTCGCTCAATCACAGCTCTAGACCCACTTGCCTCTTCGGGGCGACTATGGTTGTTTGGACTGTTGTGCCACTACGATCCGTAAGTGAAGGAAGCTCTCGGGAGGTCTCATTCCAAAACGTTTGTTGTCCAAGGCTAAGTATGTCGGTAGAGCTGATCTGACGAAGGGCAGAGTTTTGGTTGAATCGGCTGCATCAACGACCCTTTGATCGGTGGAAGGAATGACGCATTCTCTGTTTCGGTGAAACAAGATACTTGGCTATGTTTGGCTGTATCTGCAACGCACAGATTTGAGGACGTTTTAGCCCGGGACAATCTTTGATCAGTTGAAGAACCCGCCTCTGGCTTTTGAATCGTCGAATGCAGCAATTCTACATCGCCCGTCTTCCTCATTGTTGGCCTTGGTGCAGTAACGGCTGGCTGGCTCGGGTCTCCCCGCTGGTATCCGTGCTCTTCCAAGACCTGTCGAAGGACGCTTTGAAGCTCATTGAGCCCGTACTCTTCGCATAACTGAAGTCCAATCGAGGGAGATACATATGTCCCTGCTGCGCCGCCTGCACGAACGTAATCATACGTTTCTCTCTCTCTGATTTTCGGTATTTCCCGCCGTCGATGGAAACCACCTGCCTTGACTATGTGGGTCGCATTGACCCAGAGGTCTTTCCTACGAATGTATACAGTGGTCTCACCAGCCTTGATTCCTAGAAACTCTGGCTCGAGGAAGTTCGGTTTGTCATCAAGGCTGGCGCCTTGCTTCAGCCCATAGTCAAGAAGCGGCAGTAAGGTGTCCGTTAACACTAGGAATTGGCATAAAAGTCGACCGTCTGAGTAGGAAATCCACGACTGTTGGGGCCGCGATTCCGATACTTCAACCTTTGTGTGTTGCTTGAGAGTTGCCATGATACGATCCCGCTCCTTCTTAGTCTTGCCAGCCAACGTTATGAGCTGAGTTGCGTTGAGCCACCAGTCCGATTTGCGCATGGACACAGCTTTCCCTTCTAGTACCATCTGAATGCAGCCGGATGCTAGATGCTCTATTAAGACCTGGTCCTGGTACTGTCTCCAAGGCGTTTGTCCATAGTTGAGTAAAGGCCGGTCGCCGGGTTGTTCAATACGTTGACGTTTGGAATGCCTTATCTGAGAATCTTTTTCAACACTGGACTCGACGCGCTGTTGACTTCCTTCTTCTGATCCGTGGTCCCCACCGGGCGCAAGGTCCCATATCTGTGTAAGCGTCGCAGGATACTCTTCTGGTCGCCAGCCTGACTTGAGCGTGCGTAGCGTGGGGAAGTCGAGCTGTGTCCCTACGTCTTCGGCAGCCCTCTCTTCATCTCCTCTGTCTGTGGGAGGCTGCCAGCCAGACTTCAGCAAGCTAAGCGCGGGGAGGTCAATCTGTGTCTCTGCCTCCTGGGCAGCCACTGCCTGACTTCCCCAAGATCCGGCAGCCTGGAAAGCTCTCATGATGGCAGATGATGACATTGGTTCTGTAGGTGTTCCGGGGTCCATTTCCAAATCCTGCACTGGCGTGATTGCCTCGCGAAGTTTGGCTGATTCTCTCAGACACTCGCTTGCCGACAGCCGTTCGCAAGGATCCATCCTCAGCATGCTGGACGAGAGAAAGTCCAGCAACTCATCTGGGTCCCAATCGTGAATTGCCCCAATAAGCTCCGGATACCAGTGTTTAGTCTCAGGTCGACCATTTACCGTCGGGAACTCCGGGAGGCCATATGCGTACTGAAAAACGAGAACGCCCAGCGACCATATGTCAATTTTGTCGGTGTAAGGGTGGTTCCACCAAATTTCCGGGGCAGCGTAGAGCTGTGTGCCGCAGACAGTCTCTAGGAACGAGCCATGCTTAGCCAGTCCGAAATCAGCAATTTTGATGCAGAAATTGGCGGGCTCTCGGCGCTGGACCAGAATGTTTGCCGGTTTGAGATCGCGGTGTACGGTTTTGCGCGAGTGTAGATAATCAAGAGCGTCAAGTCCCTGGCAGAGGAGTGTAACGGTCTCCCATTCAGTGATTCGTGAAATCCGATTCTGTTCCTCTAGGTTCCCAAGAGGTAGATATTCCATTATTAGGCGGGGATATTTCCGTTCGGCATCGTGATCCACGAACTTCACAATGTGATGCTAGAAACAAGCTTAGTGATCTTTCTTCACTAAAGGGAGTTAATCCGTACATGCGAAACATTACGCAAAAGCGCAACTTCTCTATCCCACCTTTCCCGGTGACCTTTACCGTTCCGCAGGAAAGTTTTGGCAGCATATATAACACCTGTGCTCACATCAACAGCCCGGTAGACAGTCCCAAATTCGCCGCTACCGATCTCTTCACGATCGATCCAGATCGGACGCTGTTTCGAACGCTTTCTCGGAGAGTGTGATTCCGTCTGGCCTGCGGTGGTCGGGTGGCTATCGATGTTGAGACCGAATGGGATCGCCGTTCGCATCTCCTCGAGGTATGCATCCCTCATATCTGTGTACTGTTGCGGGCAGGACTTATCGTCGGGGTCCACAACTTCCACCAAGAACTCAATAATGGGAGCGTCAGGGAAGGATTGAATGCTTTCCCCGATTATAACCCGTTTGTCATCGCTGCCAGGGAACAGGATCCATGGGAAGTCGTTTGATTTATCTCGCGGTCTCTTCAGCTGTCGGTCCTGTGGGTTTTTCCGTTTTTCGTCCCTTGCCTGGCCACCGTAGCTGACTGCCGTTCCCAATGCGGACGAGTCTATCAACACCAGCCGCTTTTGATCGTCGAACGTGATCCTGAAATGCGAACTGCTTACGCCATCTTTAGATACCCCTATGAAGACATCGCAAGTCTTTGGGTTGCTCCCGAATACAAATCCTCGCTCGATATTTCTCGGCCTTTGATCGAATGTGAAGCGGAGTTGCTGGCCAAAATCTTGCCTGTCATTACCCTTACTCTCTGTATTCCATGTCTCCGGTCCATCGCCATCTTCTTCGCCGCCCCCATGTCCGATATTAGTCGCTACCGACGACTCGCGGCTGGCAGCAGGCGTGACTTCGAGATGAGGTGGGGGTATGTAATATCGCTCGTTATGCGCGTGCCTAAACGCCTCTTTGGCGTAGTCGCTGATTGCCCTCAGCGTGAAAATAACGTTCGCGTCGTCTTTCATTTTGACAAAATATGGTCAAGAAGCCCGAGCCGGGGGCGTTTTTTTGCCTTGCGGCTTCTTGGGAGAGAATGAAAGGCACGCCGACTTACGTTTAAGTCGGGCGTGGGGTTGCGTGCCATGATATAGGAATTGTCTACTGGGCAGCCACCTGAGTTGGCATGTCAGAGCAGTCGCTTGGGGGTTGCGAACGATTGGCAACGAAGAAAAGGCTGGGGGAGAGGCCCGAGCGTCCAGATGCGGGGTAGCGCCGTCCGGGCTCAGAGAAATGCAATTCCGAGTCATGTGATCACGCTGCTTCGCGTCTCGCTAGCGAAAACGCTAAGCTCAAGGAGCGCTCACCCCTCCCTCATCCACTTCACGTCGTTCCCGGCCGCCCACCACCTCCGCCACCCTCAACTCACCGCTCGCCCTCAATATGCGTCTAATTCTAGCTGAGGAGCTGGATACTTTGACCGTCCACGACATTCAGGAATGGGATCGACGCGCGGGCGATGGAACCGGCATGTAAGTGTAGAGTGGTTCCCTTCAGCCTCCCAAACCACCCTTAGCGTAGAGCTCCCGCACTAACGCGGAATCGTCTTCAAGATTTCTCGACGTTATAGACAAGCGTAACCTAACCAACGAGCGGCTGGAACGGCTCCAGTAAGCCTTAGTTCGGTCGACCGAGAATTCTGCTGAGAGTCCTTGTACAAAGATCCCTGATACGGGAAAGCGATGAGCCCTCTGAGTCCCGCCCTGTCAATGCAGATGACCTTAATGCGAAACTGCGGTAAGTGAGACGCACGCTCGATACCAGACTTACACCGCGCTAACTGTTCAATCAATGCAGGCAAGTCTTTCCAAGGCGTTCCCCTACCCCGAGTGATGCTCCCAGTACTCCTGTAACTGCCGGAGCCGAAGCCCAATCGAAAGTAACGGAGGAAGAGCATATTGAGTTCATGTGGGGTCTTGCCGACAAGAAGTATAAGGGATTGAAGGGCATGGGCGGCAGGCCTTCTCGCGAGATAAACCCTGACCCCGGGCCCTGCCCCCCTCCCAAATCGGACGTAGATAAAGAATACCATGTTCGCGACCATTGGGGTAGGGAACACGGACGGCTCAGGGATGAAATCGCTCGATGGGTGGACTTCCGCTGGCACCAGTTCAAAAAACGGGAGGATTCGAAGATATTCAACAAATACAAAGAGGCCGTCCATGGGTACCAACAGAATAAGGGAATCGATTGGGATGTAGAGCTGCAGCTGGACCGGCAGACGAAGCTAGACGAATGGCGGGAATACTACCTCTACGAGCATCGGAAACGCGGCGCTCTAGAGAAGGAGCTTGAACACAGGAAGCAAAAGCTGGTCTCGGCAAAGGAGCGAATGGGGGAAGCTGAACGGAATAGGTCAGTAGGGATTCATCCAAACGCGTTGTTGGCGCGTTGGCGGGAATTGATAGAGTATAAAAAGAAGATTTCACAGGCACAAAAGGAGGTGGATATGGCACAGAAGAGGTTGAAAGTGTTGAGGGTCGAAGAGTCACGCTCAGCTGTCGAAAAGGACATCATGATCGCGCAGGCGGAGGAAGATCTCGAATCGGCACAGAAGAGTTTGGAAGCCCAGAAGTCGGATGAGTTGGACCAGCTAAAGAGAGAAGATCAAAGAGTACGCGCGCAAGAAGCCCTGGCGACTGCTCAGGGGAATGTAAGTTGTGCCAACACCCGTCTGGAACAGCTGGATACGTTGCTGGAGTGGATCGCCGGACAGTTTGCGGACATAGCTACGGAGTATGTATCATCCAGTTGGGGAGGCAAACACAACCGCGATCTGCTAGAAGGATGGGAGAAGTACTACGCCTACATGCGCGAGAGGCTTCAAGCGAAGCAAGACTGGCAGGCTAAGTTCCTACAATACGGATGGACAAAGGGGCGGACCGAAGCTGAAGAGGCGAGAGACGACTGGCTGGATCCGCAGGAGCGTATAAGACCAATTAAGGCTCTCCTAGCGTGGATCGAGCGGGAGTTCCCGGAAATCGCCGCGCAATATGCACCGTCCAGTCAGGACAGCCCGTCCAGCGGCGACAACCAGAACCAGGCCATCCTACCGTCTTCGAAGCCATCGCCGAGTGAGGCCCCGCACAAAGCTTCTCGATTAGATAGGGCGGGGAAGCGCACTCCACGCAAAGGAAAGTCCGCTAGGGAACAGTCACCACTGCATCAGGTCCAACTATCGAAAGTATCCAAGCCTCGCCAAAGGGGAAGACGTCCACCGAATCAGAAGCGGAGCACCACTCGCGATAGCGTTGGGAACGCCGTGGGACAAGAAGAAGAGGAATCACACAAGGCGGCTGTTCGCAGGAGTGCACGAATATCCCAACAAACACGCAACCCCGAGTCCCCCTCACCCCCCTTCCTCCGCGCAACAAAAACGTCTTCCAGGAGCTGTCCCGATGGCATCGTACGCCGCAGCGCGCGGATATCAGATCGTACGAAGAAGAAACCACGCCCGCTTGGAGCCGATCAAGAAGTCGAACCCGTTCAGTCTCGCACACCGGCCCGCCGAAAATCCGCACGACGCATCGCCACCTCCACGAATGCCGCGTACTCCGGCATGCCGCAGGGAATCTCGAAGACAACGCGTCGTCGGAAGACGGCGACGGCGGCGGCGGCGACGAAGAGGACTAGAGGTTAATGTAATGTAATGTGCATGCTTCCTAAACCACGCTTTCATCCATCAACCCCTAAGTGCCGGATAAGCGGGAAATCGGCAGGTTCAGAGTTTCACAAGGTCTGCAGGCTTAAGATGCGCCGAGTGCGATGGTTTGGTCCGATTGCGCTCAATGGCATGCTGCGCAGTGTCATAACTGGGGATTTAGTCGCGATGACTTGGACAATTCGAGCTTTTTAGTCATAGCAGACGGTATTACCAATCCTACGAGCCCACTTAGCATTTGGATACTGTGTTCAACTTGCCATCCACTGCGCCTAGTATCATCGTAGCTACGAGACTATCGGCCGTAAAAAATGCATGAATCCCTCCAAAATAGAATGGCTACATATCAGTCTGTCAACACCCTGTCTCATTCCGCAGCAAATTAACTCATCCGCGCCGAGCACCAATTTAGTAGTCTCGACCCTCCCCGTTCCAATTTGTGCATCCGTTTCTTCCCACCCATTCCCCCCTCCCTGTCCCCCATTCCATCACGTCAGCTGCTTCACGAGGTCCTTCCGCTTCCCACTCAGCAACGCCGTGTCCTTCCCCTCATCCTCCATGCGATGCGCCGTGTGCTCCTTCCGCTGCTCCATTTTCTGAATCGCTTCCTGGAGCGCGGGCGGCGTGGGCTCTTTCTCGTGGTGGAACGGTTTCTTGATGGCGTCTACTACCTTGCCGATGGAGGAGCGCCGCTGCTGGGTCGGCTGAGGTGCGTCTGAAGCTGGGGGCGGGGGCTCTGGGCTGGGTTAGAGGCCTGGGGAGGATTGTGGGTCGAGGGAGGTCCGGGATACCTTGGGAGGCGGCGGAGTCGTTTGTGGTGTCTGCCATGGCGGCCGAGGTGGAGTGGTCGTTGCTGGGTGCGGTTTGGGGGTTTGTGCTTGATTTCTAGGGTCGTTCTTTCGATTTGGGGATGGAAATATACGGCGTCTGGACAAAGGAGGGGGGGTTACGTCATAGGGCTGAATAGACTTCCACACGAGGCGTTCACGAGGTCGCGTGATGAGGTGATCTCAGATCTTTCGTTGCAGGTGGTCCTGCGAAGGCGGGGTAGACACAGGCTCGTCCAACTAACAAAAGGTTCTGTGACCGGAGTCGCAAAAAGGGTTTGGGAGGGCCTAGGGTGTGTGGAGAGAAACATGTCGGTAAAGCCTATGCTGGACCGGTTCTCAGTCAGCGCGAGCCTTAGGAGTTGTAGCTGGGGGAATACTGACCTCCTACACGATCCTTATGGTGTGCTTTCCATCCTCGTAGGATCTGCAAGGCATCTGCAACCCATTTTCCGATTCTGTGACCAATGCTTCCACCATTCCTTGATCCGGGTTAACGCGCCCCGCGAGACCTATCCGCTCAAACAGGCCTTTCTCTTCGTCAACCAACTTCAATAGCAAAACCGACATACAGCAATCCCCATCAGCCCAGTAAGGAGAGCTTCCAATGGAGCGGTGAACGCATACAGCCATGCACCAAAGCTGTCTTCCCTCATTCTCGAGCTCGGAAGTGTCCCAGTAATCCAGATAACAGCCGAACCCGAAGTCCCTCACTAAGCGGAAGGGTTTGAGATACCCCACCAAATCCAGGTACCCGCTCGTGACGGCGCCAGTTGTATCCTTAGTGGCATACTCAAGCTGCACGTCATTGACAACCGCGAACTCGTCCGCCAAGATTCTAAAGATCTGGTCGACAAAAATGATCTCCCCGTCAAGAGAGGCCCAGGACCAAGTCGGAGCGCGGTACGCACACGGACGTGCCGACAATGCGCCATCGGACTTACGCCCGAGAGTGTGCCACAAAAGTTGGATGGGGAGGTCCGCTCGCCATAGTCCGGCAATGTATTCGTCGTCCAAAATGGTTTGCATGCGCTTTGCTATCCCTGAAATTGCCACGAGTTTATCGCCAGGTCTGGAAAGCGTGGTTCGAGAGTAGGTATGTACGATGGCTCTCCAATCCTCATGCAAATGTACCGCGTCCACGTCGGCCTCCTGTCGCTTGAAGTTGGTGTACGCGCTTCGTCTCAGAGCATTGGGAAGACCATGCGGATAAACCTCCGCCGCATCCAGTTCGCGACATTCCCACAACAACTGGTTGGATCCGAAGTGAAGAACTCTAGGTGAGAGCAAGCGCTCTTGTAGGACCCAGCCACGTTTGTTGACTGGACTTTCCCAGACATTGTGCAACCAGTAGAAACGGTCGGTAACCGTACATCTAACATAATCAATCTCCTTGGTAAAACCTCGAACGCACAGGTCCACTTTAACAGAGTTGAAGGACCGAGGATTCCTAGGAAAGAAAAGCCCCCTTGAACTATCCATTGCAGCGGCCGCAGAGAGGTTGCAATAGGAGTGGGTGTACACTTTATCCATCATGGCAGCTTCGGCGGACCAATCGGAGAGGTCATCTTTATCTTGCAAAATGCAGAGGGAATCGATCCACAGGTACGAAATTCCAAGCCGTCGAGTGACGAACACTGCGTCTTTGAACGTCTTCGGTAGTATTGAGAGAGGTATGCCTGAACAGAAGTTGTCGATTTTAGCACGGACCAGTTGGATGAAGCTGGCCGCGCCCCAGCAGTGACTTAAAGTGACATAAGGGCCCGATGGAGGATCATCGGCCGTGCAGACTAGTCTTATGGTTTTGCTGTGTTCCCCATGTTGTCCCACATGAAGCAGACGAGTGGGATACCAAGAAGAGTGCGAGCCGTTGTTGCAGGCTGAGTGTGTGGTGAGACAATCCTTCAACCATCCTGTAGCCGTTTCCCAGGCTTCGTCTGAAGACGTACTGTATGAGCTCGGACGGTGCCCTGAAGTTGATTGATTGCCTATATTGGCCAATCAGTATCCAGTCAGGGTATTCGGTAATGGGAAAGGGCACCAGGGCAAACTTGAAATCGGCGACAAGAAGTATCCGGACACCGTATGGCTCTTCTTTGCCTCGGAAAATTTAATAGTCAACAAATATCCCACGTCAAACCGTTCGAGAAAACACTCGGTGAACAAGTGTTGGTATTCGCGGTGAGCTACTCCCCTCCGTCTTTGTCTCTCCTTTAATGTAGCGCGGTTGGATACAACTTTCAATGCTTCTTGATCAACATCCGACAAATCATCCCACAGCAGCCGACATATATAACAACCTTGAACCACAGAATCCTGGAGGCTCCTAGCTGTGCGATGATGAACCATTTTGATGATTCGGTGGCCATCGCTGTTGATGCTGTTGGAAAGGAGCCCGTTTCGGTGCTGGAGGACGCCATCGCAGACATAACATATCATGGTCGAGGCCAATGTAGGATCGTACGTTACAGCGTCTGGGAAAGAAGCGGAACAAGCTAGTGTGCGCTCGCGCTCGTCAAACTCCCTAGCTTTCCTAGAAGTGATAAGGACGTCGTTGTGATAGTTCAGAGTCGTCACGTTGCGGCTTCAGCCTACAGCCTTGGCAGCATTCATCAGCCGCTCTTTCCGCCCCTCCTTCCACGCCTTGTCAAGCGCCTCCATCTTCCCACCCAAAAGCTGCACTTGGCCAGGCTCCAGCATAACCACAGCCCTCCGGACGTCCACATTCCTCAGCACAAGCTTGACGCCCATCGTCATACCCGTGCTAATCCCCTCGATGCCTCTTAAATCCAGCGCATAGACTTTGGCGCCCTTCGCATCCTGCAGCAGCAGCTTGAAGGGCCCTTTGCTCTGTATGGCAGCCGCGACCGCTCCGGACCCGTTCTCGTAGTCGTTCTCCTGCTCCACCACACGCACGATTTCTCGGCCCTTGGTTGCCTCGCCCCGCTCTTTCGCCTCAATTGACTCGACCTGCGACCACCGCGAGAGGCCAATGTCTTCTATGTCGAGGACTTGACAGAGTATCGGGCCGGCGACATGGCGAGACTGGATATTTGCGTTCAGAACGTCGCTGGGGAAGACGGTGCTCGGCGGCGGAGAGAGCGAGGTGGTGATATCGGTGGCTAGGAGACGGAAGAGGGCCGTCTGTTTCAGCGCGGGGAGAGGTGTGTTTGGGCGGGTGGTCGAGACAAAGCTTTGCAGCCATGCGGCGGTGGGGTAGAGATGCCGGGCGTTGAGGTGCTGGGAGAGCTCTGCGATGAGGTTATTTGCCATGTTGGCGATCAATTGGATAGTCCTGGTCAAGTAGTGGCCATGATAGGAGGTAGAGGCAGCGACGAACACTGGTGGCCCTGGGAGCGGTGGCGGAAACGCGTCGAGGAAATGACGCGGGTAGCTCTTGCTCGTTCGGCCATACATAGCTTGGCGTTTTTCGTCTCTCCGCGCAGCGCCGCCCACGCTCCATTTCCCCACATAAACAACTCACACACTTTGGATCGATTCCAACCTTCGCGCGCGAAGTCCTAAGTCTTCTGATATGTCGACCATAGCGTCTCCCCGCGCCAGCAGCTCAGTACGCAGCCCCTCGTCCACCCGCAACTCCTTCGATTCCTCCGCGCGACCCGCAACGAACACGCGCCGCAATCGGGCGGCATTACGCGACTACTATGGCCTGAAGGCAGCAGCGAAAGAGACGGGGCCCAAGATCTCCGAGGAGTCCGCAAGAACTGAGCTCGGGCCCGACGAAGACGAGACCTTGACAGAGCTCGATGCTGCCAATTTCGACGCAGAGGCCTTCGTGCATACTCTACTAGCAAATGAGGGCTTGAAGGGCGTGCTGAAGGTGGAAGCCGATCTGGTGTCACGTATGTTGTAGATGCTCCTTATCTCCCGAGAGAAAGGGCTAATCTGGTTTTCCAGAAATAAGAAACCTCGACAGCGATCGCAAATCGCTCGTCTACGACAACTACTCCAAGCTCCTCTCCGCCACCACCACCATCCGTCGTATGCGGGGCAACATGGACCCGCTTGCCCCGACCACGCACACGCTTGGGCCCGCCATATCGCACATCGCAGAGACCGCCGCGTCGTTATCGTCGTCAATGCAGGGTATGCAGACAAGACCGCCCCAAGGTCTCGGCATTTCGGTGCAGATGGAGGGCGAGGACAACGAGGCGGAGGCAGCCGCCAAGAAACAGAAGGAGAAAGACACTGTGCGCTGGGTGCTAGACACTCCCCGGCGGTTGCAGGAGATGATCGACCAGGATCAGGACGAAGTGGCCGAGAAGGAGTGGGAAGAGGTCAGGAAGATCCTGGATAGGTGGCAAGGCGTTGCGGGCGTGAGGGAGCTGAGAGAGCGGTGTGAAGCGATACTAATGGATGAAGAGGAGTCGGATTGATCTAAAAATGCGACCGCGGAAAGCCTAATTTCTACACTTCTATCCCCCGAATCCTCTAGTTCAACTGCCCATTCCACCTGTCCAGGCCCTTGCCACCGACCTCCCAAGCCGCTGCCGCCTTGAAGATGCTCATCTCATCGAACCTCTTCCCAACCAGCTGCATGCCGACGGGCAGCATTCCCGGTCCATCGGACACCTTACCCCAACCCGCGGGCATCGAGAGCGCAGGATCTGGAACAGTCAGCGAGGACAACTTCAAGCCAGGATCAACACTTACGCCCTGTGACGTTGAACTGGCACGTATTCAACGTAGCCCCAATCGCCGGCTCCATCTTCTTTTCGACATCCATAGCATACTCCGGATGCTTACTCCCAACTCTCGGATTGACAGGCGTTAGCAACACATCAAAGTCCGTCAGCGCTTCGTCGTACACATCTCTCAGCTGCTGGACAAGGCCCATCGCCTTTGCTAACTGCTGGTTGGCGTCCGGCTTCGCATTCATAAACGCTGAGTTGAAGAACATGTTCACGACCGCCGGGTTGTGCTTGTTGAGCACCTCGTACGCTTTCTGGTCGAAGACGGGAGGCGTAATATCGGGCATGGCGTACCCTAAAAAAGGGGTGGCTCGGTTCTGTAGGCCATTCGACGTGATGAATGGCCGCGTTACGACCGTCCAGATCGACGGGCCGAGGACGTGCATTGGTATGGAGACTTCCTGGACATCCGCGCCCACGGCTTTAAACCGCGCGATTGCGGCTGAGATCACCGCCTTCACTTCGTCTGATAAGCCGACGACCTCAAGACCCTCTTTGAGAACACCAACCCGCAGCCCCCGCCCTGCGGCTTGAGGCGTCCACTCGCCGTTTGACTCCTTTTCCGCTTTCCACGCTTCCAGCAGGCCACAATAGTCCGGAACGTTGGCGCGAAGAGGTGTCTCTGGTGTGCATCTAGGATCCATCCCATCGTAGCCCACGAGCACGGAGAGCAGCAACGCGTTGTCCACCAGCGTGGTCGTCATCGGTCCCGTGTGGTCTATAAATGGAACCAGACTAATGATGCCGCTGTAGGGAACGAGGCCATGCGTCGCCTTAAACCCATATATCCCAGCATACGCTGCGGGGATCCTGATGGAGCCACCTTGATCACCGCCGATCGCCATGTCCACGCTTTCGCCCAGCTCTTCATCATTCGGCGGCAGGCCATGCTTCTTCCTCCAGGTGCGGGCTTGTGTCGCAGCAACGGTTGCAGCGCATCCGCTAGAACTCCCACCCGTGGTATACCCTTTCAACCACACATTATGCACAGGTCCGCTGGCGGATGTGAAGGAGAGGGGAGACATGGAGAAGTGTTCGCAGTTTGCGGAGCCCTTCAGGACACCTCCGCTCTCGAGTACCCGCTTCACGACCACGGCGTCGATCTGCGGAATCGGATATTCTGTCTTGCCCGTTAACAGCTCGGGGAATGTACCACCTGTTAGCGGCACCCCAGCTATCGATACATTGTCCTTGACTACAATCGTCCTGCCCTCCAACCGCTTATCGAGTGGCTTCGGATCAGTTATGCTGGTGCGATGACTCCATGTATTCAGCGGGTTTTTCTCCGCATTGCCGGCAAGTCTCTCGTATGTGCGAGGCAGCGTTGACGAGTCAGGGAGAAGACGCGGATCCGTGTACGCTGGGAGCGCTTCGACGAGTTGGGATGTCGCATCCAGCCCGTTGAGGAGATGCCGATAATGCTCTTCTTCATGCGCATCGACTACGACGTCGTACGACTTCGCGATCGCTCGAAGCTGCTCGGCGGAGACTGAGGAACCACAGTTAGCTCCACCCACCATACTACACTATCGTCTCAATTGCCTGCCTGCCTGCTTACCCGTCGGAGGCCCAGTGCTAAGGAATACAACGGACATCGTTACGACCACTGCGCCTGCGCCGCCGGTATATCAAGATTTGCTCTTGCTTGCGCAACATTTCGAAGCGGGCAGGCGCCATATAGCAGTACAATATAGGCCAGTTCGGGATAGAGATAGCCGCAAGGCCGGTCACTACTGATAAGGGATCGGAATTCCTTCAAGGGTGTTTTATGCTTAGGTTAGATGCAAGGTCCGAAGTCGCGTCGGCAGAAACGACCCGCAGCTTATCGATAGCGGGCAGACTACGATTGGCGTCGTGCATGGGAGGGGCAGTACGGGGCTTAGTCATCATTTCAAGATGCAAGTACTACAAGATATGTATGCGACTGTGGGATCACTCCCTATCTCCCATCAGGACTCATTTCATTCAAGCCCTCCGCCCCCTCCTCTCCATCTCCATCGCCGCAATAATCGCACACCCGACTCCACTCCCATCCTCCGCGCTCGTAATAACAATCGGATCCTCCTCCCCCTCCCTCCTATCCCAATCCAAAATCTCCCCGAGCGCCCTCGCCCACCTCCTCTTAAACTTCGGATGCTTGTTCGCCACGCTGCCATCCGCGGCGACATGGCCCCTCGTAATGCCCTCCTTCGTGCAAATCGCCGCGACGCCGCACGCGCACAGCCGCGCGCCGCGCACGGCGATGAGCTCCGCGAGGCGGCGCGTGAGCTCGACTTCCCCGTCTGCGAGGTCGAAGCCGAGCGTTTCCCTGCACATTTGGCGCGATTGGGCGAAGCCGGCGCTCTCGTCGTCTTCGATCTGGCTGAGGAAGCTGGTGTCGATGGTATACGGCTGCCTTAACCTCCCCACATCGCGGTCTTTGAAAACCAGCCCGCGGTCCGCGAGGTCGAGCAGCACAAGGCGGAAGATCTCGCCCAGGTACAGGCCCGCGGAGAGCTTCTCGAAGCTCTGCTCCCCCGGGCGCGGGGACGCGGCGTCGATCTGCGCGTCGTAGGCTGTGCGCGGTAGCACGGCGTGCGCGTTGTCGAAGGCGCCGTACTCGCAGTTTATCGCCATTTTGCCTGTTGTCTTCCCGCCGCTGCTGCTGCTGCTCTTCAGCCTCGGGTCGCTGGGGGAGAGCTTGGCGATGCTGGATAGACTGGACATGTACGCTGCGTTGCACCCGGTGCCGAAGATAGCGCCGATGATGGTCTCGGGGTCGTTGTACGCGGACGCGATCATCGCGCCGACGGTGTCGTTGATGACGCAGATCAGCTCGAGGGGCAGGTTGCGCGCGGCCATCTTCTCGCGCAGCTGGGCCGCTACGTCGTGCCCTTCTACGCCTTTGATGTCGAACCCTTTCGTCCAGGTCTGCAGCACCGCGTGGTTGATCGCGTCCTGCGTCGCCGGGTAGCTGAAGGTGAAGCCGAGCGGCATGGGCTTCTCTTTAGTATACTCTTTATCTAAGCCTTTGCTGGAGAGGAAGGTGGACAGTTTGTCGGCGATGTGCGTCCAGAGCTCTTCGGCGGTGGAGCTTTTGATGTGATCCGGGAGCTTGTATTGTTCTTGCTCGAGGGAGAATTTTTGCCCGGGTGAAGGGGAGTTTGTTGGGTTGGGCGGTTCTTGCCCGTGCAGAGTGACTTTGCACACGCGGAGGTTGGTGCCGCCTAGGTCCAGCGTGAGGAAGGTGCCGCGCTCGTTGCCGGAGGGCAGGCTGTGGACCCAGGTTATGTTCATGGGGATGTTGCGGCCGTTTTCTTGTAATCCTGTACATCGTCAGCGCCTTCTTCCTGTTCCTCCCTCTACAATCATAACCATAACCACAAATCCGCCCCCCTCCCTCCCCCTCATCCACCCATCAAACAAACCCTCCAATCTCCAAACCCCCCCATGCTACACAGAACACCCACACACACCCACACACAAACGTACCTTCATCAAGCTCCTCCCTAAACCTATTTACAACCTCCTTCAACTTCTCCGCACTAACCCAGAACTCCTTATCCAGCCGCTCCAGCTCGCTGTCCAGCTGCGGCGGCAGATCGGCCAGGGCCGCGAGCTCCGAGCGCTGCCGCCAGGAGCTGTCTTGCGCGACGAGGTGGGCGGAGAGCGACATCTTGGGGGGCTATCTGGCTTGGGTGTGGAAATGGCGGGAGGGGGAGGATTGATAAGTAGGGAGGGAAGGGGGAGGGAATGGGTTTAGAGAAGGGGAATTGGGATTGGAATTGGGAGCGTGTGTGGAAGCATTGCGGGATGGATGAGGATGGGATGGAAGGTGGTGTTTTTTGGGTGAGCTTTCCGCCATCATGACGTAGCCGCCTTTCTTTTCGCTCCCGATGCGATGCGATGCGGCTGTATCCGCCGGTGGAAATTCGGACGGCTTTCTTTTGTAGAAGTGACGTTTAGTTTTCTGGGCAAAGCGAACCTTGGAAGAAAATAAGTGGAGGTATGGGGTATTGTTGTGCCTCGGCTGCGTGCCTCATTGGCGGGGTAGATGGACGCATCAGATAGTGGGGAGGTTAAGAGGGAAGAGGGAAGAGGGAAGATCATGGACAAGAGCATAACAAAATCTGTAAAAAGAACTAACTGCCTACACGATACAAGTAAGTAGGTTGGTAGTGTCTAAGGTTAATGTATAATTGACTAGGGAATACAAAAGTCTATGTAGGAATGCGGCTATTCAAGCCTGTCTGTGGTATACCCGAGCCCAAAACGCCGTGCCGTCTATCATGCATGCATCCCGCCTGGTCTATGCGATTGAACAAAGGAAATAGTGTGACCGTCAAGGTCTGTCTGTCGTAGACTTCTATCCATTCCGTGGTGCCCCAGCCCCGAAATGATGCGGCTCCAAAGCGCACGTTAGCAAGATTCCCAATCCGCTCACGCAGCGCACTTCTCCCCCTCGCACTGCCTCTCCGTATCCCTCTCCCTCCCCGCCACCTCCTTATGCCGGACCTCCTCCTGCTCATGGCCATGCGCATGCTCGACGGCCTCCTCAGCCGCAGCCCTCTGATTCAGCAAGGAGAGGTATGTCTGCCAGCCAATCGCAATAACGCCCCCAAAAATACTGCGATACTGCAGCGGAATAAACGTAAAGCTAAACGCGGTAATCGCGGGCCAAATCTTGCAGCTATTCAACCACGACGTGGGCACCGTGTTTTTTATGCGCTCGCTGATCTCGGGGAGCGTGGCGCCGGAGAGGAGCGACTGCATGCCGAAGAAGTAGGTGTTGAAGATGGGCGTGAAGAGGACTTGGTTTACCGCGACCTACGATACCAGGAGTCAGCATGTATTTCGGAGCGGGATAGAGAGCAGGATGCAGCGCACCTTTGTCGTAAGAGACAGCACTTTGGAGCCGTAGTTGAACGAATTGCCCAGCCAGAGAAACCACTTATACCCCGGCACAGCCGCGAGTCCGCCAATCATCAGCGCCCTCCCTGTGCGTGCCCAATCCCTATTGTCGTACCATTCCTGCACCCAGCCTTTCTCTTCTTCTTCCTCCTCCCCTTCCCCCTCTGTCCTCTCCTCCTCCTCTGTCTCTACAGCCGGCAACGCAGACCCAATACTCTGCGCCACCAAATCCCCCACAAAATAAATCACCAGCGCGCTCACAAACTGCGTCATATACGGTCTCCGCTGCTGAATGCGTCCATACGCGCGGAATGGCTCGTAGATAGGTTCGAGCCACAGCCAGCTGGGGCCGGGGATTGTCTTTGTCGTCTCGGGCGCTTTGTGCGCTACCGGTGCGCCCGGCGGGTGGTGCGAAGCATTATAGCGCCGTCCAATGCGCGCCGCAGTGCGTCCGGCGACGTGTGAAGCGTTTGCGAAGCCGGTGAGTGTTCCGGCGCGGGTGTGTGGGGCGGTGAGGAGGGTTGTGCGCCGGAGACCCAGGCGGGCCCAGGCGCAGGTAGGGCGTATCATGACGGGAGTGCGTGGGAACTCATGGGAACTGGTTGCGCGGTTGGAGAGACGTGTGGGTTGGAGGAATGAGGTTGTGGAGGCTGCGTTGTCATCCGCGCTGGCAATGTGACAAACTACCGAAACTTCGGCTTTCGGAAAGCGAAACCGGAATGGCGACATGCCAGGGTCCGCGCTAGCCGCATGCGACGATTAGTCAGCCACTTCAATCGACAGGAGAGCACCTGGGCAGTATGAGGAAGAGGAGTATTGAGGCTCGTCAATCGAGCAGGGGAAATGTTCCGAAGTCCATTCGTCGTGTCTACTATATACACAGAAGATAATACAGCTGCTCTAGCAGCCTCGTAGCGAATACCGGGAACAAGCCCGCGGGAAGAATGTACTCTGAATCCAAAAGAAGACCTCGCGACGCCTGGTCATGCAGAAACGGGGGCATAAGAAGTGAGTTCCCCTTGCTGAGAACGTGAATCGCTTAAGCGGACTCAATACACTGGGAGTAGTACGGGTTCCACTCCTTGCAGACCCAGCCATCAGCGCAGCCCGTTGCGCCAGAGTAGTTCATACCGCCGCACTGGCCCCACTTCTGGACGGCACCAGATGTACCAGTGGCAACGGGCTTGACGGAGGTGACGAGGGTTGTAGGGTTTGACGCGACAGGGGCGGAGGTTGCAACAGGGGCAGCAGAAGACGGGGCAGCAGCAGCGCTCGTAGCAACGTCCTGAACAACCGACGTCTGAGCCGGGGCAGCGCTGGTTGCGGCAGTCTTCGACGTAGCAGCAGGAGCGGCGCTGGAAGCAGCCTTGGACGAAGCGGGAGTCGAGCCAGAGCCACTGCTAGCACCGTCCCACACAGCAGGGCCGGGGATGGTGTACTCCGACGGTGTCGGGTAGATGTTGACGAGAATACCGGGGTCAGTAGGAGAGTAGGTGCCGGGGATAGCGACGCCGGCCGGGAGCTCAACAGAACCGGAGCTGGTAACCTTGATCTGAACGCACTCCATGTAGACCTGCACGCCACCCTCGTTGAATGCCTCATGAAGGGCGAAGAGCTCTGGACGCAGGAGGTACTCGCCGGGGGCGAGGTCCGGCAGGGTGATGCTGTGTGCGCCCCCGTTGGAGATGAAGGTGTCAACTGCCCAGACACCGTTGCTCAGGCCGTCCTCGTACAGCTTGACCCAGACATCGCCCGCGCCGTTCGAGGAGGTGGGCGCAATGTAAACGAGAATAGGGCCTTTGTGGGACTGCAGACGGTATCAGTAAAGGTAGAAGCAGCGTAAGACGAATAGTTCACCGAAGCAATTGGCTCGTCAGCATCGCCGCTCGATTCTGGGTCATTGTGATGCCACTGGAAGGTGATCTTGTCGCCACCCGCGACCTCAATCGTGTCCGCAGCAGCAGTGGAGCCGCCAACATTGCAAGTCATGTCGGACGAAGTAACATCCTTGATGGGGTTGTTGCCGTTGGTGGGTGTGCGAATGCCAGTGTGGTGTCCCTGGTCGACACCGTTGACCAAGATGTTCTGAACAGTGGTGTGCGAAGCAACAAGCTGGGCAGCAGCCAGAGCGAAGAGAGCAGAACTCCTCATTTTGGAGAAGAGTAATTCAAGTAATGAACGAATGAATGAACAAAGAACGAACGGAGCTTCGATAGAATCGAAAGATGCGAAAGAGCGTGTGGAAAAGGAAAGTCAGCCTCAAGCGTGTCCTCCCATCGATGGACCGGATGAGGCTCTTATACTCGACCCACGTCTACGGCACCACACCGGCACGCCGCTCCCCTACATGACAGCGATAGCGTGGTACTGTCATGGTGGGACCTGGAAATTCGACACTTCGCCAAGCTCATGTCATCTATCCAGGGCGCGCTAGAGACTATTTGGTGCCGCACAACGTTGGATTAAGGCTGGTACAACACCGACGCCAAGGAGAATAGATTGAGCATTGCTCCATCGACGACCGCAGTGCATCGCTTAGATGCATGTCCTTGACTCCGATCCGGTCCAGCTGCGGGTCGACGAATGGTGGCGGCTGATAGCGAGAAACATGAAACAACGAGACATGCTTGAACGGGATGTTGCGTGAAGAGATAGAAATGCCTCGGCGTCAAACGAAACGTCATGCGCTGGCGGTGCCATCGCAGACCTGAGTTTATGCGATGTTCCTTCTTGGCCTTCTCATGATGTCTTACCATATGGACAGAATTTCAGCTGCTCGAGAGCATTCGCAGCTTGCTGCACTAGCAGCGAGGGTAGAGACTCTGGACGACCCGGCAGGCGCGGGGATTTTCCATTTGATGTGTCATCTCGCTTCCTTCTAGAAGCTGTGGAGCGATAGAAGGGAGGTGGGTGATGGTGGTGAGATGGCGTCTGGTGGGGTGGAGTTTTTCCGTCCAGCTGTGGTGACCACGATGAAACGGGATCCCGGCGGGGGAGATTGCTCGGCGCATTGGTGTTTCAACCAGCTCGATGCGCCATACACAGTGCTTCCGGCAGCTATTTTCTTGTGGGAAATTATTAACTGAATAACAGATCTTCTTCCTCTCGTAGCCAGGTCTGAATCCAGAACGGCGAAAGGGTGGTTGCAGTATCGACCCGGTTCTCGGTATTCGGTTCCAAGTGCTCTCCTCCCGTAGCGCCTTGCCTCAACGCCACCATCTGCGCCCAGACCGGCGCTCATCTGGAATTGATGAAATCCATCTCGCTTGCCGTAAGACGCGATGCAAGACAAGACATTGCCAAGGTATCTCTTGGCTATGCCATGGAATCGTGTTTCGTTCTGTTCAAACCTCAACACCATGACCGTTGCCGTCGACAAGTTCACGATGTTTTCGCTCAATGTATGAGATGGAGTTCGCCGTGTTGTGGGGCAAACTGATCAACAAGCGCCAGTCGGAGCAGAGCGCGACTGGTGGAAGAATCCACGCCGAACCCGCGGAGCTCGCTGCCGACCATGACCCAAAAATCCGGGGATTCGGGGCGAGATTCGACTTCTCCAGGCCAATACGATCGTAGCGTCTGGGGAAGAGCCCGCTTTCAGTAAAGCCACCACTTCTGCCCCTTCAGATAGAAAAGGCAGCGAGGCCCCCAACAGGAGAGCTTCCTGTGGATCCCAAACCGTGGCAATCCAGAGTACGAAGACAAGATGCCGTCCGCATTCTTCAAGAACCGCAGGGTCTATCTGCTTACCACAGTGGCCTATATGGGCTCACTGCTCTTCGGTGCGTTATTCGATGCATCAGGGGATCCCATGTTCTAACCGACACAGGTTATGATACCGGAGTAATGGGCAGTGTCCTTGCCCTTAAAGCGTTCAAAGAAGATTTTGGCCTTCCGACCGACTCGTCCGGCTTCGCGAGCTCGAAGAACGCATACGTCTCGTCCAACGTCGTATCGCTCCTGACAGCAGGATGCTTTTTCGGCGCCATCGCAGCCGCATTCCTCAACGAGCGCTTCGGACGTCGATACACGCTCATGGGTTTCTCGGTCATTTTCCTTATCGGCGCAGCAGTCCAAACGGCCGCCCACCACGAGATCGGCATGATCTATGGCGGTCGTGTCATTGCTGGCCTGGGCATCGGCGGCATGTCCTCGGTCACCCCGGTCTTCGTCTCAGAGAACTGCCCGCCTGAGGTGCGAGGCCGTATTGCGGGGCTGTTCCAGGAGTTCCTCGTCATCGGCAGCACCTTTGCCTACTGGCTCGACTACGGTGTCTCCCTTCACATTCCTGTTTCCACGAAGCAGTGGCGCGTCCCTGTCGGAATTCAGATCATCCCTGGTGGTATAATGCTGATTGGGCTCTGCTTCCTAAAAGAAAGCCCCCGCTGGCTCATGAAGCAGGGCCGCCACGATGAAGCTGCCCGGTCTCTCGCCCACATTCGCTGCGAGTCGGTCGATAGCCCAGAGGTCGTCTCCGAGTTGGCTGAGATTCGTGCTGCTATTGAAGAGGAGCTCAACGCCACCGAGGGTGTGACCTGGAAAGAGGTTCTCTTGCCTGGCAACCGATACCGCTTCCTTACTGGTTTTGCATTGATGTTTTGGCAGCAATTTTCAGGTATTAAACTCTGAAGAAAGTAAGATAACTGTGTGTACTAATGGTAAATCGCAGGAACGAACTCGATTGGCTATTATGCGCCGCAGATCTTCCAGACGGTCGGTGTGTCCAAGAGCAATGCTTCGCTCTTTGCGACTGGCGTCTACGGGACGGTGAAGGTTGTCGCGACGGGTCTCTTCCTGCTCATCGGTATCGATCGCTTTGGCCGGAAAAAGTCCCTCCTGGCTGGTGCGGCGTGGATGGCGTCCATGATGTTCATCATTGGCGCGGTCCTGGCAACCCATCCGCCTGACACGAAGGCCACGTCCGTCTCCAAGGCATCGACTGCTATGGTAGCCATGATCTACCTCTACGTCATTGGCTACTCAGCATCCTGGGGCCCTGTGCCGTGGGTCTACCTGGGTGAGATCTTCCCGACCCGTCTCCGCGCGTACGGTGTCGGCATGGGCGCTGCAACACAGTGGCTCTTCAACTTCGTGATCACGAAGATCACCCCTGAGGCTGTAAACCACATAGGGTGGCGGACCTTCCTCATGTTTGGCATCTTCGTAAGTGCCTCTTGACTCATTATTCAACGGCTATGCTGACCGGTCGCTAGTGTCTTGCCATGGGCGTCTTCGCCTTCTTCTTCATCAAAGAGACCAAGGGCCGCACGCTTGAGGATATGGACGTGCTCTTCGGCGCGGTGACAGCCGAGCAGCGCGCACAGGACTTGGAGAGGAGCTTGGCGGTCGAGAAGAAGGGTGGAGTGGAACTCGAGGAAGAAACACCAAAGCACTAAATGTATTGAGCGGCGTTGATGACTCAAGTATTTGGAAAGATGTTGAAAATTGTTTGTGGGAAGAAGGGACGTCACGTAGCTTGCGGACAACCTTGGCTGGAACTGTGAGGGAGTCGCTGCGTCATCCGTGTTGGTAGAGGCAGTCGCAATGCGCATCAAGGGAAGCCGCGATGCAGAGCGTCCTCTCGCTTCCGAGATTCTATTCCTCTCTGCCTTTCCGGAGCAAGCGTGGTCCTGTGCTTCAGGTGAATGCGTGAAGTACGGTCGAAGGTGAAGCAGGGCCGCCGAGCCGGATCAATCCACCTTCACCGCGTCTCTCGCGCGTGTCTTTGCTTCGCTTCGCCTCGAGCTCCTCTTCGCCTCGAGCTCCTCACCTCTTTTCTAACCACCGTCAACGAGCACTTCCGATCCTCGTCGCAGAGGTACGGTCCGCAAAATGCCGCAGCGCGCATGGCCGCAGGCGATTCTGAGGGACCCGCCGAGAACCCAGGCCATTGTGGGCGTGAGCGAGGAACGAACGGCCGTGGTCCACGACGTTGGGGTACAAGCGACGCCGCCCGACATCAGAGCTATCGACCCTAGTCAGGATCCCAGCATTCCCAGCAGCAATGGCACATGCCACCTCTTGCGAATGCCAGGCGTAAAGCAGCCCCGTGCCGCGAGTGCCGAATACCTGCTGATCGCACTGTCACCCTAGGAACTTCGCAACAAGATCTACAAGTACACACTCACCTTCGACGAAGGCGGCCTTGTTGCTCTCGAGCATACCAGATACTACCCAGCAAAGACAGTCACCGAGGAGCACTTCAAAGGGTTCCCAATTCAGGTAGTAACGACCCGGGAGGAGAGGCTCCGAGACGCCATGAAGCACCTTGCCGAGAACAAGACCAAACTCTGCACCGGAACTCGCCTTCTCGTGGAGGCAAACCAGTTGCAGTATGTATGCCGTCAACTCCGCGCAGAAACGAGAGGTCTATCTCTTCGATACAACGACGTCGTCTTCCGCAGCCACATCGGTGAGCTGGATACGCCGGCAAAACAATGCGACAGATTCCTGCACCAATGCTCACAGCCGTGGCAAACATGCATTCGGACTATCATCATCAAGGGCACTCACCGAATCAGTGCGCTCGAGCAGTGGTGCCACGCCGGGACGATCCCCGGCGCTGTATTCCTGAACGGGATAATCGAGGGGCCGGGTCTTACGAAGGTGTCGCTCGGGGCAATCGAGTTTTGCAGGCGCCATCCACAAACGACTGTGAAGCACCATCTGGCCGACGTTCACGGAGAACATTATATCGCCCTATTCCACAAGGCCTTGCTCTACCAGGCGCGTGTTCGGGGCAGTGTTCCCGCTCAGCTCTTCGGCTCTGAGCTCAATCCATATTATATCTATCTTCGCAATGCAAGCTTCAAGACGGGCCCGATCCATTACAACCCGGGTTTGCGAGGCGTCGCCAACTACCGCATGTTCCCACATGACGAGGACCTGGAGGAGATAGAGGCCCGCTCGCTTTTGGCGACGAATGCAATGCTGCATCAAGCAGTCTTCCCTTTCATTGAAGGCGGAATGGAAATGTGGATTGCCGAAATGAAGAGATGGTACTTGGAAGGCTTCTAATCCGTGTCGTCGGCTTGAAACCGCCCGAGCAGGTTGGATGCCACTCTGCATGCCTACGAAGCAGCTTGTTGTGCGTCTCAATCACCAGTCGTACTATGGGAGGGCGGATGATATCTCGTGGAGATTAATCGTCTGCACGACTCGTTCGAGTGCGTATGTGAGCAGTATTACAGTCGAAGGAACTAGTCGCTGTGGTGGAGAGGTTGAGAGCAACGGTTCAGCAAAAACACTATGATGTATACGACTCATAGCAAAGGAGTATGAAAACAAAAAAGGAGCTGAAATGAGAAGAGATGATATTTCTGATCTATGGACATAACATGTCTATGTGGAGGTGTACGAACAGGAAACATGGAAGCGAGGCAGATACGCTAACCAGATTTGGCCGCCGGCTACGGCGCGACTTCCTCCGAACCCATGGACGCCACAGACCAGCAAAGGATCATCAGCCATGGAGACAGCGCTCACGGTCTCAGAGTTTGCTATGCTGCTGTCAACATCACTCGCCCGTACCCCACCGATGAGCTTGGTCGTACGAGGGAAGCTGCCCATGCCGCTCGCGTAAGTAGGCGTCGCTGATCTCCGCACCCCACTTTCGCGATAGCATGAATCAACTCCGCGAAGACGCGCTGACACATACAGAGCTACTATTGAGGCTTCGCGAAAGGTAGAAACACCCACGAAACTTATTCGACACTTAGGATTCACAGCGCGAGACCAATTGCCATGTCTTCCACAACAGTTCTCGAAACCGCTCGCCAACCGCCGCTCAACCTCACACTCCAGAATGGCCAGAAGATCTATTTCCATTCCGACACGTCCATCGAGGCGGATGAAATACCTGTCATTGACATCAAAGGCATCTTCAGTGAGAATATTGATGCCCGAGAAGCCGTGGCCCAGAAGATTAGGGAGGCAGCGCACCGGATTGGATTCTTCTATATCATCAATCATGGAATCGACCCGAAGTATGCGGCGAACACGTTTGAGCAGGCGAAACGATTCTTTGGCCTGCCAGACGAGAAGAAGATGGAGGTCTGCACTGACCTCGTGGAGGAGTACTTGGGATACTTCCCAATGGCCAGGGTCCGTCGCTCCCTAGGTATTTACGATACCGACTCCTGACCGCATCAACAGTACAATCGCAACGGCAAGAAGAAGCAGGATTTGATGGAAGCCTACAACTGGGGCTACAATCCGAAATTCGACCCGGATGTTGCGAGCGAGCAAGAGCCGGACACGGATGCCGTAAAGCTCCTGTGGCCGAAGGACCTCCCAGGCTTCAAAGAGACGCTGTACGAACATCACGCTCAGTTGTTGACGCTTGCAAGAAGGTTGACCCGAATCTTTGCTCTAGCTCTGCAACTAGACGAGGATTACTTCGACAGTTATATTAAGCAGCCTGCGGCAGGCATGAGGGTGACGCACTATCCGCAGCAAGAGGTAAGTTGCGTTACCGGCTTCTTTGCGCTCCTTTCAAATGAAAGCAATCAGACCTCTCCTTCAGACCAGCTCGGCATCGGCGCACACACCGACTTCGAATGCTTCACCTTCGTCACGCAAGACGAGCACGCAGGCCTAGAAGTCCTCTCCAAATCCGGCTACTGGATCAAAGCTAAGCCGATCCCAGGCAGCATCGTCGTCAACATTGCAGACTGCTTCATGCGGCAGACAAATGACTTCTTCGTGTCTACCGTGCATCGCGTCGTAAACAAGGCCGGCGCGGAGCGATACAGCTGCCCTTTCTTTTTCGGATTCAACCATGACATGAAACTGGAGCCGGTGCCGACGTGTGTGAGCGCTAACAATCCGATGAAGTATCCGATAGTCAGCTCCGGCGAGTATCTGAAGTGGCGCGCTGCAACGGCGAAGAAGGCGTACTGATAGAGGTGGGAGAGTGGGGCAAGCGAACTTCGGATGAAAGTTTCCGACAAAACTCCACTTAGGCACAAACCCTGACACTTGACCACACTTGACCTTCCTTGACACATATTGCGGAGCCTGGGTGGCTTCGATTGGTTATACCCCCTCCGTTCCCGATAACCCTTGTTCTTTTCCGCATTTCCTCGCGACGTGCCTCGCTCGTTGTCGCGCATCTCCGAACTGGAGATATCAACCACCGTAATCATCCGCGCACAAGACGCTAGAACCATGCCCAGCTTCACGATGGATGTGCGATCGCCTATATCCGCTGGATGTTCATGATAAGAGCCCAATCGAGGCAAATATGAGGAGTATTTGGAAACTCGTCTCCCACCCACCGGGCCCGCAACACCACAAGCATGGCAGCCATGAGGTCCTCAAACGCCATCCTGACCACCTGCCGTGAGAAGCTTCACGAGAAGCGCATCGCGACTAAGCGAGCTTTCGAGAGCAGGGAGAATTTTATCCGCGCTCTCGAAGTCAATGAAACCGCTCATGGCCATACCGAGGAGCGCTCCTTCTGGAAGAACGAGGACTTGGATCTCACCCCTCCGGATCAATGGACCTGGGGCTGGTATGACTATGCCGCGTTTTGGTGGAGCTACGGCTTCAGCGTCGGGGTTTGGAGCGTTGGTTCGTCGATGGTTGCAATGGGCTTGAATGCGTGGCAATGTAGGTCTTCTTTCCCTCTCATGAATTCCTCAGTCTAATATGGACCAGCTATCATCTGCGTCTTTATCTCGCACCTTCTCGGAGCCATCGCGATTGCGTGGCACTCCCGAATCGGCGCCAAATACCATTTCGGCTTCCCGGTCGAATGCCGCGTCGCCTGGGGCATGTACGGCAGCTTCTTCCCCATCATCATCCGTCTGCTAGTCGGCCAGATCTGGACGTCTGTGCTCATGATGCAAGGGGGGTACTTCTTGTCCATCCTCTTTCGATGCATCTTTGGACACAAGTGGCATGACTTGCCGAACACGATTCCAGAAAGCGTGGGTGTCACAGTGCAGCAGCTGGTGGGCTTCATTCTCTACACTATTATCACGGCACCGTTGCTTGCGTTGCGGCCGCGCCATATGCGGAAGCTCTACACGATCAAGTCGTTCGTCCTCCCACCCGTCGCTATCGGCCTCTTCGCCTTCTGTATCGTCCAGGGGCGCTCTGCACCCGGCTCCGCAGGTACCTTTCTCTCCGCCAAAGCGGCACCCACCGGCTCTGCGCTCGCTTGGGCCATGCTCTCGGCCATCAACTCCTGCATGGGCAAGACGAGTTCCATCGCAGTCAACCAGACGGACCTCGCTCGCTACGCCCGCACGCCCAACGCCCCTTTCCTGTCCCAACTCATCTCCCTCCCGATCGGAAACACGCTCTGCGCCACCCTCGGTATCTTCGCCACATCCTCGACTCAACGCGCCTGGGGCATCACGCTCTGGAACCCCTGGGATCTCTGCGACGAGATCCTCGACCGGCACTGGAACGCCGGCGCGCGAGCAGCCATCGCCTTCGCCAGCATGGGCTGGATGCTGTCCATCTTCGCATCGTGCATGGGCGTCGATGTGTTCCCCTTCGGCGTCGACGTCACGGCTTTCTTCCCGCGCTGGCTGAATATCCGCCGCGGCATGTATCTCTGCTACCTCATCGGCCTCGTTATCTTCCCCTGGAAGATCCTGCAGAGCTCGACGACCTTCCTGCGTTTCCTTGGCGGGTATAGCATCTTCCTCGCGCCGCTGGTGGGGATTTTCATCACGGACTACTTCGTCGTGAGGAGGGGGAATCTGTGGGCTGCGGAGCTGTACCGGGCGCAGAAGGGCGCGGCGTATTGGTACACTGGGGGGGTGAATTGGAGGAACGCGGTAGCGTTTACGGTTACCTGCGTTTTCTTGATTCCTGGGTTCGCGGCACAGTTTGGACATGAGGTCGGCGTGGGGTGGGAGCGCTTGTATAGTCTGGGCTGGGTGGTGGGCTGTGCGATGAGTAGCGTGGTTTACTTTGGGCTTTGTATGATAGGGGACTTTTGTAGGAGGGAGAGGAAGATGGGGTTTGAGGAGGCGTATGATGTGCAGGGGTTGTTTGTGGGGGAGGCGGTTGTGGAGGGTGTGAGTGTGGAGAATGAGGAGAAGGGTGCGTCTGCGCTGGTTGCGCAGGAGGGGCAGAAGAATGGGCTGGGCGAGACGAAGGTCACGGAGCTGGAGAGATGAGCATCGATGTTGGTTTTGCGAACCACGTCCAGGAGGGAACCTTTCTGTGTAGTAAGCAAGGCGTGTCGCGTCTGACGTTAAGCGGCGGTAATGACGCGATATCACGTGGCTTCCTCAGGTCGGCGTCGCTCTTTCCTCCTCTGCGGCCATGCGGTTACCCCGCCTCTTTGACTGCCAGAGTTTGCAGGTTCAGGCTTCAATCCTGCCATCAACACTTCTTCTCTCTCGCTTCTTTTCCCCCCCGCGCTGAATCCCTTTCACCGGTCCATGGCTCTCAAAGTGAAAAGCAAGATGGCATCACCGGGAACTATTTCGCTGACCGCGGGCTCCTCACCCTCGCTCCTAATAACGATAGGAACTCCTTTACCTTTACGCTTACCTTCACCTTTACTCTACCTTCACCTTTTCTCTTACCTTCACCTTCACCTTTAACTCTCACTCTCACTCTCACTCTCACCCTCACCTTCACCGTTCATCGATCTCTTCACCTCACCAAGCTTTCTATCAGCCTACAGCATATTCCAGTATAAAAGCCCGCCGAGCTTTAAGAGTATGCCGATCACCTACACCCCAACTTCAGGACCCGCCACATGGCCAGTCCAAACACAATGGCATCGAACAAACTAGACTCGGACGGGAAGCCGGCAGCTATGAGGTCTGTCAGTTCCCGGTCCTAGATTCGCACTATGCTTACTTGTTGGCAGGTTCCATCCCTCCGCAGTGGCCACTATCCGTGTCGGCAAAGGAGAAGCCCAGGAAGACCTCATCGTCCACGAGGACATCATCTCCCGCTCCGACTTCTTCAAGCGTGCGCTCAACGGTAATTGGGCCGAGGCTGAGACCCGAGTCATCGAAATGCCAGAAGACGACCCGGCCGCGGTCCGTCTGTACCTCAACTTCGTCTACACCAAGGCCACTGCTGCGCAGATTACGTCCGACAACCAAACGAGCTTTCTACGCGAGATTAAGGAGCAGTATTGCGAGGTCGCAAGAGTCTACGTGCTCGCTGAGAAGTTGCAAGATACGCTGACCAAGAACGCCATGGTCCGTATGATGTCCGAACTCACATTCAAGCGTGACAAGAATGAGAGGCGTTACTTTCCTAGTTATGAATCGATCAGTATCGTGTACAACGAGACACCAGAAAAGAACCTCATGCGACAGCTTCTAGTGGACTTCTGGACCTCAGTCGACGTACCCGTTGTGGCTCAATCCTACGACATGCTCCCAAAGGAGTTCATGCGAGACCTCCTAGTCGTGCTTCTCAAAGAGAATCAGAAGAGGGGGAACAACGCGAGGGTCAATGACGTTGAGAAGTATCTTGAGCAGGTCTGAGAGCTCTTCGGCAGAAAGGCGAGGAACCATGTCATCTCTTGTGGAAGGGAGTGGGGCAGACCGCCATAGGTGTGTTCGGGCATGCGCCATCGGGCCCCTTCTGCTTCTTTTCGGCGCTCTAACTGCAGTAACTACCGTTAGTGGGGAACTGGGAGTAACTAGACCGACGCTCTCTATCGTGTGGGACGGCGCGGAGAATAATAACTACTTTCCTCAAGATGTACCGTACCATACATTACCACTTCTTGACTTCGACGCCATCAGAATTGGAGCCATGCGACGAACAACAACTGAACCTCCTTGCACGCGGGACCAGAAACGAGACGAAATCACGCATACCCCCATCACAAACACAACCCAGAATCGGCAAGAAAACACGCACGCAATCAACACCACAGAATGAATTAATATGTAACCCCCAAATCGACGATGCAGCAGAAGCTTAAACACAAAAAAAAAGAGTAAACCAACCCCATCACCACAGCGCCGTCCTCCCCCTTAAGACCGCGTAACCAGCCCATCCCGCGGCGCCCTCCCCGTAATCAAATACTCAATCTCCACCTGCGTCGTCTCGCCCCCCAGCGCGAAACTCGTATGCCCAACCCCATCTCTGCTCACAAACACCTTGTTGTCGATCTCCTCCAGCATGCCCAGCGCCCAGGGGAACCCCGTGCTCGGATCCGCGTAGCTATTCACCATCACGATGGGCGCGTCGGTCTTCACGTGCAGTTTCGCGGGCGGATTGGCGACCGGAACCGGCCAGCCGAGGCACTGGTGCTGCAGCGCCCAGGACTGCGACGCGCCCTGCGTGAGCGGCGCGTAGTGCTCCGCCATTGCCTTTTTGGCGCGCATGCCGGCGAGCGTGAGAGACGCGTTGTGCGTCCAGTCGAGGCATTCGACTGCGAGGCCGGAGATGGCGGAGGGGTCGGTCAGGCTGCTTGACAGGGCTGATGCGTCGCCCTGCGAGGCGTTGTGCAGCGCGGAGGCGAAGTCGGCCCAGCTGGCGCCGAGGCCCGGGATGGCGGGCTTGAAGTGCAGAAAGGCCTGGCTGTTGAAGAGGATCTCCTCGGCGTTGACGTCGGTGCGGCAGGTGGTGCCGTTGCAGGTTGGCGCGGGGATGGGCGTCTGCGTAGCGTTGGCGAGGAGCTCGCGCCAGAGCGCTTCGACGTCGCGGCCGTGGAGGACGGAGGTCTCGTTCGTGGCGGCCCAGGCGAAGAAGTCGGTCAGCACGAGCTGGTAGGAGGTTGATTCGGTGAGGATGTTGGCGGCCTCGGATTGCGAGTGCTGCAGCATGCTGTCGAGGAGCAGGGTGCGGATGTTGTCGGGGAAGAGCGCGGCGTATTGGGCGCCGAGCTGGGTGCCGTAGGACAGGCCGACGAAGTTGAGCGGTCCGTCGTTCAGGGCGATGCGGACGGCTTCGTGGTCTTTTGCGGCGCTGTCATACGTTAGCGTCGTCGTAGAATTCGTGTAATATTCCGGGCGCCTCTACCCTCTGAAGGCATCCCCGAATCGCGGTCTAGTGCAAGAACTGTGGAGCGTATACCAAAGGCCACATACCTGATCGTATCCACATGCGCCAGCAGCGGCCCCGTCATATTCAAGCACGACTCTCCCAACCTTCTATTATGCTCCACAAGCTGCTCAAACTCCTCCTGCGTCTCCGGGAACAGCGACACACGCTCCGCCCAGATCCCCATGTCACACTTTACCGGGTTGCTGAATCCCACGCCACGCGGATCCAAGCCGATAACATCAAAGCTCTCCAGCAGCGGGCCGAGCCCGATGCTCTCGCCGCCCGCCGCGAGCGCGACAACGAGCTCGATCGCGGACCCGCCCGGCCCGCCGGGATTGATGAACAACGAGCCGAGCCGGGACGAGCTGTTGGAGGGCGTCGCGGGCACTCTGACGAGCGCGAGGTTGAAGTGCGCGCCGTGCGGCTCGTCCCAGTCGATGGGGACGGAGAAGCTGGCGCATTGGACGTTATCAGGGACGCTGGCTTCGGGAGGGCAGGTGGTCCATTCGATAGAAGACGCGGTGCTGTTGGCGGGGAGTGTGCAGGTGGGAGATCGCGGTGTTAGGGGGACGGCGGATGCGGTCGCGATCAAAGAAGAAGCAAGGAGAGACAGCGAGAAGCGTAACGAGAGCGTGTGTTGCACCATGATGGCAGGTTATCGACAAGCGAGTAGAAGAGAAAAGCTGAACGAGAACAGGAAGCTCTTTGAACAAAAGACAGACTGCGACAATGACAAGAAAAAAAATTGCATACCTACCAGCGGCCTCCTTTCCTACCTAAATACCTGCCAAACGCCTCAAAACAAAGAACCTTCCGGCTCGGCCCCAAATGCATGACGAAACTGCGCCTGCTCTCGCATTCCCTAGTACTGCCGCCGCAATCCTGAGCTCATCTTAAGCGTCCATTCCCGGCGACACGAGGAGCGCACGCGCGTGCAGCATTTATCGAGAGCGGAAAGGATTCTGCGAGATGCGAGAATTTAGGTTGGGGCGCAAGCTTTGGTCCGAGCGTGGGCTAGCTGGGTTGGGGTAGGCAGGCACGTGGGAGGAATAAGGCTCGCTAAGTGTGGTGATTGGTTGGGAGGGGGGATGCTTTGGGTTTAGGGAGGGCCGTTTGGGGAAGCGGCTGCGAGGACTGACTAACAGAGCATGGAAAAGCATGCTGAAGTTCTATATATCTTGCTGGGATAGCCACAAGAGCTATTGTATGTATATGAGAGAGAAAAGCAGGCTCTATCGGCGCTCGAGCATCTCCTGGAAACTGGCTCTCATGCATACGATGTCTCTTGGCCGTTCGCTTTTTCTATACGATTGTTGCTTATGCTTGTAACACATCTCCCGGTGTGTGAGATGAGGGTGAAGAAAGATGCTAGCAGTTTTGAACGCATTTATCAGTTGTAGGTTCGGGAATTCCAACTGATATCGCGACACGCAAATGGGAATTTGTTCCGAATATAGTTGATTAAACGGCTGGGCGGTGAGCCTCTGAGACTGGGATGGCTATATCGGAGTCTCGGGTGATGTGCGGCGGCCAAGCAATATTAGAAGATCCTTTAATTCGAATCTTGAGCTGCAAGTGCGTACTCACTGTTGTCAACGTGCTTAGCAGCCGAAACCTATTTGCTGCCCTTCCCTGGGGCTGCAGGAACCTCCTCGTGATAGTTGGATCCGTTGCCAGCTCTCAAGTCTTGAAGAGGCCGGGCTCTCCGCTCGAGCATCCCTTGGGCGACATCGAAGAGAAAATCCTTAGGTAATACTTCGGCGTCCTTCTCGCCGAGCCACTTAGACCATCCCTGCTCAATGTAGAAGTCCACTAGGAGCCTTCTCATCGCACTGGACCGGGTCGTGCCGTCGTAGATGAGGCTGATACAAGTACTGGACGGATATCGCTCGAGCCCGTCCTTCTGTTTCTCCTCTGTGGCTTCGATGATAGCATCGACGATTTTGTTCTTCGAGAAGACATCTTGGACCTTGTCGCAGAAGACGTAGAGCTTGCAAAGCTGCTTATACTCGGATACGAGATGATAATCTATGGGCTTCTCTTCTTCTGAGACTTCTTTTTCTTTTTCGCTGTCGGCATCGCTCTCGTTGCTGTCGCTGCTGTCCTCGTGGCTGCTTGAGGCGGGATCGAGGTCGTTATTCTCGCCTTTTCGTTCGTCCGTCGCGTTTTTAGTTGCAGTTTCTTCTGGAATTTCCGGTCGCTTGTTCAACGGCAGCAGGCCCGTGTACAGCAGCTGGACGTAGAGCTCGAATATCTCCACGTCATCCTCCGGCAACTTCACCACCTTCTCTTCCGCCTCCTTCCAGTTCCCGTTCAATGCCTTAGAGAAGAAGGCTGACCGCGAGCAGATGAGATCTTTGTGTACCCAAATGGACTGCGCCTGCTCGCCTTCGCCAAGTCGAACCTCGATGCCGGTGCGACCAAAGCTGATGTGTTGTTAGAGATAGATATTGGCAGCGTTGAGGGTCTGTGTGAAGCCGCAGAAGAGTGAGCCAAGCGCTCATGTGGCGCACTTACTTTGTAGCCATGTACGTAGACACGCGGACATTGCTGTTCTTTGTCATTGTTTAGTGCTAGTTGCTTTTGGTTGTCGTTGCGGGAGTGAAATTTGGCGTTGAATGTATTAAGGTATGTGTGCGTGCAGCTAAGAAGAGAAAGCGAGGTAGTTCGCCAAGAACACTAGCCCGTTTTGGAGAGTGAGTGAAAGGAGGGAGTGTTCTGGATGACAGATTGTGGAGAGCAAATTGCGGTTGTGTCGAGGAATGGGTAGTGCTTAGGGAAGATCTGGCGGTCTGGCCCATGGCTGTTATTTATACTAGGGAGAAGTGCGATCAGGGTGAAGCGTTGTGAAAGCAACGTTTTCTCAAGGGTAACACCTCTAAGTGTATACGTGAAAGCTAGCGGGAGAGCTTTCAACACGAAGTTGCGTCGGAGTGAAATGTTGTTCTTTGTTCCCCCTCGGCCTTTCCGAGCGCTCCATTGTCACTCAAAGCCCTATGTCGCCCGCCTCGGGGTTCTGGTGTTTTCGTAGTTCACCGTCCGACCGTTAGACACCGAAGACGACCGGCCTATCGAAGTCGAGGCGCACCCTAGTCTCACTCGACATTCGACTGGGTGGAGAGGTGCTCAGGTTAAGTTTCAGGACGTGTTATGTCCGAAGGATGTGAGAGGGGAAAGTTGGGGGGTGTTCAGCAGGAGGAAAGTCGGACGACGGCCAGTACGTCATTCCTCGCGCTAAGCCTTGACGAAATTAGCCCATCTATCCCCGTTACCACACGCTTACAAGTCTTCCACTTCCGAGTATACCCTGAACATCAGTCCTATACCAGACGCCAATAGCGATGCTGCATTCCCAGTATCTACTTCTTAAGAAAAGTCCAAATATCCACACTTCACGCATCCCATCCTCACCACCCACGCCTCTAACCCCTCCAAAGCACGCTCCTCTCATCCCGCGCGTTAACCCACACATACTCCGTACACCTCGGATCACTCTTTCCCTTCGCCAGCGTAACCGCCATAAGATTAACCTCCATCCACGTCGGCCGCATACCCATGCCCTCCAGCCTCTCCCACCACTTGCGGAATCTCTGGAACGACACGCTCGGCTGATCAGCCCCGACATGGATCTCAATCATGACCTGTCCGATCGGCAGCACCGCATCGCCCTCGGCGCCCTTGTGCCGCCACTCCCTGGCAAAATGATTCATGACGGTGTCGAAAGCCGTGTATTCGTTGCCCTCGATGTCGATTTTCAGGATGTCGATGTAGGTATGGTTGTTCTGCGCCATGAGGGCTTGCAGCGTGTAGAATGGTGGGTTTCTCGTGGGCTGGTCGACTTGGCCGAGGCCGACTTTCTTGAAGAAGGTGCGGGGGCGGTGGGCTTCGGCGATTTGCGGGCCCCAGCCGTCGACGGAGAAGTCGTAGCCCCAGATCTGCAGGCTGGGGACGCGCTCGAGCATCTCGGCTTCGAAGGAGGATTCGTAGTTGATGCCGAAGCTGTACATCACTACGCCTTGTTGTGCTGGGGAGGACAGTCCCCACCTTGACGGTGCAGCTGAAGGTGCCGGAATCGACTCGTAGATGCTCATTCCGCACACCCATTTGCCTCCGTCGCCTAGCCTTCCCACTCGCTGGATGTCGTGCGGACATGTCCATGTCGGGGGGAAGAAGTCCCAAAGTGTATATGGGTACTTTCCAAACTCATCCAGTGACTGTGCCGGGAACAGTGGAATCTGCGGGTTGTCGGGGTGTGCGACCGCCATCTGCTTGCGTAGTTCAACGCTCTTCAGCCATGATTTCTCGGAAAGCGCAAACCGCTCTCGCAACGTTGGGTACTTCCGATTCGATGAGCGCTGTGGGAGAGGGAGTGAAGGGAGGAATGAGCGTTCTCCGCTTTTGTTCTGGAGTACTGCAACGACGCAGACAAGAATAACAAGAGCGGCGATCACACGCCCTTGGAGAGAGTAAGCGGAATTCGATGGAACATACAGGGTATTTGACGCACCTTGGAGCGACCGGATCATAGTTAGACACTGCTGCCGGAGCTTCGCGAAGTTGAATTCACGAAAGAAGAGAGTGAGGGGTTGGAGGTCAGAGGTTCAGGAATACTAGTCGCGGTGTTGATGGGTTAGGCGCAATCGAAGGAACCATAGTAGTCGAGGGACGGCTGAAGATAGTCCGGATGAAAGTTGCCGACTTCAGCGACGTGACAGGGTCCCGTGGGTCTGTCTCCGTGCACCTGCAGCGGAGCTTGCCACCAGCGCGCCAAGGCCAGCCGTGTGTATCAGCCAACGGCATACCGTGCAGCAACAGGCAGTGGAAGTACGAGCTGCTGCTTTATTTGAGACGATATAAGCCTCTTCAGGGGACCGCATCCACATCGAGCCCTATTCAGACGCTCGTCGCCAAGACTTGCCCAGTCGTGGCGGAAGGACGACCCGCGCCTCACACTAACTCCACATTTCTGAAGCGCGCCTAGCCAACGCCACCAGGGATGCTTTCGATCGGCGTGTCGATCGGACAAGTGACGGAATGCAATCACCGTATTCTGTGGTCACTGTGGATCCAAGTCGGTAACCGAGCCGTTTCAGGATGTTCCCCAATCGGATCGGAATATTCTAAGTGCCCTCCTGTGCACTTCAGAGCTCTTTTAGTACCGGACAACCCACGTATCTATAGCTGAGAAGGTCGTCGCAACAATATTCGTATTTAAGCACGGCTAGGCGTGCATACCTAGAGATTATCGACCCGATATTCGGGAACAATTGATACACCAAAACCAACGCAGCCGGCTTTCGATAATGTATTACGCTAAAATTCGGTGCACTGCGAGTGCTGCGACGAGCAACAGGCCACTGCAGGTGATGAAGACCAGGTCGCGATGATGCTCTCCTGTGCACATGTTAGCGCTTACCGTTTTATCGTGATAACTTTGGTTGCTCGCTTACCTTCTTTCGTCGTACTCAGCGCGATCACGACGAACGCATTCAATGGGACCCTCAGAATGCCGTAAACGCTCGCTCTTGCTCCGTCATCGATAAGTTTGCCCTTCAAGGAGCCCATCACTGGGTAGTAAATTCCGCAGCATACCTCGAAGATGCAGAAGGCCCAGAGAGTAATGCTCTCCTTGCGGACATATGCGGGGAAAAAGAAGCACATAGATGCAAGGGCTAGGGTACAGATTAGGATGCGCTTGGCCGGGGCCGCGGATGAGGATGTGACGTTGTTGTAAAGCTGGGAACCGAACATCATGGAGCACATCAGGATGGCGAAGATCAACCCAAATGGTAAGTCTTCATAGTCAAATTAGCACCGCAATAGGAAGCGGGTGGACACTTCACTTACCGCTAGAGGACCCAGCCAGCTCATGGCAGAGCTTGAGAGCTGGGAATTTGAAGAAGATGAAAAGGAACAGCGAGCCCTCGAAGAAGCATGATGCAACCGCGAGAGTTAAGATGTTCTTGTCTGTTGTCCACTGTTAGGTGAGCTCCTTTGGATATGTTCAATGACCATACCCTGCAAGACGAGCCTCAACGCAGACTTCGTGGGGGCCTCATCGTTCGCTTGCTGTTCCAAAAGACCGGTCGATTCTTCCGAGCCACCTTGCCTAGCGCCGTAGTTCTCCGGCTATCATGGTCAGCCAGACCCAAAGCGCCGATTCCAATACTCACCCATGTCTTTGATATCGTGATAAAAGCAATGGACAAGCATACGGCTGAGGCCATGAATGGCGCTTTTGCCGTTCCAACCATGCCCACGAGAGACTCCGCCAGGATACCTGCGCCGATAGCCACAAGGCCATTCAAGGTAGTCATGGTGCTAAAGATGCCGCTTAAAGCCGATCCTTGCTCTTCCAGCATCAGCCCGTTGAATTCAGCAACGAGCCAGCTCTCGAAAACGCTGTACAGCAGAGTGGCAGATATGCCGCCGAGGATCCTACCCAGGAACAGAAGGACAATCTGGTCGCTGAGGAGCGTGAGGCATGATAGCGAATAGATGACGCAGTAGGCGAGGCATGCTGCTTTGCGACCAAAGCGATCCGCAAAGGCACCTGCGAAGGAAGCGGATACGCCGCCCGAAAGGAAGCCCACCATGAAGAGAAGCGCTACGAGGCTCTCTGCAAGGCCTTTCTCATCTGAATATAGATGTTAGCTTCTGCCTACGCCTTCCATAGGACTTCCTGACCCTACCTTTGTAGATGGGGTAGATGTACGGTCCCTGCAGCCAATCGGCGCCGTTCACGAGAAGATAAACAGGAAGAAACCGCCATTTGAGGCGTGTCACTCGCTCTTCATCGCCTGTCTCTCGACCTCGATGTTCGACCTTCTCCGGGTTCGCTACGCTCTCGCTGGACGCGACGGTTTTTGCGCGATATGATTGATACAAGACGACGCCGTTCAAGAGGAGGGAGCCTGCCAATGTGGTTCGATAGAGGTCCATCTCAGTGGTGTTGCAATACTGAATGTTCGGCGTGGACGAACGACGGTCATGTTATCGAAGGCCTGGCTTTCCTGCAGGGGGGACAAGCTCCGCGCATGGGCCAATCGCGGGAGCCCATACCATTGACGTGCGCCATGCATGACGGAGGCAAGCGCCAGGACTTTTATTTACTGGGCGGAGCGGGTTGTGTCTTGTGAAAGTGGGCCGTGTTTGGTCTTGGAGTGAAGGGCCCCGCGTCTACGGTTCTTGGAAAGCTGAGCCGAGCGCCGATCGTGTGGAACCCACCGCGTCGCACCATCAGCTTCGCCGTTGTTGGCATTCTTTGATGGTATACCCCTGCAACACAATGTTTTGTTATTCTCTAATATGCCCGGGCAGTTCGAACGTGCTTGCGGATGATTCGGACACCATGTCGAGTCTTGAAGAGCGAAAGATGCGCCGGGATGAGCGGCATCGAACTCTTGGGTGCACAATTACCTAAATAGTCAGATTCCTATACCGGTAATGTAGCATTCTAGCCTCTCACTACTGTAATAGCTGCAGTCCAGAAGAGTCTCGCCTGGGGCGAGACTAAGTGCACGTGACGTAAACTTTGCGTCTCGATCACCTTTTTGTCTGGGACCGGCAATGAATAACCGGGATGCTAACGATTTTCGGCTAGGAATGGCCTATATGAGGGCACTAAAGAAGGCTTATAATGGTCAATATTGGTTCTCGTGATGGGTGCAGGTTCCGTTCCGCCCGCTTAACCTAATCTGACTAGTACACGCGCTACCAGATTTAGAAATGCAGGGATGGCACCTATCAACAACCTCCTTTCTACCTAGGTACACCCACAAAGCAAAAACGCGCCGACTGCATCTTCCTATGACGAACCCGACAAGTGCCAGCCCCAATTGGGTCCGTGGATTCTTCGGTGCCCTCCTTGACCGCCTAATTGGCTGGCGGTTGGGGTTTCCCCCAGAAACATGCAACTACAGAGTCCAAGGCCTGCGCATCCCCATATCGGATGGCCTCAACCGGATCGAGTTTGCTGCAGACCTATACCAACCCATTCTTCCTAAAGACACCAAACCCGCAGGTACAATCCTCGTATGCTGCCCCTACGGCCGCGGTCTCCCACTTACTATTTGTGCTCGCGTGTTCGCTTCGCGAGGGTTCCAAGTCCTCTTCAGCAGCTGCCGCGGTACTTTCGGCTCCGGCGGCGAGTTTGATCCTTTCCGCACCGAGGTAGAAGACGGGAAGGCCGTTGTCGAGTGGATGCGCGAGCAAGACTGGTATACGGGCACTTTTGCGACCCTTGGTGGTTCTTACCTAGGCTTTACGCAATGGGGTATTCTCTGTGATCCACCTAAGGACATGGTTACTGCGATTATTGCCGTCGCTCCACATGACTTTGGGAGAGGGATCTGGGAAACGGGTGCTCTCAATCTGGATATTGTGAGCTGGGCGAACACGATGGCGCATCGAGAGGAGCCGTATTTCCTCCTACGCCGTATACTGAAACTGAACAATTTTCGACCGGTTTTGGACAGCATTCCTCTGGCTCAGAGTGTAGAGAAGGCGATGGGAGGTAAAGCGCCGTGGCTGAAGAATATCATGTCGAAGCCGAGCTTGGAAGATCCGCACTATGCCCCGATGAATCTCGGAGAGGCTCTCGAGCGCGTAAATATCCCGATACTACTACAAGGCGGGTGGTATGATATCTTCACGGAGCAGACAATGGAACAATACTTTCGACTGCAGGAACGAGGCTGCAATGTTGCATTGACGATGGGCCCTTGGACGCACAATGGCGTAGGATACGATCCGATCACCACGCAGGAGTCGCTCGCGTGGATGGAAAAACATCTCGCCCAGCAAGGGAAGACGGAGCGCCAGGCGCCCATGCAATACTATGTCACCGGAGCCGGGGAATGGCGCCACACTGCCAAGTTTCCTCCTCCATCCGCGCCATACACATTGCACCTCCGCTCAGGCCAAAATCTCACCAGCGAAACTCCGGATTCCGAAGCCACGTCCTCGGACTTCATTTTCGACCCCCACAATCCTACACCCACCATGGGTGGGAACACGCACAGGAAAGCTGGCAGTGTTGACGACACAGCCTTATCGAAACGCTCCGACGTCTTGTCATTTACAACCGCCCCGCTCGACGAAGACCTCGAGGTCATAGGAAAGCCCATCGTCGAACTCAAGCACTCCACCGACAATCCCTACGCCGACCTCTTCATTCGCATCAGCGAGGTAGATGAGAAGGGCATGTCCCATAATATTACCGAGGCGTACCAGCGCTTAGACCCTGAGCGCAAAACGAACGTGGTTCGTCTTTCGCTCCACTGGTGCGCCCATCGGTTTGTCAAAGGGAAGAGCATTAGGCTTATGGTGGCCGGCGGGTCGCACCCACATTACGCCAGAAATATCGGGACGGAGAATCCGGATAATACTAGGAGCGATGTGAAGGCCGTCAGGCATACGATCTTCCATGGAGGCACGCAGATTTCGAAGATCGTGTTACCTTCAGCATAAGGTGTGAGGGTTTCTGGCGAGGGTTTAATGTGGGTCATTCCATGCGCGGCTGAAGAAGAGGAGCGGTCAAAGGGATTCTGTCGAAGATGTGCGATGCCACGCCGGGGCGAGATATAGCGCCGTCAGAAAGGAATCACCAAGATGTCATGCTAAAGGGCACGAATGATAGTGGCTTTACGAACTCCTTTGCACATTCTATGTGAGCACCCACTCGGCAATGACTCATCCGCCCACGTCCTCACTCGAGTCAACGAAGCACTGGCCACTTTCTCCCCTCGAAGAAGCATGAATACGGAGTCTAACGCGCTCAGCCGCCCGCATCTAAACCCTTTAAGAAATATCACCGACGCCATTAATTGGCTACGAATGCAGTCGTCCCGCAGAGCACAGATGCAACGAGTGGACGATCATTCAGATCTATGGACATCCTATCTACCTCCCCGTCATCTCCCTGAGAAACTCCTTTCCAATCCCCACCGCTGAGCTCATCCTCCGGCCGCTTTAACCCATTGGGCTCCTATCTGAATTTGAGCATTTCCACGTCCTTGATCCCATTGGTAATCCCTTTGCAGTAATCCGCCACTACAAGAACCGTCAATTTCCACGCGTTCAAAATCTGCCATCTCGTGGACTTACATGGATAGAACCGGAATATAACATCAACGCCATTGCACACATAAGCATTAGTGCCGTGGTGCTCCGCCAGAATCTTGCAAAGCTCCTTGGTGTCGATGGCGTACATATCGATCTGTATTCCTGGCTTGTCGTCGTTGCCGACGTACTGTGCCATCAGGGCCCTCTGGGACTCCACTGTGCCGAGCAGTTTCGTCGGGGTGTTTGCCACCCACTCGGCGTTGTTCCCCTCCTCGTTGATGATGAAGTTGCCTTCCCATGCTTCCATGAGCTTCTTGCACTTTTCGATGTCAGCTGGATTGACGGGCATCGTGCGTTCGAATGGTGTAGCTGTTGGTTTCCGTCTTTGATGCTGAAGGGAGGTGGTAAATAATAGGTGGAGAGTCTTGGTGGTGCTGTGAAGATTGCAGGTATGGTAAGATCAAGAAAGAGGATTCGAACAAGGTAGACGACACTTTTTATGCCCAGCCCCACGCTGACTCTTCATCAATATACAGTCACTACGGAGTACGAAAGGCCCACGTATGAGCCACTAGTAGTTCGCGCAGTCACGCGAGGCGCCGGTGCGGACTGACTCAAAGCGCAATGACGCAAAGCCATATATGAGGGCGACCGGTGTATCTGCGCGTCAGTAGACCACTCTATCCGCTGCCGCCATACTAGATACTGAACCGCCCGAGACAGACTTCTACGGTGGCTTTAAGAGAAAAGGGCTGCATCAAGGAAAGCAGTGAGCCTCCAATCAGTTCTCATCGTGATATCCAGCACTATGAGGCTCACGGTCTTCCACGGGAGCGAGCAGACATCGAAAATTGTGTTACCATTGGTAGCATAGGATACCATTGCATCTAGCATGGGTCACTGCACCACGAATATTGACCGGTTCCTTTGCTTTGGGCTATGAGAATCCATTTGAATACATACACTCTCCCGTCTGTCTGTCAATTTGCCACTAACACAAGTATTCCATCATAGAACCCTTCGCCACGCCCATGGAGTCAAAATCGAGCTCAAAACTACTGGCTCGAGGGTTGCTCCTCGTCGTTAAGAATAACATAGCCGGCGCTAACAGCAACATGCTTGAACAAGTTCGGAATCTCCAACGACTCCCCCTTTTCATAATCATCCTTTGCACTGCCTGCGGCGATAGGTCAGCACCTCGAATACATGTAAAGGGTGGTTTACCTACATGCCACGAATTTGAATACAATGAGGTGGTTCTGGAGAAATAGAATAACCTTCGACTGGGTCCCGAACTCGGCAAGCTCCTTGAGCATATCTTTTCGTTTCCCGGAATGGAAATCAAACTCGCACCCTTCTTCGTTCCCGCGCAGTGGGAACATTTGGCCCATGAGGCAAATGCCCATTTCATGGCCCGTGTCGCCGAAAATGAATTGGGGAGTGTTGGGAATCCATTCTTTCCTGTCCGGCAGGAGGTGCTGCTCATATTCCTCCATCAACTCCGTGCACCGAACGACCGCCACGGACAGCGGCTCGGATGGAGCTGAGGAAGTTGCCATGGCGCTCTAGTGGGGAATTATTAGCATCAGCCCCTACATGATAACGTGGGAATTAATGCGCACTTAGCCTTGAGCAAGAGAGAAGAAACCGAGGTGGAGGTGAGAATCAAATATGTTGCTTTGATCGATCCGGGTATATGTCTTGGATGACGCTGTCGCCCGCGGGTGGAAGAAGAGAAGAAGAAGAAGACATGTCGAAGAAAGGGTTATATAGACTCTCGGAGTGGGGTGACTCAGAAGCACAAGCAGCTTCAGAAATGACTCCGCAATCGCAAGGTGAGTGGGGGTCGTTCGTCAATGCGCATGGTTATGAGCCATGGGTCGAGGGCGATGGCCAGGGCGCGCCCCCCGTATGTGACCAACAACATCCAAGCTCGCCCTGACTCTTCGACCTCGCTTTTCGCAAGGCGAACGGCGAACATCCCATCACCACATCTTCCCCTTATCCAAGATCATGATAAACCTCTGGGTGACAATTCCAAACCTCCTCCTGTCCCTTCTCCATCATCGCCTCTTTTCGCTCCCAATCCTCTGGCTATCCCAACTCCGCCCTGGACTCCTCCGGCAATTCTTCCTCCCACCTCGCAATCACCTCAAGCTCATATCTAACTCGTTGTGGATACATGTCCCGCATCAGCAGCCTCAAAATGGGTTCTGCGAGAGAAACTTCCAACTATACCTAAAAGCGACAGTGCAGCTTCATTGAATGCATCCGAACAAGAACAGGCATGGCCGGCCTAAAGTGTGATGGGACTTTCCGACTCTCGGATTCCAAATCCCCGGCATACCAAGCTCTATATTTCATATGCTCGGATGCGGCCATCTGCAGTTTGCCCTCGTAGGCGACACCAAGTACGCGCCGCACTCGCCGCTATTGCAAACACCACCATCTATCTTCTTTGGGAGAGCATTTCAGTTTCCTGGCCAATCTGGATGGCGTGTTGTTAATTTTCCGTTCATTCCTGGCCAGGGAGCCTAATCCGGACAGGCACGATGTAGATTGGACAAACGATCCGGAAGAATCAGCATCGCCGTAGCCGCCCCAAAGTGCAGAAGATATTCCTGCTATGGTAGAAGCTCATACTCTTACTGCTCCCGCTTCCACTCGTTTGACTACTCCTAGGTTATTCTTCACATAGACTTTCTCGCCAATCGGGGGGTTTTTTTTTGGAGTTCAACGTTTTTCACTGTGCACATCTTCCTCGTGCAGGAGACTTCGTCATAGAAGGCCTGGAACGGTAGCAAACCCTGTTCCCAACTCTGGAAAGAGGACATCGAAGATGCGACGAAGATGCGTTCGAACGGTTCTGATACGAGAAATTCAGACCCGACAATTCAGATACCGGCGCGACGAATAGAACGGACGGATAGCTGGAAATACCGGATTCATTGCTACGTGTGTAACAGTGTGTGGGACATTTAATTTTATGCATATCAACCCCGAAAACGATTAATGCAAACGGTGAACTCGTCTAAGTTTGAGGTTTTAAGATTCCTAGCAGTGGCCCCTTGGACTAAAGCGCTTTTGCTTCAACTTAGGTGGAAATGAAAGAACTCAGAAAGTCTGTCCATTCCTCCTCTCTCCGCTCGCAGACCTCCACCTGGACATTCCATTCCGATTTCAGATAGTGCTGTGCAGTCCGGAACTAGAAGTCTCGGAAGGTTGAACCCGCTTCATGAAAGGTAGGACGCTATATCATGAGATGGACCGGTATAATTGAATCCTTTCCTCAGGGCAGCGACGAGATCCACCAGAGCCTCTTTCGGGACAATTTCGAGATTGTTGTAGAGGCAATTGCGCAATGTCTTCTCTCTAACGCCCGTGGACATGCCAATGACGAGTCGCCTTGCCGGACTACCTTCTGGCGTGCCCTCGTAGACCTTTACTAGTATATTCACAGCTGGCGCAATGCCGATGCCATCCCGGCTCGTTTGCTCTGCCACTTCTAAGAGAGCGGTGAAAGTAGCATCCTTGGTCGGGGTATCCTGAAGCTTCTCTGCAAGGATATAGAGGCAGAAGAGATTGTTATATTCCTCATTGACGGTCGTCCTAAATTTGTTGTGGTCCAGGGTAGCAAGTTCCTCGCTGTCCACCGACATTGTATGGAGCCGACCGGTATAGACATAATTGAGATAGATTCCAAATATATCCGGCTCGTCTTCAGGGAGGTGGACTATGTGCGCGTGGGCTTCCTCCCAATTGCCGTTCAAGGCGCGGCGGAAGAACTCCGATCGTGAGGTGAGGATCGATTCGTGGGCGACGAAGTCTTTGCTCTCTGGCTCTTTTCCGACGCGAACAGTCACCAAGGCGGACGGATCAAAGCTGTCGATCTAGAGTCAGCAAGATTGTAATTTTGTTCATCTCAGCGCCTTCCTCACCTTACGCCGCCGCCCCTAAGCGCTCGGGTAGTATTTGTAGACGTCATGATGTTCCGATGACGTTCCACAGTGGCGTTTGGTTGTTGGAGTAAATCACTAAATTCCAATTTGCGCGAAGAATATCTCAGTGAGGTGGGCGTTAGCGTGACACTAAGAAAGCGCGCTTCACCTGATTCGGCGTGGAAGAGTGAATTAGTGATACTCAACAGATAACGGGTTCTCAGATGTGAGGTTATGTAGCTTCATCGCCACCTCCTTCATCGCTATCACTTACATCGCTATCACTTACATCGCTATCACTTTCGTCGCTATCGCTTTCATCATGGCCACCTTCTCCACGTATGTTATCCGCCTTGTTCTCGCCACCCTCCAGCGCACCAGCCCTCTCCCCCTTGTCTTCCCGCTCCTCCTCATGATACCGCCTCGCATCACAATACTTCACATCCTCCCACCACTTCCTCACCTTCGGGGGCCCGTACATCAGCGACAGCGCAACGTCAAACAGAAACTCCTTGGGAAACTGCTCCTTAAACCGTGTGAGATATCCCGGCCGCATTCTTTGAACAGCCAAATCGACAAGGAACCATCTCGCAGCACAGTCTCCACCTGTCCCGTCATAGATGATGCGGATGATATCTGTTCCTGGCATCCATGCCAGGCCTTCCGCGTCCACCGTGCGCACTTTACAGAGCATGGTGTCCATTATAGCGTTCTTCGACGAGTTGTCCTGGAACTTGTCGGCGAGGACGTAGAGTTTAGCGAGCGCGATGCCCCCAGGGACCAGACGTTCTGGAGGGGAGTCTGGAGGCTCTTTTATGGGGACGGTGCGTGTACACAGTAGCTGCACGTAGTGTGCAAAGAGCTCCGGATCATCGTCGGGAAGGTGAATGACCTTTTCCTGCGACTCTATCCATGGTCCATTGAGCGCTTTGCGGAAGAAGTCGGAGCGGGCGCATATCAGGTCCTCGCAAATGTTGAAAGTCTTTCGAGTTTCGGGGTCGTTCCCGACATGGACTGTTATAAGTTTGTTGACGCTGCAAGGACGTTGTTAGTACGGAGCTCTGGGGGTAGTGATGCGTGGAGTTTGGAGTTGCTTACTCGAAAGTTTCGTCTTTGGGGACGCGAATATCCCTAGGGTGCATGAAGCATCTTGAGTGGTCCATAGTTGCTAATGTATGAGCTTTTAGTGTGTTCGGTAGAGTAAAGGGAAGAAGGGTGGTTTTAAATATTTCGCAGTCCAACGCGGTGAAGCACGGCACATATTGATGTGTCACACCGAGAGCTTGTCAACGAATGCTCAAGTATGTGATAGTATGAGGGAATGTATTGAGGTAGCATTGAACTATGAAGGACTGGCTTCTAACATGGAAGGAAGGGTGGATAACTGGACGCTTGTTATTCACCTAGTGAGTAGTCCAACCGCGGTAGCAAGATCGCCAGCCTTTCTTAACCTAATACCGTTGGATAACCGCCACATATTCCTTCCTCGTATGTGGAAACTTCTCGCGAGCCCCAGGGGACCACAGTGAAGCGCACAAAGTACGAGCATAACAGAGGCCTCAGGCACTCCCAACCCCAGCATCATCCCCCTTCCCCTCATGATAGTGCCCAACCGGACTATACTTGGTGAAATCTGGAGGAGGGGCCCGACGATCGACCATGCTCATAGCCAAGTCAGCCATGAACTCCTGCGGGAAAGAGCCGCCCTGGCTAGTCATCCACTGCCCCGTCGCGCGGAAAGTGTAGAGGTCGACCATCAAGCGGCGTGCCCCGCAAGTTCCCGATGTTCCGTTGTAGATGATCCGGAGGTGTTCGCTTGATGGCAGACACGGTTTGTTGTCGGGATCAGCTTCTCGTGACTTCGCGAGCAAAGCGTCCAAGGCGGCGTTCTTCGCGGGGACATCCTGGAGCTTTTTGACAAGGATATAGAGCTTGCACAGCAGGGTGTATTCATCGCAGTTGGCCGCATCGACGGGCTTGCAAGGAAGGCGATCGGTGTACAGTAGCTGCATGTAGAGGTTGAAAGCGCGCGGATCCTGATCGGGGAGTTGGAGTGTTTCCTTGGCCGTAGCATCCTTGAGGAATCCGGAGCGGGCGCAGATGACGTTCTTGTGTACGGCGAAGTTCTGCTGTCGCTCTCCTTCACCGACACATATCGTGACGATGGCGGAACCGAAGCTGTGAGCAAGCACGTGAGACACCCTCTTATCGGGCACTGGAGTACACTCCGAACAGGCCTTCGGGGTCGCTTGGCTGTTTGTGAAGTCGAACAAGCCAGTTCGAGCCACAGGCTGACCTGCACCAGCAGACGCGCTAGCGCCGAACAGCGAGGTGGCGGGAGATTTCGCAGTGCCCGTAGATAGTTTCGGACCACCGGAGAGTCCGCCAGCGTTGTTTGTAGGCGTCGGTTGCGGTGGCGTTGCCGACCTGAAGGGAAGTGGGCGGTTAGATCCGGAGTTACCGAAGAGACTCATCTTGTTGAGTGCTCGGGACCGTAGAGGGAGAGGGTGATGTAGGCTGGAGGGTGAAGACGAGAATTTGAGAGATGTCGAAGGCCTTGATTAGAGTGGGGCTACGCACTGTTGTCATTTGGCGTTCTTTCACTGCGGTGAAAGCTAAAACCTTTCGCACGCTCGCTTCTGCGCCTTCATGCGGGTGCAAAAGTATGTAGTATGAAAATCAGATTTGGTGAGAATCACAGAAGCGCACGAAAGAGATAGCTTAATCGGTGCATCCAATAATCGAAGATTAAGAGAGCTGAGAATGCCAATCACTCAACCTGCCCAAGTCTCCCCTCAAGGAATCAAATGCCTAGCATGAGGACCATATCAAGCCGTCTCCCCACATATCTCACAATACAAGAGTGGTTGCACCTGCAATTATAGTTGTCTTGTTGCCGTTCCCGGTTGAGCTCAACACGTTCTTCCGGCAGGACTACCCCGTGTTGTTGTTCTTCTCATGGTACTCCGTGTTGGTGGCTCGGGTAGGGTCCTCCAGGCCGGGTTTCCGTAGCGCGAACATTTTGATCAAGAGATCGTGCTTGAAGTCTTCAGGTAATTCGGCTTCGGCCTCGGCCATATAGGAAAGAGAAGCCCGATGAGCATAGAAATCTACCAGCAGCTTCCGGGCGGACGATCCTGCAGTCGTGCCATTGTAGATGACCTTAACGCTACCGGGTGCAGGTGCGCGGCCGACGCCATGATCATCTTTAACTTTGGATCTCGCAATAAGGGCGTCGATGGCGCTGTTCTTAGCCCCTATGTCTTGTAGTTTCTCCGCTAGAACGTAGAATTTGCAGATGCCTCTATTCTCCCAATCTGGGCTGAGGTTGAGTGTCTCCGAATCCGGCGTGGTCGGAAGCTCGCCATTGTAGATGGAATGGACATAGATGGCGAAAATAGCTGGATCGTCTTCAGGAAGGTTCACGACTCGCTCTTGTGCTTCTTTCCAGTTGCCTGACAGCGCGTTCTTGAAGAAGATAGACCGTGCGGTGATGAGCGCCTCGTGGACATCGAATGATTCTCGGTACTCGCCCTCTCCTACGTGAATCTGAATCACGCCGCGGTATCTGGCGATGTTACCTTAGCCATATTGCAAGCTTTCCCATATTATCAGTGGTACTTACGTGATCAGCTTCTCGCTGAGCACACCTGGATCTTTGCGGGTGCTCATCGTCACTTTGCCGAGGCGTTGTGTTGGCCTTGGACGAGGACGCAGAGATTTCGCAGAGGTATTAGGTACAAGGTCACGAATTAGGCTGTTAGTGAAAGGGACAGGAGAGGCAAATGTGGGGCGCCACGCAAAATCACGCGCGACGCGCTCCTCCGCCCTCACTTACTCCACTAAAGGCTCCGCCTCGATTCAAAGCGAAGGCACGAAGGTACCTGATTAATGCGTAGCTTTTCAGCTTGCAGTGAAACATGCCCCCCTGTCCGGTTGGAGGCATACGCGTTGGGGTGAAGGTCAACAGAGCAGGCGCCCACTGTCTCCCCTGTCATTGCAGAGGTGTTGCGTCATAGGGGTGGCTGAAGTCGCTGAAGTCGTTCAAGTAGCGTTAATGAGGCAAATTGGTGCCCTTAGGGTGGCAAACGAAACCTCAGCAAAAGATCCGATGTCCAGTTTCGCAGCGGCAAAGTGGCGTCGGTATTCCGAAAACCCACGCACTTCCGCATTCCAAGATGCGAGAGTCGGACGCCATGCACACTTCTCTTCTAGATCGTAGCCCATACCTCCGTCCACCGCGATCCAGCCATCCACTCACGTCCCCCGCCACAAAGGTGCCGCGTGCTGAACAGTCCCGAAATCGAATATTCCTCCTCGTGCACCCTCCACCGGTCCGTCTATCACAAGCTCACCATACTTGATCTCCAAATCCAGTAGGTCCTTCGGTAACGCCCCAGTTCCCACTTCTGTCTTTTTCTTCGTCCATATTGAGCCGTGCCGTTCTCCATCTCTTCATGTAGCCGTCAGAACTGGGCGGTCGCATTTCATCCTTGGCGGAAGGGGTTCGACGCGTAGCCCGCACGAGGAATCACACGAGCGCCTCCAACTAGTCAGAAAACCCCTTCCTAATCTTTCTCCCTGTGTGATACACTCTATCTCAGCTTCCCATTGCAGCTGCGCAGCCGTTCCGTGCCCGACTCCGTCGCCGGGCGTAACGGAGATGCCGACCCGGGAGCGTGCAGATATTGGCCATTTCAGCGTTCGACAACCGGGAACAATAAAGTCGGTCATGCGGGTCTGCGTTTTAGAGGCATATAAATACTTCGGCACGTAAAGGGAGAGATGATTACATTCATGGTTTCGTCGGAGCCCCGCTTCACGTTTCGCGGTCGGCGCTATACTTGATTGGGCAATACCACTAACTAATTAATCACCGTTCTGATAGCTCCACCCCTTTTCGTCTCTCAGGAATTATCATCCTTGGGACTCTTACACACCGCGACGAAGCTCTAGGAAGCTGTACAGATGAAAGGAGAACATGTGTGATAGATGTATCGAAGAGACAGCCGTTCATTTTCCTCTACCAGCATTTGCATTCCACCATGGACAAGACCTCCCCTTCATGCATCACTCTGTGTGTCGCTCTCCGCATCCCTCTCACTATCGCTCTCAGTTTCGATTCCATCCTCATCGCTCTGCTCAGAGTCACTGTCATGCCAGAGCCAAACAATATCGTCAAACGACTGCGGCCGTTTCCCAGAGTGTTGTTCCACCAGCCCTTCGGCGAAGCGAATCAAGAATTCCATAGCCCAAGGTTTTTCCTGCAACGGCACCAAGTACGGATCGCTAATACCGGCCTTCACCACAAAGACATCAACGACAAAGTACTGGAGAAGGTCACGTGTAATCGGATCCTCCAGGCCGTAGACATAATCCAGTACCTCGAAACCGATGCATCGTCTACTCCGTTTGACGTCTTCGATGATCTGCATTTGCACTGCAGTCTGGAATGAACAGTCCACGAGCTTGTCGCCAACACTATAGGCTTTGAACAGTAACAGCACCCTGTCATCTATCGTCTCCTCTTTTTCGTCCCACTCCTGAAACGCGGCGTCTTGATTCACCCATCGGACATAGAGATTGAATGCAGTGGGGTCCAACTCTGGAAACTGAGCAGTCTGCATGACGTCCTGTTCCTCCTTGGTCCATTTCGCTCGGCACATTGGACAAGTCTTTGCTGTGGTCTTCCACCAGTCCTCAATGCATTCCTCGTGGATGTTTTTGCCGCACGCCTTGCAGTGCAGGATGACTCGCTTCTCTGGGTCGAGGCCTTCGGTGCAGACCGCGCATTCGTCATCAGCGCTGAAAGGTTTACGGCATTTCTGGAATAGCTTTTTGAGTGCTACCGACCGGGAACAGAAGAGGTCTTCGTGGACGAATATGGGACTTTTCTCTGGTCCGACTTCGAGCTTTGCCAGCTTCGTTCCAAGAATGATCGTGCGTGAATTTCTCTTCCTCTTGTTGGCTGGCATGGGAAAGACTTGTCGCGTTCGAATAGACGAAGCCGGGCTGCTAAGTTCTGTGCTGGAGTGAGATGATGGCGGTACCGCTTGACCGGCGGTCTATTGCGTGCCTTATATACCAAAGCAGGGGGCTTGTTAAGGTGGAGACAAACAAGACGAATCGGATAGAAGAAGGACAATCAATTCGAACTGAGAAGAAAATCGCAGTGTGTTACAAGACGACCGGCGTCCAATCCAAAGAAAGAGCGAGATGGAGTAAGACACGTTGAGAAGCAAGGCTAAGGAACAAGCCGATAGAGAGAATACTTTCTGTGGTCGCCACGGGCAAAAGGCACCCGTAGGCCTATAGACGCATACGAATTAGTGCAGGTTCCCCGCGAGAGCTAATTATGCATGTCCTTGCCCAGCTCCCGGAAATACGAGTCGTAAGCTACTCGTGCTTGGCTTCACTACGTAGAATGCAGCAATGCCAAGGGTAGCTGAGGTCGCATCGCGAGGCTGTGCTGGGCATAGATGCAGCGAAGCCACAACTCTCGTATCGTCGCTCGGCCTGCGCAGGCACCTGGGTTCCGGCGCTTAAGATAGATGAGAGTCGCCACTAGACTTCAAATACCTGTTTCTCTTTCTTCCATCTCTTTAAACGCGAAATCTTGAGGCTAGTCAAGAATCGCAGTACCGATGGCCAGCCCGCTCGGTATCATATACCAACCGCTCCGCGCACAAGACGAAATCCGTCTCATACGACTGAAGGATACCGATGCGACGGACACTGCTCGACATGTCGAATGCGAATTGGAGCATGCGCGCCGAAGCAACTTCCCCGACTATACGGCACTCTCCTACACTTGGGGAAGCAGCAGCGACACACGTCCGATTTACGTGGACGGCGGCCTAGTTGAAGCCGGGGTCAATCTTGAAGAGGCACTTCGAGCCCTGCGGGACCATACGCCAACCCGAGTGCTCTGGTGTGACCAGTTGTGCATCAACCAGGGCGATGATGCGGAGAAGTCCGATCAGGTCCAGCAGATGAAGGAGATATACAGCGATGCGACCCGTGTTATTGCTTGGCTTGGGCCTGCAGCGGATAACAGCGATGCTTTGATGAGCCGGCTGAGGGAGCTCGACCTAGTCTCAGATGAGTCGGCAGACCACTCAGCACTCCTGGCATCGTACGCAAGGGATGAAGAGCTTACCTGGATCCCAAAAGCATTCGACGATTTCTGCAAGAGAAGCTATTGGCGGAGACTCTGGGTTATACAGGAATTCGCCGTTGCAAAGGATCTGTACGTCCTCTGCGGTAGCGCAATGCTATCGGCTGCACACTTGGCAAACGCGGTTCAGTCTTTGTTCAAACTCCAGGGTCAAATTCACGACCACGTCTTTCGAAGCGAGAAAATACCGTGCGGCCTAGAAACAATGGAGAGGAGCTATAGTTCCTCAGCACTGAGCTTCGTCATGGCCATCACCACGCGTCGGAGTCGCCACCATAATTCAGACCCGTCCAGAAGTGACAGCCTCTTCCGTGTCCTGGTTACCTCTCTCGTGCTGGAAATCGATTACAACCATCCCGACTGCACAGACGCCAGAGATAGAGTATTTTCGGTGTTGGGCCTTGCCACAGATGCGGCAGATTTCGAAGGGTTTCCCGATTATTCCAAGGGCTCTGAAGAGGTCTATGAAGAGTTGACTCGCAAACTACTCCAGAAGGGCGAAATCGACATACTCTCGTACTGCCAGTTCCCTCGGAAGATAAGAGACCGCGAAATGAGCAGTTGGGCACCAGACTGGGATACGCCGATCCGTCGGCCATGCGCGAAGTCTCCCTGGTTCAGCTCGTTCTCGGCATCTGGAGACACCCTTGCGGAGCAGGAAGTCTGCTTCCCCAGCCCAAGGGCTCTTACATTGAAGGTCGTCTTTGTCGACTTCGTCGAAAAAGTAGGGAATTTGTGGGATCCGGATTGGATGAGCACTCTAGAACCCGGAGATATAATGTCCTATTTGGCGGAAATCTGGACATTGTGCGAGGAATCGCCGCGCATCCAAGAAGACGAAAAGGCGGCGGCAACCTCGCGAATCGCGATAGCGGACCGTTTAGTAGCCACAACTCCTGAGCTGCAAAGTGCCTCCGTAGCACTCTGGGCTGCGCTTGTTCAAAAGTTTGGTCCCCAGGCGACAACCGTCCAGCCGGCTTCTTCGGAAAACACCAGCTTCGAACGTCTATTGACTGTCTATATGGAGCAGTTCAAGAACCTTCATTCACGGCGCCCCTTCCGATCCCGAACAGGCTACGTCGGACTGGCTCCCGCTGGCGCTATTAACGGAGATGTTGTTGTTGTGATCCTGGGAGGGAAGACGCCATACGTCTTGAGGGCGAGGGCGGAAGGGGGGTACACTCTAGTAGGGGAGGTCTATGTCCATGGCATCATGTACGGAGAGCTGTTGAAAGAAGATTGGAAAGCGGACACGTATACGCTGTATTGAGGAGGGGGCTGAGACGGATCCTGTCGAGGGAGCAAAGCTTAGCTGGATTAAAGTCGCACGATAGGAGGGGATCGGAGAATGGAGATCTTGAAGTCGCGTCGACAATATTTTCTTCGGTTTGTATGCTTTCAGTTTGGTGGTCGATCGCTGAACGGATGTGGTTCTAATCCTTCCATACGTATGACGTCATTCTTCATCCTTCGCCCACCTCAACGATCAACAATCACAATGCCGGTGTTACAACTCATCATGGGAGCTAGAATAACCATGTGGGACGCCTTACGTCTCCGCCATGCCCGCCATTCCTCCAACAAGCTTTAGGCGTGCAGATCGCCAAAGCTTCGCCTCTCACAGCATAACCGACGCTTCATTACGTATCGGTCCCCAAAAGCGCGAGGTATGAGAGGCTACAGTGAGGGACCAACATGCCAATGACGTCTGTCGGAGAACCGTGCACGTGGTGCATATCGACGACGAAGGATCTGGATGGTTATCATGGAGCTGCTGCTGCTCTCCCCGCGGTTAGCAGACTAACAGGAGTTGTCATTGCTCCTTGCCCTGAGTTTCGCTACTGTGTGGGCTTCTGTGGCATCTATCTCCGCCGAGTAGCTACCGAAGAAAAAGATAATGCGTCCGACAATGCGAGAGAACTCACCGCCCCGTCGAGGAATGCAACCCTCAAACGCGCCCGCGGCCCCCGCAACAGACGACTCCACCCACAAGCCCTCGTACGACAGCGAATACACGAACGGAACAAACGGCCACGCTGCTCGCGACCCAGAGAAGCAAGAAGAACGCCGGCGAGAACACCGCCCCTCCTACCAAGAAGCTCGCCGACGCAGCTCATGGGCCAACAAAGAGGATCCGTTCGGGGACGAAGAGGGCGCGGAGGTCAAGTATCGGACGCTGCGATGGTGGCAAGCGGCCTTTATCATGATCGCGGAGACGATCTCGCTCGGGATCCTGTCGCTGCCGTCGGTGCTGGCGAGTATCGGGATGGTGCCGGGGATAATTCTTATTGTGGGGTTGGGTGTGCTGGCGACGTATACGGGATTTGTGCTGGGGCAGTTTAAGCTGGCGTATCCGCATGTGAGCCTCCCTCCAGGACTATAGAGCGCGTGAGATGCTGATTGCTTGAAGGTGCACAATCTGGCCGATGCGGGCGAAGTCTTGTGCGGGCCTGTAGGCCGCGAAGTCGGCGGCGCAGCGCAGACTATTTTCCTCATTTTTACCATGGGAAGCCATATCTTAACCTTCACCATCGCGATGAATGCCATTACGGGGCATGCAACATGCTCTATCGTCTGGGGCGTCATTGGACTCATCGTGCTGTGGATCTGCACGCTGCCCCGAACACTGAAGAAGGTCTCATATCTGAGTATCGCATGTAAGCCCTCGCTATCCCACTCCGCCCACGGATGCTAACAGCGACACTTACCCAGCATTCGGCTCCATCACCGGCGCAGTCTTCATCACCATGATCGGCGTCGGCGTCGACCCAGCGCCAAACCTGCATCTCCAGGCAACGACAACAACCGCCTTCCCCAAGGCCTTCCTCAGCGTCAGCAACATCATCTTCGCATACGCCGGGCACGTCGCCTTCTTCTCCTTCATCAGCGAGTTCCGCGATCCGACCGAGTTCCCCAAGGCGCTGTACCTGCTGCAATCCATCGACGTCAGCATGTACGTCGTAGTAGCCATAGTCGTGTATCGATACACAGGATCCAGCGTCTCGAGCCCCGCGCTGAGCAGCACGAGCCCCGTGGTTATGAAGGTCGCGTATGGGATTGCCCTGCCGACCGTAAGTCTCTCCCCTCCTTACTTACAGAACGAGAACCTCCTGACAGCGACTCAGATCCTCCTCGCTGGCGTAATATACGGCCATGTAGCCTCCAAATACGTATACGTGCGTATCTTCCGCGGTACGAAGCACATGCAACAGCGTACACTGCTGTCCATCGGCACTTGGGCCGCCATCACTTTGACCTTCTGGCTCATCGCCTGGATCATCGCCGAGTCGATTCCAAACTTTAACGACCTGCTCGCGCTCATCTCCTCGCTCTTCGCGTCATGGTAAGCCGGCTTTCACTACGCGCTCTTCTTCTTCTTCTTCTGGGAGCATTGTTGGAATCAGATTCTGGCCGTCTCAGAACTTGAATGTTTGCCCATTCTCTTACTGAACGATGATGGCTGACTGTGCACCCTGCGCATCAGGTTTACCTACGGGCTGAGCGGCGTGTTCTGGCTATTCCTCAACTACGGTCAATACGCGAGTAACTGGAAGAAGAAGTGTTTGACCGCGCTGAACATAGGCATCTTCTGGCTAGGCGCTGCAGTGTGCGTCATCGGCCTGTATGCAAGCGGAAAGGCGATTCACGAATCCAGTTCGAGCGGCTCTTGGTCGTGCGCTGATAATACTTCGAGCTGAGAAAGGCACGGCATGCGCTGAAGGTTTCCAGGATCGGTTTTTTTCACAGCTGAAATATACCCCGGTTCAGATGAGGAGCTACGGTCCATGCAGCACCCAGCAGCTTGGAGGGAAGTAAGCGCTGACTCACGGATAGTCATCCGATACTAGTGGGACAAATTGAAGTACTCTCTTGCCCACAGATGGATATCTAGCGTATCGATATGTATCTTCGTATATGCGACCCCCGTGCGCGCCCCCAATATAGCACAAAAGAATTCTAGAATGTCTAGGAACGCCGGTCTGTACACCGAAATGCCCCTCTTTCGCCCTGGCATGCTGTATACAGGTCCGCTGTAAGCTTCGGATACTCTCGTGGACGTAGACTAGTAGTCTACTAGATGAGGCAGTCAGAATGTCGATCTTAGATACCCTTGGCTATAGCGACCCTGGCGGCGCTAAACTGCATTGATGACCGACCCTCCGACCTAGTGGACCCAGCACTCATTCTGCCCCCAAACCTGCGTTCAATAATTCCAGCTCTTGCTATCGTCACCAATCGGACCCCACGACCCATGCATTCGCCCGTCGAAAGTTCCCGAACGTAAATTGAATAGGTGCATAGAATATTGAGTGCGCATTCCATCGTCTTTCGCCCACGCCTGGTTCCCAGGTTCACCCTTGACGTCGCTCTGCAAACAGCTCAGAAAAAGACCAAAGGATCGGCCTGCAGCTCGCTCAAACCCGGTAGGCAGTCGTGAATGACAGTGCAGAAGACGTTGTGATTGGCTGGCTCTTCGTCCTGATTATCCGTCAGAGGCGTAAGCCGGACCTTCCGCACTAGGCTCTTGGCTTCGGGACTCAAATGTCGTATGAAATCCAGGACAGGCAGATAGTTGAAGGCATAGAAGTGGAATAGATTTTCGGAGTACAGAATCGAGAGACATTCGTGGTAGATGAGGCGGTTGGTGCGCAGGATGTCGAGGGTCAGCTTGTCGGGATGCGGGCGGCATTTGCGGTTCGATTTCTTGCTGACAACGGTGGTGTCGCAGTCGGTGTAGAGAAGGAACCTCTTGGTCGAAGACGGGAGAATTTTTCTGAAGATCTCGCGGCGAATTTCAGAGGGAATCCGGAGTAGCGGCGGGCAATTGTCGAGAGCGGTTATTGTCTCAGGAATAGAAAGCTGCTTGACCACAGAATCTCTAGAACCTCCTCTGCGAGGCGAATAGATGTCGTCTGAAGTCGGCGTAGGCGCGAGCTATTGCGGAATTGAGCCATGATTCATCAGAGCAATGCGCATTTGGCTCACCTTCTTCGTGAATGTCTTGGCCGGCATGGTGAAAGCGGGCCGCTCAAATATGCCCCAAAGAGCAGAACTGACAGATGCAATAGGATATTACAAAGCTAAAGAACAGGATTCGAGGGATATTCGTTCTAAGATGGGCCAGATGTGGTCACGAGGACAGGCGGCTTGCGCTAGATATCATGAGACACGGCGACGAAGGGGGTCCAGGGCGAAAGAAGAAGCGCAGGACGAGAGCATAAAGGAGAGTGGGATGGAAAGAATTCAGCGGGACGGAGCAGCGGGGCGTCAACGGGCAGCACAAGCCATGGAAACGAGATGGGAGGAAGGCAGCTGGGTCCGTCATCCGTGAGGCTGGTCCCAGCGTCGGAGGCGGAGAAACTGCTCGGAAGGTGGTCCGGGCGCGCCTTCCAAATTTCTCGACGCGACTGGCGCCTGCGGGGACCATCGATCAAGCTCCGAAGCTGCTCTGCACGATACCATTCCAACCTCTTCCGACACTTTTCTCTGCTGCGTCTTTGAACAGCGCTCTTGAAGGTCTTTCTTTGAATTCCTCCCCGCCACCATGTCGTTCGGCGGCCAAACACCGACCATTGTTGTTTTGAAGGAAGGTAGGTGCTTCGAAGCTTCTACACAGCTGCCACACGCTGACGGTGAGTGACGTCTAGGTACCGATCAGTCGCAGGGCCGAGGACAAGTACTCTCCAACATCAATGCCTGCATGGCTGTGCAGTCAACAATAAAAGGAACGCTCGGCCCGTATGGCGGTGACCTGCTGCTGGTGGACGAGAACGGGAGGCAGACGATTACGAACGACGGCGCGACCGTGATGAAGCTCCTCGACATCGTCCACCCCGCCGCCCGCATCCTCACAGATATCGCGCGCTCGCAAGACGCAGAAGTGGGCGACGGCACAACGTCGGTCGTCGTGTTAGCAGGGGAGATACTGAAGGAGATCAAGGACTACGTGGAGCAGGGCGTCAGCAGCCAGACCATCATCAAGGGCCTGCGGAGAGCATCGAATATCGCCGTGAATAAGGTCATGGAGATCGCCGTGGAAACCGCCGAGGGCAACCAGCGCGAGACGCTCCAGAAACTCGCTGCGACTGCGATGAGCAGCAAGCTGATACACCGCAACGCCGACTTCTTCACAAAGATGGTGGTCGACGCCGTGCTGTCGCTAGACCAGGAGGACCTCAACGAGAAGCTCATTGGCGTCAAGAAGATAACTGGCGGCGCTCTGCAAGACTCGCTCTTCGTCAACGGCGTTGCATTCAAGAAGACCTTCTCGTACGCCGGTTTCGAACAGCAGCCCAAGGCCTTCAAGAACCCTAAGATTGTGTGCTTGAATGTGGAGCTAGAATTGAAGAGCGAGAAGGACAACGCGGAAGTGCGGATTGAGCAGGTGTCAGAATACCAGGCTATTGTGGATGCAGAGTGGCAGATCATCTTCAACAAGATGGAGGCGTTGTACAAGACGGGCGCAAAGGTCGTGCTCAGCAAGCTTCCCATTGGCGATCTGGCGACACAGTACTTTGCTGACAGAGATGTCTTCTGCGCGGGACGAGTCGCATCCGATGACATGGAGCGCGTGTGCAAAGCGACAGGCGCCAGCATTCAGTCCACCTGCTCCGACATCCAGCCCCGGCACCTCGGAACCTGCGAGCGCTTCGAAGAGCGACAAATTGGTGGTGAGCGCTTCAACTTCTTCGAGGGCTGCCCCGAGGCAAAGACGTGCACGCTTGTGCTCCGTGGAGGCGCTGAGCAGTTCATCGCCGAGGTCGAGCGAAGCCTGCACGACGCCATTATGATCGTCAAGCGCGCCATCAAGAACAGAAGTATTGTGGCTGGAGGCGGAGCCTGCGAAATGGAGATCTCGTCGTATCTGCATGCATACGCCGACGAGAACGTCCGCGACAAGAAGCAACCCATCATCAAGGCCTTCGCCAAAGCGCTCGAAGTGATACCGAGGCAGCTCTGCGACAACGCGGGCATCGACGCAACAGACATCCTCAACCGCCTGCGGGTCGAGCACAAGAAGGGCAACATCTGGGCGGGCGTCGACTTCGTAAATGAAGGCATCGCGAATAACATGGAGAAGTTTGTCTGGGAGCCTAGCCTCGTCAAGATCAACGCGCTACAGGCGGCGACGGAGGCGGCGTGCTTGATTCTAAGCGTGGATGAGACGATACGTATGACTCCTCCCCTTCCTTTCTCGCTTTGAATACGAGACCTGAGCGCTAATGATTGTTTGCAGAGAACCAAGAATCAGCGCAGCCGCAGGCGCCGAATAGGGCTCTCCCGCCTGGTGCGGCGCAGAGGGCGCTGGGGATGAGGGGGCGTGGAAGGGGTATACCGCGGCGGTAGAGGGAAGAGTAGGCTTGCATGATGTGTGGAGTGTATGTATACCACAATCTGAATCTGCGCGGGCACCGCGCGAGGTACTATAATGAAAAGCGTCGACTCACACATGTGCGTAAACCCAGCTATGCTGATTGTGGCATTTGCTTCAGATATTCATCATTCAGATACTGTGAGCACAACTCGGTCTAGCAGGCTCTACGCCGCCAACCCGCTAGCTCCCCTCCAACCCCATCCCGTAGCTCTTAACCCGGCTCCAGTAAAACGGCCTATCATTCTTCAGCCCAAACTCCGCCCAGTCATCCGTCAACCGGTTATAGCTCCAATACCCCTTCCACACCAGCTTATTATTCCGCCCGCCGCGCCCCGCACTGCCCAGCCCCAGCACCATCTTGTACATGTACTTCGGCGTGACGCCCGCCGTCTCCACAACCAGCGCGCCTTCCTTCTCCGCGCCGTCCTCACGCTGCAGCCCGGGAGGCAGGCCTGGGATCTCGGGCCCCGTGAGGCGCCACCGGCCCAGCAGCGCATCTTTCATCGGCGCCGAGGGCAACGCGCCGTGGTTCTTGTGCACGTGCTCCGGGTGCAGGTACGGCACGACGTCGGCGGGCTCAACGGTCGTCAGCAGCGAGATGCAGGTCCCCGGCCGCAGGAAGCGCAGGTAGCGGTAGTAGGTCACGATGTGGATGGGCGAGTTCCAGGTCACGCTTGTCGGCGAGGAGGCGCCGGGGCGCGTGTAGTTCACGGTCGAGATGTAGCAGCCGTTGAAGCGGATGCGCGGGCGGCGCTGGAAGAGCGTGCGGTAGGTGGGGTAGACGGCGGGGACGAGGAGGGGCGTCAGGGCTGCTGGGGAAGGTAGCGGGATTTCGTGTTCGTCAATGGGGTCGTCGAGATCAGGGTCGTCGGAGCCGAGTAGGTAGCCGCCCTGGCCGTCGTCGCCGAGCGGCTTGCCGTCGATCTGGCAGGCCCACGTGTAGTGCATGGCGGCGAAGCCGTACTCGGAGCCGAGCGCGATGCGCTTCCAGACGCGCTCTTCGGTGGCGACGAGGTAGGCGAGGCGCTTGCATACTTGGGCGAGGCGCACGAAGGAGGCGAGGTCTTTGATGGCGAGGTGGATGAGGATCTCGGCGAGGAGCTCCTCGGGGATGGTGGAGATGGGGCAGGGTGGCGCTGGGGAGAGCTCGGTGGGCGGCGGGAGTCCTTCGATAGAGAGGCTGGAGAAGTCGTCGAGCATGGATTGGAGGGATGGGGGGAGGCCGTGGAGGGAGTGGTGGGCGGGATTGGGCACTGTGACGGCGGCATTTGAGGGATTGGGGTCGGTGGGTTTGGGTAGGGGTGCTGGGGGCTTGAAGGAGGAGGGTGGGAAGTGCTTTGCTTTGTAGGTCTCGTGGACTGTGGAGTCGAGCTGCGACGAGTTAATACCTATTGATTGATAGTCTTAAACACGTGGTGGCTCACCTTGAAGGCTTTCCGGTACAATCTCAAACTATCGCCCAAACTCCCCTGAGTTTCTTTCTCCACGGCTCTTTCATAGTGCTCCAGCGCTGACCGCGGCTCCCGGCTCGAAGAAGCAGGAGGAGGGCCGGTTTCATCCAGTCTACGTCCATGCTGCCTCTCCCCAAGATCGCGATACCTGTGAGGTTCTACCTCGTCCAGCTCTTCAACACTATGATGACGCGCGTGGGATGACACCTCAGGCGCATTGCTTTTCGGCGCATGAGCTCTACTCGATGGCGCCTGCGTCGTCTTCGCCGGAGCGACCGCTGCTGGTTGCTTGCCCTTCGCCCTCGCAGAGACTTCCTCCCTCCATTTCTGGCGGAAGCTCTCAAGCTCGGCTTCGGTGGAGTCCATCGCGTGGTGTACCGTTGGTAGTGGCGGATATAGTACTGCTGGGCGTGCTAAGTCCGATGTCGGCGGTCTGTCCAAGAGGAAAGGCGGAGCGTATGCTCGGGAAAAAGGTCTAGTAGGGATACATATTTACAGGAGCGATGACTCTTTCAATTTACGGGCCGAAGGTGAATTACTCATTGAAGGTCTCTCGCGTGCAGTCACAGCAATGACATCGCAGGCTACGGGCGCCACCTGCAGCCACATCTGATAAGCGTCGCCCGCCTTCCGGGGTCCAGACGCCAATTCACACGCGGCACCGAAGCTCGGCGCACGGGCCCCCAAACTTTTCCCTTCCGTCATCGCCGCTGTGCTCGCCAGTCGTCGCCTCCATCATCCATCAATCGCTCTGGAACATGCGCACGCCTGCCTTCTCGCGCCTTTGGGATTTCAACGACACGCCTCGTACGGACTCGAGGTAGACGGCGCGTCCTGCTGGGCGCAATCGGGGGACATGGCCTCCAACAAAGCCGAGGATGCGGCGGAAGGGGATGTGTCGATTGTGCAGAAGATGCTGTCTGCGACGACGGGGAGTGTATTGACATCTCTGCTAGGTGAGTTCTTCCCTTACGCGACACTCTTCCATTGAGTCTATTCAAGTCTGCGAGCGTGACGGCTTTTTTTCCTGTCGCTGCCCCGTCGCTTTCCGTCGGAAACCTGCAATGACTCCGAAAACGCGGAATAGACTATATGCACCGACGAACTCCGGGCTGACCTTTGCAGTAACGCCCCTAGATGTCGTCCGAGTACGCCTCCAGTCACAAGCACATACGCCGAGCACATCGACGCCGAAAGCTCGCGCATACACTGCTGCTTCCCTCACGCAATTCCGCGATCTGCCCCCGAACCTCGGAATATCGGCTTGCTGCAGAGAAGTGTTCTGGATCAACAACAACGCGCCCTTCTGCGTCGCAGGGCCTACACTCGCACCCCTGAATCCTGCAGATGCTGCGTGTGCGGTGGAAGAGGTGGAACGGAGAACGATCAACAGCACATGGGATGGATTGCGCAAGATTGCTCAAAATGAAGGACCCAGGACACTGTGGAGAGGCTTGTCGCCCACTCTGGTCATGGCAGTCCCAGCGAATGTCATCTACTTCGCCGGATATGACTGGTTACGGAGGGCGCAGAAGTCCCCGTTCCGAAGGACGGTACCGGATCCGTACATACCTCTAGTGGCAGGCGCCACGGCCCGTGTGCTCGCTGCCATAGCTGTCAGCCCGATCGAAATGTTCAGAACGCGAATGCAGGCTGCCCACCACACAAACACTGCCGCCGGACACTTCCGCGAGACCATGGATGGATTGCAGGAGATGGTTGCTTCTCAGGGCATTCGCAGCCTGTGGAGAGGGCTTACATTGACCCTCTGGCGAGATGTCCCCTTCTCCGCCATCTACTGGTGGGGTTATGAGTTTGGACGCAACACCATTACCGACCTGCGTGGAAGAGCAGAGGCAAGAAGAGATGGTATGGAGTTCCGCATGGGCCGAGGCGAAGAGAGGATCAGACGGCGAAGCCGGTCGCGCAGTCGAGAGAACAATACCTCGACGCTTGTGGACAGCTTCCTCGCTGGTGCTGGCTCAGGTGCCGTTGCTGCCTTCGTCACAACGCCATTCGATGTCGGGAAGACACGCCGACAAGTCATCAGACATGTTGGGGATGCAGTTAAAGACCAGGCCAGCTCCGCCGTGAAAGCCGTTCGACCGGAGGACAGATCCATGCCCCGCTTCCTGTGGCATATATTTCAAGAGCAAGGAGCATCGGGCCTGTTCAAGGGCTGGACTGCGCGATGCCTCAAGGTAGCACCAGCCTGTGCTATCATGATCAGCAGTTACGAAGTTGGAAAGAAGATGGCGAACAACATCAACGAACGGCGAGAGCACCGACTGGAAGACATTTGAATCAGCCTTAACCCAACCGCCTGCCCTTGCGTATTGGGGCACCTTTGCGCAAAAGGATGTACATATTTTGACGGACCTCCCCGCGCCTCTGTACCACGACACATTTCCTTAGCCTTCCCTTGGGAGTAGAGAGACGATTCAACTCACGGCAGCATGGGACGGCGTTTTGGATGAGCGAAGGCCAGTTGCGTTTGAAAAGTTCTGTAGAGATACCAGCGCATTTTATTCACGGCCGCTGTCACGCGTGTGTACTATAGACATAGCCTAATTAAAATCATGTCCTTATCGGAATTACTCTTCAATTGTAAAATGGAATGGGCTTATGTAAGCCTTTTACCACGTGAGGGCGCGGTGAAAATAAACGGGACGTAGCCAAAACATACGCGCCGCCCCACCTCCATCCAATCTACTTCTACCGCCGACACCGCCCAGCATGCTCGACATCGAAGAATACGAGGACGTATTCCCGGAGGGAGGCTATCCCGCGAGTCTCGTTGACAGCATCCAAGAGAGCCAGATGCAGCTGGGAGGACGAACCTTCTTCGAGCGATTATTAGAGCTCCTCCAAATCAAATGTGAGTCGCACTGCAAACCGCCGCCCTCGCAACCCCTAAGAACCCACACAGGGCGCAGAATCTACCCGCCGCAAGACGAGCCCAAGCTCCGCGAGCTGCACAAGCGCATCGTCGAGGCGCCAATCACGCTCCACTACAAGCACTGCCTGATCTTCTACCTGCTCAAAGACCTGGCGCCCGTCTTCCACGAGCAGCCCGACCTCGCCACCCAGTTCGCCGAAGACGTGCACCTCGAGAAGCGCTTCTGGACCTTCATCGAGGGCATCTGGGAGCTGGACCATCTGCAGTTCGAGACCGCCGTCGGCAACCTCACGCATCCGTCGATCCTCCCCACGTTCCCCGACGAGATCCTGCTCGCGCTGCTGGGCCGGCGGAACAAGATGCCTGGCAGCGTGTCGGCGCGGGATATCCTGCCGCTCGCGTACTACAATTGCGCGAAGCCGCCGCTGGTGGGCGAGCACGTCCAGACGGAGTTTGCGCGGTACATGGCGGCGAGAAATGTCACTGAGGCGTACTACTGGATCCGCACGCGGCCGGAGCACGAGCACCACGCGCTGCTGGAGGTTATGGTGGACCAGACGCTGCAGCGGCGCGACCGGGCGGACTATGATGCCCATGAGCTGTATCCGGCGGAGGACAGGGTGATGGAGTTGGTCGGCTTGCCGTTCAGCGAAGAGGAGGACGAGTGGATTGAGAAGTTCTTGACTGAGGGGAAGGGGCGCACGTTCAGGCAGGCGGAGGATACGGTGGTTATGAGGAGGATTGCGACGGGCAGGGTGAGGGATGTGGCAAGGGAGAAGGGGCATAAGGGGAGGAAGTATGAGGGTGTTAATTGGGAGATATTGAGGGATGGCATGGCGAAGGGGCTAGGGCCGAGGAGGGATGAGGAGGCCTTTGCGGTATGAGAATTCGGAGATAGGAGGGACGGCTTCTGCGTAAAGAGCGGCGTTCAGGCGGTCTATGACGGAGATGCGAGATTGGGCATTCGAGTTTGACGGACTGTCGGCTTTGAATTGCACCATGGAGCACTCCGCGACATCCTTCGTCATTGGACTGTGTCTGGCGCATACAAGAGCGCGTGGAGGCGATTCTGGTCAGCCGTTCGACGGGCGGGCGAAGAGACTACTCCGAATCGACTCATCGCAACTGTTGGGGTGATAACTCAATGGCTATAAAGGAATTCGGTACGCAAGCTCCCTCTTGCAGAAAGTCAAGGCCTCTGGTTTTCTGGGCTTGTATCCTCCACAATTACTTCTTTTCGATTCTTCGTCTCCGTCTTCGTCTACACTGACGTTTTATCTGCTACCATCTAGGTCGTGATCAGACTCTTCAGTTGCTATGCTCAACGCCTTCACCTATGTCTGCTCGGCGAGGGATCCACCATTGACCTCATTCTTTCAGCAATTACTCAGTCCGATCACACATAAGCAGGCTTCCTTCTCACCCTCTCACCTTGCTCTAACAAGCCGAGTCCCTCTCCACTCAAGAAGTCAAACCCCACACGCACTCGACCATCCGTCTTCCTCAACCTCCAACGCACCTCCACATCCCCCAGCAACCATGACAACGTCTCCCAAGCCCAAACCTAAACCCCAACAAAAAGACCAGGCCTCCCTCCCCTACACCTGGGACGCCGTAGCCGCCGCACTCACCCTCCCCTCCAGCGAAGAAGTCCCCGCCCTCATCCTCTCCCCCTCCTTCCTCACTCCATGGACCTACTTCCGCGACGCACTCCCCCTCACGCCCGGCATCGCGCCCGCCCTCCACCCCTCCCCACCACAAGACAAAAAAGCCATGCACTCGCTCGTCACGCGCATCTACACCCAAATGGACGCCCTATCAACCTCTCCCTACGACCGCCCAACCCCGCAAGACCGCCAATCCTGGACCGCAGCCCAGCACACAGAATGCCTCCTCTACCAAGCCGCACGCAATCTCGCTTCTCCGGCCCAGCCCTTCGCCACAGCCTTCGAGCGCAAGAACCTCAAGAACGAGAGCGGGCGGGCGAAAGCGCACGCGCGGCTGCGCGGGCTGGTCATGCTGGTTGCGAATCTGGCGACGAACTACACGGTCATGGCGCCGAGTAGTGTTATCAAGCGCATTGAGGCGCTCAGGCCCGCGAGGGACCCGGAGCGCTCGCCGATTCTGGAGGTGCGGGTTAAGTGGCGGCTCGAGCGGTTGGGGGTTGAGGAGCTGAGGAGGAGGGTGTTGGATGGCGAGAGGGGCGGGAGGGGGGAGAGGGAGTGGTTGATTGGGATTTTGATGGGGAAGGAGGGGTTGGAGGCGGGGGTGGGGATTAAGAATGAGAATGGGGGGAGGAGTCAGAGTGAGAAGAGGGGTCGGGAAGACGACGAGGACGAGGAGGAGGCGAGTAAGAGGGCGAGGACGGTGTGAGTGTGACTGACGGTGGGGAGTGCGGGAGGGTGGCTGGGGGGCATTGGCGTTCTGGGCTAGACAAAGCTGCTTCTTTTCGGTTTGCTCCTCTTTTTCTCTTCCTAGTCTCTGGATTGCTCTACCAGAGCCAGGAGGACTTCAGTTGGGGATCAAGGTTCCAGATAAGTCCAGCCCAGAAGAATTAATCCATCTCTACTCTCCCAGTATATACCCGCGAGGATTCCACGAGACGCGCCCAGCACCCAAGCATCCATCACGCCGCCCTCGCAGTACCCAACAACGGCGCAACCCGCGTAAGCTGCTCGCCAGCCCTTACAATCACATCCCCCTTCGCATCCTTCACCGGCCTCCCAGCCTCCTGCTTCCACACCTCGACCTCCTGCCCGCCCCTCAGCACGCCAACCCGCATTGTCGACAGCAAGTTATGCGCCGCATTACTATGCTCATACACGCCGCCATTAAACAGCGCCGTAGCGTCCTTCCCAATAACACTGCGGATCATCGCCCTACCGCCGGGGTGTTCAGCAACGAAGTCCGTAACGTCGTGGATGACGCCGGCGATGGCGACGAGCGCCGCCTTCTCGCCGCCTGCGCATTTCGCCTGGAATTCGTCCCATGAGAGCACCGGGAGCTGCGACAGCGGGACGCCCCAGTCCAGCTTGGAGCGGCGGGTGTCGAGCGCTTTTTGCTGCTGCTGCACGCGCCCCTTTTCGATCTCGTTGTGGCGGAAGCGCTTGAGGTTGTAGGCGAGGCGGGTTTTGCTGAGCAGGTAGATGACCCATTTCGTGGGGTCGTATTGGTACCATGCGAGCGCATTTCCTTAGCACTTGTCAGCACGTGTTTCTCTCTCCGTCGGGGAGCAAAAGGCCGGAGGGAAAGAAGAAGAAACCCACGGTAATCGCTCGGAAACTCATGATGAAAATTATGATACCCCTCCCCCAGCGTAACCACCGCCGTCAAAAAATGATCCCGCGGCGTCCTCCGATCATCAAACGGCTGCTCGCCCAGCCAGTGCGCGAGACTATTCACGCAGAACGTCGCCTGCTGCACAAAGCACGCGCGCAGGATCCCCGCGTACACCAGGCCGCCGCGCCAATCGCCCCAGCCCAAGCCGGCGACGCACATGGGAAACAGCCAGGCGCTAGCGAGCAGCACCTTGCCGTAGTGCCTGTGCTGCCACACGACGACGGCGTCGGCGTCGAGGTCCGAAATGTCCGTGCGGCCGATCTGCCGCGGGTCCTGCTGGAACAGCATCCAGCCGAGGTGCGAGAAGAAGAAGCCGCGCAGGGCGTCGTAGGGGTCCTTGGGCGTGTCGGTCCAGCGGTGGTGCGCGCGGTGCTTGCTGCTCCAGAAGCGGATGGAGCCTTGGACGGCGCCGGCACCCGTGAAGGCGAGGAAGAGGCGCAGCGGGAGACGCCCGGAGTAGCAGCGGTGCGACCACAGGCGGTGGTAGCCGCCCGTGATGCCGAAGCCGGTGAGGAAGTACCAGAGGAGGGCCCAGATGGCGGTTGCGCGGTGCAGGGGCGTGGAGCGGACGGCGTAGAGGCCGTAGGCTGGGATGATGAGGACGAGGGTGGTGGAGATCCAGTTGATGTGCTTGTACCAGTTCCTCAGCGTGACGGGCTGCTGGCTGATGTGCGGTTTTCGCACCGCTTGAGGCGGAGGTGTTGTCGCCATCTTGGGTCCGTTCATCAAAGCAAAGACGCAACCTTCAAGAAAGTGACAGAAATAGAGACTGCAAGAAAGAACGAAAACGGAATCAAGCTCGACTTATACCCATGTAGAGTAGACGCGACGTTGCGAAAACATTGCGGAGAAAGTTGTTGGGAGGTACTGGGGTCTGAGTCGCGTGGTGGTTGTACGATTATCGCGCGAGTCCAACGGGTATGCTAGGAACGCTCGGGGAACCAAGGCTTGTTGGGCTGGTCGCTCGACTGGAATGGCTGATGAAAAAGTCGGTATGCAGGAGTCATCAACGGGAGCGTGAAGATGCATGGGCGACATTGAAGGAGCTGCTGACACTAGACCGGCTTGCGTTAGATTTGCGAGTCTTACGTCTTCTGTGTGGACCGTCATTACTCGCTTACCTTGAGATTTAGACACGAAAGATACCAGGTATACTTTGAACAGCCCTAGCTGGCCCAACCCTTTATATCTGGCTTAGAGCCAGAGTATGCAAAAAGCACCGGAGTTGTTTGGGCCAAGCGATCCAAAGGCAAGCGCGCGTCCCATCTATGAGAGCACAAACTAGAAATTATAAGACTACTAAGGAAGTCCTCCCAATTCTTGTAGTATGTTGCGCGGTCCCGTAGTCATTGGAATAACGTGCCGCGGGACGACCGCAGGCAAGCGGCTGGTCATGAACCAAAGTGGAATCAAATCCTTTTCATTTTAAGTATCCCAGCTAAGCTGGCTACCATGACCACGTCATATATCACACCTCAAACACTCCATCCCCGCTTGTCCATGTCTCCGCCATGCCCTTATGCCGCAATGGTGACTTCGACCTCGACGCCGGCCTCGATGTTGATGATAATCTGCTTGACGACCTCAGTCGGCGCGTTGAGATCAATCAATCGCTTGTGGATGCGCATTTCGAAGGTATCCCAGGTCTTCGAGCCTTCACCGCAAGGGGTCTTGCGGGTGGTGATCTTGAGGTTCTTGGTCGGGAGGCGGACGGGGCCCTTGACGCGGAGATCCTTGGTCTTGGCCCTCTCGATCAGCTCGGAGCAGACCTCTACCACATGTATTAGCGTTTGGTTTGGACATGACCCGGCGTTGGCACGGGAATTGAAGCGAAGGACGCACTCTCGAGGCTCTTGACGTTGCGGCTCGTGAGCGTGATGCGGATCTTGTGGACCTTAGGGCCATCGCCGAAGTCCTTCTCGGGCTTGTCTGATTCTCAATCAGCTGGGTTGCAGGGTTTGCCGGCGGGAGAAGTACTGTAGGACATGGTGGTGGAACTAGTGGGTGTTGCGCTTGATGAGGCTCGAGGTGTCGAATGATTTCCAGTCACGACCCGGATCTCTGCGATCACTGTAATCTAGCTCCTAATTAGCGACTCGTGTGGCCCATGAATTCTAGGACATACGTGATGACTGGCGTGGTGCTGCTGTCGACGGCGAGATTGTCGTTGGTTTTGGGATGCGGCCACTCGCAATATTGAGAAGATCTGTGGCCGCCAAGATTCCCCGCGCTAGTCCTTTCTAGGGAAAGGCTAGTTTCCGCACTTTCCGTACCCTGACTGATGACTGGAAGCAAACTCTCACTCCTCCAACACTCGACATTAGGCACGCTGTCAGATAGAGAGAACGGAAACTACTCGCAATCCGCGAGAAAAATCTTCCGTTTTTCTCGACCATGGATCTGCCTCGTTTCGCACCATTTCCAGACGCGAAGGTCCGCCACAGTATCCTTCCCCACGAATGGGAAGTATATCTGGACTCCTGGACCTCTCTGGCCGAGCTATACCTGCGGCTGAACGATGAGCAGTTCTCTTCCGTTATCTCCGAGGAAGCATCTTTGACCGACTTTCTTGTCTCTTTCTTCCATGAGCTGGCCAATGACGACAGCATCCTACCGAAAGCTCTTTCTCTGCGCAAGAAGTGCTTCTTTCTCATACACCGGCTTTTTTCAAGAGAAGATGTGCCGGCACAGCTTCTATACTGGGAGACATTGTCGGATATTTGTCATAATTTTCCGAAGAGCGAACGGCTTCGAGGCCTTCTGGACAGTCTCTGGAAACGGAAAGGCACGGCTATCGAGAAGAGTCTGCAGCAAGCAAGGTCTTCAATAATTAAACAGCTAGATTCGAAGAGACCAGAGGACGCAGAGGGAACCTTGAACAGGATCGTCCCTCTGCTACGGATGTCGTCACATGCCGGCGCGTATATGCTTACTGGCTCGGACTTCTTGGACTCCTTGTGCAATGCCTACCCTAAGGTAGCTTCCGGCCTTCAGGTGAAGCTGGCCACCACGGCGTACTTGGGACTGATTGCCTTGCTCGAGAGCCCCAAGCCGAATTATTCCCAGTTATCAGATCATTTGTACACCCTCAAGACGAACGGGGAACAACAGCAGAAGAGTGGCTCTTCGAAGGCACTCATTGCAGACCTCGCCACGAATACCCCAGTTCTGAATAAGATCAGGGACAAAGCCAGTGCACCGGAGGCAGCGAGAGTAAGGAATACTGCGGCCTCGCTTTCGGCGTTCCAACAGTCCTCTGTCGCGCGACCGAAGAAACTCGTCCGGCGTAAGGTGGAGAAAGGCAAAGGGAAGGCTCTCGATGGCGAGTATGGTCATGGAGCGTTTGGTGAGATTCATGTCCACCGCATGAGTTTGATCAGCCAAATCCAGGACCTTTTTCCTGATCTCGGATCCGGCTTTGTAGCAAAGCTGTTGCACGAATACAACGATAACGTTGAAGAGGTTACAGCACATCTTCTCGAGGACTCTTTGCCTCCGCATCTCGCCAACGCCAATCAGAAAGAGCAGCTGTAAGTTTACATCCCTCATCATAATCAACCTCACTTTATAGATGCCCCGGGCACGGTATTTGCTTGCTAACACTCACAGACCAACTACCGCTTCTACCTCTAAGCCGCATCTCACTCCCCGGTCCACTCCTCCGCCTTCCGAACGTCGCAGCGTGTTCGACAACGATGACTTCGATAGACTTGCCGTTGATACCTCTCGTCTGCACATTGGTCGGAGGAATCAACAGCTTACTGCAGACAAGATCCTCTCGGACCGCAACAACGCGCCAAGCAAATCCGCGATTCTTTCTGCTCTCGCGGCTTTCGACTCCGACGACGATGAGCGTGACGATACGTACGATGTTGAGGATGTGGGGGGCACTGTGGATTCAGCTGCTCCAGGACCTGATGAAGCAGATGCAGATCTAAGGGATAAGAATGAGGAGACCTTGTTCAGGGCCTACTCCTCCACGCCGGAACTGTTTGGGCGAGATGCCGAAACTAGACGAGGCAAGGTACGAACGGCATTGAAGAGCGAAACGGGAATGACGGACGAAGCCATTGAAGGCTGGGGAATCATGATCGCCCGAGATCCCAGGCGATTAAGGCGACTGGAGTCCAAATTCTCTACCTTCACAGGTCAGCAAACGGGACTTGCTCCCACTGCTTGGCGAGACAGCCCCGCGGGTTCCGATGCCGAAGCGGCTGAAGGAAGTGCAGATGGCCGACGTGGTGGAAGGGGTGGCTGGGTTGGAAGAGGCCGCAGCAGAGGCAGAGGACGTGGGGGTGGTGGCAGAGGCGGAGGGAGCGTCGCCGGAGCGTCTGACGACAAGTCGACACAAGTCTCACGCCAGCGAAAGGAAGCAGGCAAAGGCTCGCGGGCGAACCACAACCGTCGAGATCAACGAGCCAAGAAGATGGCAAGAGGCGGATTCCCGGGATGATCAAAGAATTGGGTACTCTACCCTGAATCGCAGCTGAACGCTTCCCTATGCATCTCTCGGAAGCAGTGCTTAAGGATGAAAGAATTTGGTGCACAAGGAAGTAGTTGAGTGCCACAGGGAAGTACTAGTCGCGTTTCAATATGCCCTATTCAGATTTGGCCAGACTATGATAGCGCGGTCTAGTCACCTCCACGACTATGCAAGAGCCCTGGGGGGAGGCTTCTCGATCACCATCTACCACATCATCGCCCGATTATCTGCTGATCCCAATCGTGGTTTGGATGTTCGCGACTCATAGTTCACCACTTCAGCAGACTTTTTCGCCTTAGCAGAGCTCCTCGCAGCCCGATCTGAGCGCCTAATTAGGTGTTACTAACCGAGACTGGCTTCCTCACCATTTACATTCAAGAGAGCACTTCTATTGCGTGCGCTGGTCATGGTGTGATGTCGACGGCAGACATTTTCAGCTCAGAGGCTTGCGCCACAGAAACCTCCGGCCTGACGCCACCAATGCTGGAACCACTACCGCAACACCACTACCACAACACCAGCGGCAGGGAGAGCTCAAAAAGTTCCCTGGAAAAATGCCCAGTAGGCTGCTAAAGTTTGAGAACTATGAGAGCCTCCAGCGGATTACAGTTTCTTCATCCTAGAGTGCCCCCACTCGTGATCAGCTCTTTCAGCACGGTTTTCCAAGGTCGACGTTTTCAACAAGGCTGAGGAGCCGCCCTTATTTTCCAGTCACGCACTCAAGCCTCGCAGACGTGTTGAAGCGACGATGGCATGATGCAGAACTTGGAGGTTGATATATTTCCAGCATGGCACCACCATGATCCTTGGCAACCCCATAAAGTCTTCAGCATGGGCACTGTCGAAAACTTGCCTAGAACAACTAAATCATCCCCTGCTTATTCTCGACCCAGCCCATTGTCATCCCGCCATGCGATCTCTAACACTCTTCATGGTGCTCTCAGCACCGAAGTTCATCTCCGCCATCGCGACCTACGCCTTTGATACGATCTTAGTGGCCCATGCAGAGCCGACGATATGCCCTACAGCTATAATTGGAGGCGAATGGATACCCGACAATGATTACATCGTATGTTGCTACAAGGGGGAAACACGCACTACGGCTCAAGGCCAAGGTGGCAAGACAGTGTACGCTTGCTGCCAGCAAGATGCTACATGCACGGGTGCTGCGTCCGTTATGTCAGACTGGAGCGTAGTTAACGGTATTTCACCCTCGCCTGGCATGAGAGAGTCCGGCTCAGTGCGCGGCAGATAATCTTGATTTGACTGATCTGGCCACCCCGCCGACACCTGTCCAAGGTAAGAAAGCTCGGATGGTTTATCGTCTAAATGACAGCGAGGAAGTAGTGCTAACTACGCCTAGGACAAGCGGCCCAGACAACGACTCTGGCTACACCAGCTGCGAATCCGGCAACCATAACGACCCTGAACCTGGGCACTGTAAGCTCACCGGGCGCGACGCCGTATACGACAGAGCCGAACGGTGTCGTGATCTACAACAACATCAACAACGGCGACGGCAACCAGAATACCAACAGCAACGTCAGCACGGGGGGCAGCTCCAAGCCCTCCGGAGGCGCCATCGCCGGCATCACCGTAGGCTGTACCATTGCTGGGACAATCATTGCAGCCTTAGCCCTCTGGTATGCAAGACAACAATCGAGAAGGAGCCGGCAAGAGAAAGAGGCGGCCAAGGTCGAGAAGGGTCCGGCACCACCAACGCAAGTCAATCTACCTTCACCGCCATCGGGAATGTCTAGCAATCTCTCTCCGGCCGGCCAATACTATCCCACGCCAGCTTGGGCTATAGGCGTCCCTCAGGAGGTTCCTTCGGATCCCGTTCAACCTAAACAGGCTGAACTGGATGGCCAGGCTATGTGGAGGCGTTGACTTGCTTTGGTGGTTGGGACTGTTTCGAGATGGGGCTGTCTTTTCTAGATTGTACGGTGACGCATTTTGAACAGTCGCAGTGCTAATTTATCGGTAGGTCCTAGCCACCCGTTTATAATCGCGCAAACGTGCTGAGAGAGGCAGAGGAGAACTTCGTTCTGGTTGGTTTTGGGCTCGAGTCCGGCGTTGTGGAGAGAGGACAATGGTGAGGTTTTTTTCTTGTCTTTGGATATATACCCGGTCGTGCAGAGCAAAAGGGGCGCGGAATGGCTATCTTAATCTACCTGTCTAGTGATTGTTAGCACATCTTCTTCGAATTAAGACTTTTGGAGTGTGAGGTGAAGCTTTTACTCACCGCTCAGACGCTGTCATACTGCAAGCTGCTCGAACATGACGAGTTCCGACCATGACGGGGGGCAAAAAAGAGCTGAGTATGCTCGATTTAGTTTCTGGGAAGACATACCAGAGCTTCCTAGCTAGGTGGTAGCATGTTGTCTTTCCGCAGGGAGTACAGGATATCGGCAGTCCGACTAACGGTGGGTGTTTCTACATGGACGGGGTGGGTTACTGCGTGATTGTTAACTGGAAGCAAGTGCTAGCAGACGTGGTTCGAAGATAAGAGGAAAGGACGTCGAGCATAGGTCAGAAGATACCGAACTTGAACTCAGTCGTTGACATGAACCTCCCTTATCCAGATGCTGACTACATCTTGACGGTAGGACTGCTGCCCAAGGCATAGCAGCGCTATCCTTACCATACCGGTGATTCCTAGGAGCAGACACCACGCGGCGTACTCTCGCAACCCGACACTTCCGAAAAACATCGGCATGCCTCTCCAAGAAAGCAAAGCAGTTCGGCGATTACATCGATATCCAGAAACCATGCAGCATCGCCTTCATTTACGCGTGCGTTCGTTCGGCGAAGACAACAATGCATCTCCCTTCCCACAACAAATCAGCACTCTCTCCCTACAAGTCCGAGCGATCAGCGCTCCAGCTGAAAGCACAAGCTGACGAGTCCGCGCAGCTCAGCTCGCTGCTACATATCTCGCACCTTGAAGGCGTCCCTCTCGCCCAGCCAGAACATCAGGCATCCAGTTCGCCAGATACATAGACCATAGACCACATTCCTCGCATCTTCCAGAACGCCCGCCCCTGCGCTTCCCCCCTTCCAAAACCCCCCTAATCTATGCGAGTGTAACCTCACCCTCGTCGTCACCCCCAACGGCCCTCTCGCCTCACCCCGTCGCCCTCGCTCCACGCCCCGAAATCAGTAAACCGCAGACCCCCGTATCACATCCTCCTATCCGCACTGTCGTCTGCGTCACCCACCGCGCTACGCCCAACGCGGCAACGTTTAGCGAAAGGACGGTATAAGGCGAGGGCGATGATTGGCGCGCAGAAGCGAGGGCAGGCGCAGGGGTAGGCGAGGAGGATCATTTGGGTTGTGGGTCGGCCACCGCGATGTTAAGTGTACAGCGGTGCCGATGCGATGCGATACGGTGAAGGGGGTGGGATGACGATTTGCGGAGGCGGAAGGGTTCTGGAAGGATTGGGGAGCGTCGTCGTCAGCGGCTTTTAAGTTCAGCTACTGATACTGCATGCTCAACGCTGTTGTTGCTCCTGCTGGTTCAGTACGAAAGAAGCATTCAAACTCTTCACGAGGAAAGTTGCGTCGTACTCGCACTCGCACTCGCGCAGTTTCGCCCATAAATTTCCACCGTGACGTGTGGTCCTTCGCTACACGGTCTTGGCCGCGACACTTCGGCTCGGTAGCGCTGCCGAGCGAGCGAGAGAGCAAACGCCTCTTGACGAAACACACGAAACGTTTGCTAAATATACGCACAATCTACGAGATGGGGCTTGCAGTGGGTTTGCGGCGTTTTGAGGTGGGGAAGCATGCTTCCGAGGAGAGAGTATACGATATCGCATGAATTTGATTTGGCTCCTTTGGGTATGCTGCTCGTAAATAATCGGTGCCTGACCTGGGCGAGTGGAACACGTGTGCTTTGCAAGGGATGGCGATTAGAAATTCGGTCGTCGCCCGTTATTGCTGGGAATAGCTGAGAAAGACGTGAGATGGCATCTGAGCAGCTGCGGAGATAACAGAAACGTTGAACTAGAAGCAGGCTAGAAGGACATCGTACATCAGTTTTACCGGTTCACCGTATCCCATAACCCGTACTCGCTTCCCATAATGCAACCCGGAACCCTTGACCGTGCCCTCTCGCCTTATATTACCCAAAGCAGACCTCTTTATGCAAGACAAGTAACGGGGAAATGTAGGAGATGGATCAACAACCCAGCAAATAGGACCATGGAACTGCCAAAGGATCCAGTATCTAGCGTAATATCTCGTCAATTACAATCCGTCCTGAAGCGGAGAAAGGGCCCGGAGAGGCGGACAACGGAGGGAAGAACAGGCGCGTATAAGCAGAACGCATGAGGTATACCGGGGCCTGGGCAGGAATGTGGCGTCGCACAAACTAGGAAGCAACCCCGCGCGCCACCATAAGCGTTCAGTCGAAGGATGAGAAGGCGGTAAGCGGCGGTGCTACCTAGATTACCGAAGCGGCGCTCGTGACGACGGCATGTGAAGTGGAATTCGCTTGTTGAAACCAGTGACAACGAGATGAAAACGAAGTTCAGTGGAGCTGAGTGGAATCGAAGGCGAGGTTGTGCAGCACCTGGCTGACAATATGGTTGGTGAGAGGGTGGACCGATGTGGTGGGTGGGGTCGTCTATGGTTACTCCTTTTGACCGGCTGATGTCGTACAACTCCGAGCGAAGAAAGGAGATGGGTGTGCTTCACATCTGCGCAAGCTCGTTAAGGGCGTATGTCAGCGAGCGCCGTGCCTCGAGCTCGTCGATGCCAAGATGCGGACGGTAGTGCTGGGCAGCTATTTGCACTGTCGCCCTGTATGTGGTGTATCTGCGCAAGCTATTAGCTAGAGTCGACTTGTCGACGCAAACCGGTCCCAAGTACTCACATCAACTGTCGGGATTTGACGCCTCCCGTCCGCGCGGGGCATTCGCCAAAGCCCTCAAAGAAGGCTTCGCTCCCGTCTGTAATCCCTCCGCTCATGAGTGCATCGCCCCAGATGACGTTGGTGAAGCCTATGAGGCCTGTGACTTGCTTCGTCTCCTCATCCACGAGCACGTTCTGGGGGTCGCACACATTAAGCGCGACTAAGCGGGGCTCAGTGACCTCATCCAGAAAGTGGCTATGTCGTCCAACGTAGTACCGGATGCTGTCGTACGGAACGGTGACGAGCATGTCCTCGGCATCACGCAGGACGGACTCTAGAAGCGCGAGGAACGCCTCTCGCCATGAGGAACTACCTTTCTTCGCGAACACTCGGTGTGTCATGCCAAATTGCGTGGCTGAAAGCGATGAAAGGGTGCGAACGTATGCGCCGAGAGCGCGATCAATGGCATTTCGCTCGCTCGCTGAGAGGTATGAGGAAAGCTCTGAAAGTCTTCGTCCGGGGACGTGGCTCATCAGGAGGAACGGGGAACCAAAACTTCCTCCGTGGCTGTCGTATTTGATGACTTGAGGGACTGGTAGTTGAGTATATTCGCGGAGCGTCTCCAGCGTCTTGCGCTCTGTTTCGAGACCGTGCTTCTCGTGACGGAGCGAGCGCGTGGTGTAGTTTGGAGGGCATTTCAAGATCAGAGAACTTCCATCCGCGAGCCTTGCCAGGTAAACCTGATAAAGGCGTCCCTGAAGGCGTTCTGCTTGCTGTACTGTGATCTTGGACGAGCGAAAGACATTTCGAATGATCTTCTGGATACTCGAAAAATCCGGAGAGGCGACGCGAGGTTGGGAGGATGTCGATGAGGAAGAAGAGGAAGAAACTGCTGAGGAAGGACGGACGGATCTACCGCCGTGTCTTCCATGGCTCATGGTGACGACCGGATAGACCGCGACATCTAGAGGGGGCAAGTGCATTTTGAAGGCGGTTACAACCGAAAGATAGATGAAAGCGGGAAGCAAATTAGCACAATAGACGAGACCCTAGTAATGTGCTCTTAGGGATAGCGGGCTGCATAATCGGGGCCGTGCCGTCGAATATGAATGTTTTCGGGTTTGGGTTGAGGTTGAAGGAGTTGGATTTGTTTTCTAGCAGCAAACTGTTTCGGCGATGGAAAGGACATTAGTGGTGTGAGAGGCGTCAGTAAGACGATGCGAGGATCGTGGCCGTCCGAGCAAGACCGAGTAGAGCGGGTTTCTGGAGGATGACAGCGGCATGGGTACCTCCTCGGGTGTCTGATGGTTAGCAGGGTCTGCCACAGCTGCCCTACGTTTGCATATTCCATTCCTGGACACCGCGCCACAGCGTATTTAACAAGCCTCGTTCGGCTAAGGTCCACCTAAGTGAAAAGCAAATCAATCGTGCGTCCACTAGGCGTGAGAGGAGCACCGAGCCACTAGAGTGCCCAGCCGAACACGCTCGCGAACGGAGACGCGAGCGGCGTCAAAGGTACTGGAGCCGCCGCCTCAGTGTTCGTCTATGGTAGCCGCTTGGGGACAAGCGCGCCGAGTGGAGTGTCGGTTACGGGATATGCTGATTGGCTGTTTCTGTTGGAAGCAGGACAGCGCTCAAGATGACGCTGGAGAGCGGAAATCGCTGATGGCACGCGGCGATGAAACCTGAGAGACGAGGCACAGGCTCGTGAATCTGACTAGATTCAAAAGGTAAAGGTTCCGTGATCAGCGCAGGGTGCCAGGCTAAGCGGGAACGGCGCTGAGCCAGCCCACACCCAGACTTTACCTTGAGCGAAACCACCACAGCGCAGCCGACGCCTCGTCGTCACGCATCCCCCGGGTAGTCTTGGGAGAATCTCTCTGACGCCACGTGAGCCTTGCCCACGACCCACAGATGCGGAGACGAAGCCTTGCCGAGCGCGCTATTATGTGTCAGGCCAGTCCTCTGGTATCTGACTGCGCTGCCCACCGTGGTACAGTGTTGACCTTCTTACCATGTACAACCACACCTGCAGCCTGCAATATTTCCGTCCGGGGGTTTTTCAGTTTCAGGTTATCTAGGCGGAAGGTGGCTTCATGCCCAAGAGAATTCGACCCTGAAGTAGCAATAGGGCTATATCGGCTGCCTCTTAACCCCTTGTCCGAATATGCCTTGCAATTCAGGTGCCCTCAATCATTGCTTTTCGTAATATCCGGCGCCTTTCCGTTGGCCGCGTCATGCAGCTCCGCGATATTGTAGCGTTTGAGTTTCTCGAAATCCGAGCCGACCACGCTCATGCCCAAGATGTTCTACAGCATGTTAGCGTCTGTCATGATCGCACCCTGCTGCATGTTCCAACGTCTCTGAAGCGCACGTGAAGTTTCATACCTTGTAGATCTCTACGAGGATAAGAAGATCATACCCAGACAGATCAACCTTGTGACCGGGGCCGACGGCAGCTGCGACTCTCTTGATCACGTCTTCTCTAGCGAACTCCTTGTTGTTTCGAATAGATGTTCGTATTGCGAACTGCTCGATTGAGGGACAGGTAAGCGAACATGCTGCGTCTCAGGCATGTAAAGACGCATCATCTGACGACATCCCACATCAATGGATAGAAAGAAGCTTACTTTTTTCCCCACTTGGTCCGGCCCGTGAAAGTGTGGCGCAAGCACTTTGCGAGCAACATCTTCGAGGCCCTTCTCCGTCGCTTTATCGGTAGCTGTGATTGGCGTGAGCCTTTTAACGAAGCGACAGCGCTTGATCGCGCCGCCATTCGCAAGGTCTTGACAGATTTTGTGGACAAATGAAACAGGTTCAACAGGCGAGCGAGTTCTGAAGAACAGCACTACTGGAGTCAGCTCATCGCACGCCGGGATAGACGAGAAGTGCTCAGCTTACAACACTGCGTGTCCAGCTTGACGGAAGTGAAGAGCGGGTCAACTGCAGGCTTACGAATCCCCTCAATCTCTTTTTGGATTTCGCTCTCGATATCACCCCCGTCTTCGTCGGATTCTCCGCCTTCAGCTGCACCGGCCGTCTGGCTCACCTCGTACATTTTGGATGCATACTGCATTCCCGTCAGTAATCAATAAATGTAATAAGGGATTACGGCGGTGCGTAGCAGCTCCTTACCCACCTCCTGGAAGAGATCCCGCAAGTCGGCGACAGAAGGGGCCTCTTTCTTCATGGCGCACGTCGCCCATATGCCCGTATCGCCCGGCTGAATACTGCGAGCCTCGGCAGCTTCTTTTCGTGGCATGCTCCATTTCTTTTTGCCCTGTGGTTTTATTTAGCACTCTGAGCTTCATAGGAGCTGCAATGCGAGAAAAGAATATCGGGGCCAAGGCGAAACTCTCCGAGAGCGCCCACCGTTGCACAAGAAAAAGCGACGCACCCTGGTCCGCTTGTTGCTGCCCACGTCCCGCTGCTCTGGGTCAGCTTTCCGTTTCTTCGGGCCGGCGTCCATCTCGAATATTGGGAAGTTTGAGGGAATGTGGTGTGGGGGAGGTTTGAGTGGTGGAGTTGTGGGCGCCGAACCTTGGAAGGCGCGAAATGCGATATCGCGCTAAGCCTGTTTGGTTCACTAGCGTTTCCTTTCGTGTCCCACTGCCACCACCATCACAGCTTTCCCTCGCAGCCTCGCTCAATTTGTCAGACTTCTTCCGCGTCATTCTGCGATTTAGCACGCCTCACTACCGATGCAATGGCTCTGTACAACGGTTGCGACCTGGACCCTTCCCCACTCGGAGCACAGCGATCTGAGACTATCGTCATATCTCCTCCTGCGTGATCATGCAGCTCGGAAGACACTAACTGGTGGTGTCTGTGGAAGATGCCCATCATCACTATGCATCGTGCTGGCGCATTCCCTTGATAGGCCTGGGATGAGTCTGAGGAGATCTCAGATATCGGGGATCAAGCACGCTCTGACAAAGATGGTAACCACTCCCCGAAACACCTGACTGTTGCCATCAATAAGTTCAAGCCTGCCTCTTAAGTCTGGTCTAGACCGTCTAATCTGAACGCCATAGTGTGCGACCTGCTTGTCTCGGGTATTCACGTGCTCCACCGGGAACGTATGCGCTCGACAATGATTATCGAGAGATTAGGATCTGATACCCGCCGGTTGCTAAAAATCAGTGGTAAACTAACTACCGATTGCCCTCCCAACTAACACCTAATTCGATTATTTGATAATAGGTGTCAAGCGTTGTTACACAGTGCAGAAGACGGCTGCCTCGCCAGCCCTACAAAACCACCCCTCCATGAGCGCGACACTGTACTAATCGAAATCCTGCGGAATACCTATCTATGGAAAACCCTTGGCCTTAAGGTAGGTGCATCAAGACAGTGTCGAAGTATTTCAGTAGTACCGTAGATTGTGGATGATTCTTTTGCCAATCTGCGATAAAAGCCGTTCCCACCTAAAGCAAGGTTCTAAACGCACTTTTTCTAACTTAGAAGATGTTACAATGCGTGATGTGCCTTGCTCAATGTATTGTCTCCCTCTAGGCTCGCTTTTCAAGAGTCTCGGAATGCGCAAGCCAACCATTCGAGGAGACAACCATCACTGACATACGCTCTCAAAAAGAGCAATGCGAGGATTCTCTGATCAGCAGGAATGCCGATGAAGGAGCTACTACCGTGATCCGAAGCCCACAATGTCGACTGCCAAAATTTGACACGACTACTTCCTCCCTCGAGCACACAAGCTCATCAGACCCGTTTGTACAGCAATCGCGACCCCATGTCCCACCAACAGGCAACAAAAGGCTCACGATCGAAGATGCATTCCCCATCACCGACAGATTTACCACCGCCACCATGTCTAGTTCTACCAACAAATCATCTACAACTCTCGTTAGCAATCTTCCTCCCACATCGTTAGAAGCCATCCTTCGCTCCGCGCGCACTCTCTACATCGGCAAGGAAGAACGTGGAAAACACTCGCTCACTGACGCACTCCTACATCCATACGCCGCAGACGGCAGTCCCCTCCCTCTCCCCACGCACGCATCACATGACGACCTCTTGGACGCCTTCTGGCGCCTCCCAGGCGACACTCTTTCGAAGACCCACGTCATACTCCACAATCTCAGCTCGGAAGATGCATGGGAATGCCAGTCAAGCCCTCCTCTTAGCAGATGCCTCAACATCATCCAGAGCGCACGCAAGCTGAGCGTTGTGTGGGCTTTGGATGGCCGTGGAAACCTATTGGAAGAGCCGAGCGAGGAAGCGTCGGAGCTGAGAACGGAGCGCGATGAACAGATATTGATGTATTTTCTCTTCGCGCAGAAGCTGCGCAGTATCACGTTCCTCGTACTCGTGGATGGCATAGAGGATGTTATGAGGGACGTGCGGAGGGCCTTGGCTCCTTTCGACGTGCCGTTGGGCTGTACGCTCGAGAGCAATGCGCTCGACGAACCGTATCTGCCGAGGAATAACTCCCCAACGTGGGAGCCTCCTGAGGGCCACATTACGGCATACGAAATCGAGTTCCGCAGGATTCAGCCACTGAATCCAGGCCCTTTGTCTTCTTGCTGGCCCAACTTCTCTCCAGACTCTAGTCCTATCTTCATCCCCCCACTCCACCAGCCTTGCTCCGAAATGCAAGCCGTGCTGGATACAACAGCCCTTCTCGCTCTTCTCCGTGCTCCAGTTGCGCGGAGGCTTAAGGGAAAACCACCGCTGGGACATACCATGGCGGGGATAATGGAGGCTCAAGACGAGATATTCGGTTTCACCGACGTTGGAGAAGACTATAGGATGGATAAAGAGGGGGGTGTAATCAGTGGGTGTCCGTGGTGGTGGAGCTTCGAGGAAGGATTTAGGCGCTCGTCGGGTCCAGTTCAGTCCGACGAGATCGCACCGGGTGAAGTACCGAAGAGGGCTGGCCGAGCTTCAAACAGCCGTCCAGTCGCTTCATCCAGTCGCCAGGACTGCCGCACCACCACTGCTGCGGTCAGACATCGGGACGATAGCACAGTATCTCCGATCATAGGAGCACAGGAATGAAATAGAGGGCAATCGTTACTGTAGCGATCCCAAGGCGTCCACGCTCAGATATGGAAGGTCCATTATTGAATTGGCTTCGCGTGAATCAGACCGAGGCATCGATATCCACCACTACGTCTTCTTACCCTTAATCGACCGCTGGCTGTCGAGAGATGCGGTAGCATTTCCAGTCTGTGGGTTGATCTCCATTCTCTCATATGACGATGTCCTCTCGAGGGCTGGGGCCAGCTCGACAAGGGATCCAAGTAGGGATACCTGACACTTTCTCCTGCGAAAATAGCGAGAAGCGTTAGCAAACATCCAGTTACGCTGCCTCCGACACGCGTCGTTTTCCAGAGCCGAAACTGTATGAGTATCTCTCCTCTGAGCCCAAACTATGCGAGAAGCCTCCTAGCGCCTTTAAAGATCTTTACCATCAATGGTATTTGAACGGATTGCTCCTCCGCGTCAGTCCATCCGCCCATAAAAGGCCTTTCTCGGCTTTGTACCGCACTCTTCTTAGTGCCGAATCTTAGTTTTCCGTCACGAGCATCTCTGTATTATCATAGCCGGGCATAGGTAACGTTTAGGTGCATCCCAAGCGTACGGAATAACTTCATACTCCCTTTCAGGCTCGGCAAGACTGTTCTGGTAAAACGAAAACAGGAGGGGCAAAGTGCAGTCGAGAGAAGGCTCAAAGGACCGTAGTTTTGAAGTGTTCGAGATCCTCGAGGGGGTTGTATACGTATAACGGTGGCTTCGTGTCCGGGTCCATGCTGTCCATCGTGACTTTAAGGGAACTGTCGCTATGTGCTTTCGACCTTTGCTCCTAATTGAGGGCCGCTATAGTCAAAATGAGAAACGAATATTAAGGACGTGGAGATTATTAGCACCGTGGGCCGAGCCGAGCGGATCGAAAAGTTGTGGGTGGACACTGAAAACCCGAACCACGAAGCGCTTGTTTTCGCCTGCCCAATCACCGCAAAGATCCTTCAAGAGGACATGCAAGGATACCCGCGCCGTGCCACAAACACATCCATGGAACTCAAGTGTGTCCGTCCGCCGACTCACGATTATCTGCGATTCAATTGGATGGCTTTCACTTCCTAGGCTGAGACAAGCGATCGCGTGTACTTTGACATTGTGAAGCGGGGCGTGACATACTTCGTCTATCGTTGAATGTGGAGCAGCGCCGTATAACACAGAAGGGTGAAAGCAATACGCTATCCTACGTTTTCGTGAAGTTCCAGTAACGTGAGGGCGTGCGAGTGAAATCCAGCCCCCAACACGTGCCAAGCCGCTCACGGTAGCGCTAAAATTGCCTCGCTTAGTCACCACAGCATAGCCCCGCCCCTCCATTCTTCAGCCCGACCCCTCGCCACCACTCCACAATCCTACATCATCGCCCTCACGACCCACGACAACCACAACAACTAGCGCTCATCACTCTCTCCCACTCTAGTCCCCGCTTGCACTCGACACACAACAACAGCGCTCTCAGCCCAGGACCGCACAACCAGATTCATGACCACAGACATCCAAAACCTCAAGACCTTCGATCCGTTCGCGGAAGCCGAAGACTCAGTCGGCGAGACAAAAACCACCAGCCAAAATTACATCCATATCCGCATCCAACGTACGCGCTCTCCACTCTCCTTGACTACCCCCATCACCCTCACCTTCCAGGATGCTTGCTAACGTAAACGTGTCGCAGAGCGCAATGGTCGTAAGACGCTGACGACGGTCCAAGGCCTGCCCAAGAAATTCGACCAGAAGAAGATCCTCAAAGTGATCAAGAAGAAGTTCGCCTGCAATGGCACCGTCGTCACGGACAGCGAGATGGGCGAGGTGATCCAGCTCCAGGGCGACCAGCGCAAGGATGTCCAGGAGTTCTTGACCGATAAGAAGGAGGGGCTGGGCTTGGACGCGAAGACCATCAAGGTCCACGGCTTCTAAGCCCGAGCACCCAACTACTGCCCATGCCTCTGTCGCCGCTTCCCGCTTTGAACACCCCTCTCGATCGGCGACGACGTCGCTCTGCCAATATACCTCGTCGTCGTCGCCGCGAAGTGGGATGATGATCTCGTGCCCCACCGAGGGTGGGCGGGGCTGAGAATGCGGCGCAGCATCGGTAGATACCCTGTTCGGTAATCCGTTTCCTATCGACTATTTCGATTCGGCTTTGCTTTGCTTGAGGATAGCGGTGGAGGAAGCAAGTCTGTTCTTTTCAGCTATGGCTTTATGGGTACACAGTTGCGAAAATGGCGGGATGTGTGTGGGGAAGCGCCGGTCCGGAGGGGCTATGCTTGATAGACAAATGAAACACATGCGACCGCCGAATAGTCTTCCTTTGCTTGCGCGTCGTGAGTGCAGTGTGCGTTGTCAACTTGGTTCCGATAGTTGTCAGCCAGCTTGAATCCGTTGGTTGACGCTGTCAAAGCTCGGTCGCTACCATAGTAACCTAGAGTCGATCTCAACTCTACTCCACATCCTCCATCTCCTCCACGGCCCTTTCCTCCTTCGGCGCCCTTGCCTCCTGCTTCCGATACATGGCAGCCAACTCTTCCGCCTCCGTCGCCTCATCGATGCCTTTATCTTCTCTAACCCTAAGAAACCTAGGGAACCTTGTACTCAAGCCCCTCTCCTCGCTCACCAGCCCCACCGCCGCCGTATACGTCGGACTCAGCGTCAAATCCGCAAACACCACCTCCCAGACCTCCTGCGGCTCAAACCAGACATCTGGCCACCCTCCCCCGCCGCCGTACTCGATATAGTGCGGTTTCTCAGCCAGCACATTCGTATTCTCGGGGTCGTCTTTGTCGTATTTTGCACGGTTGGCTTTGTAGAAAGCGTCGGTGAAGCCGCTCATGCATTTTGTGAGGGCTTCGAGTTGGCCGGTGGATTCGTTGCGGATGGCGAGCAGGATCGGGGACCACCAGGCGGCTTTGCGGCCCTGGCCGTGGAACCCGGCGATGGGGATTAGATCGAGGGTGGAGGAGGAGGCGTGGTAGTCTTTTTTTACTTTGAGCCAGGAGTCGAGACGTTTGTCGGGCTCGTAGGTGGAGAGGAGGGGTTTGCGGCGGGTGGAGGGTTTGGGCTGGTCGCCGGAGCCGTTTTCGGTGGTGGTGGGTTTGGCTTTAGATTTGGTCGATTTGGACTTCTTCTTTGGTGTCGTAGGCTGCGGTGGTCGCTCGTCTTCGGGGTTGTAGAGGTCGGCTTGGAGGTCGGGATTTGGGAGGTTGTCGAGGACTTTGACCATTATGCCTTCGCATTTTATATCAGTAGCACTCTTGAAGAAGGCTTGTACTGCTTCGACGTCGGCGGAGGTTGCGTCTAGACTCTTGACCCAGGTAAAATGGTGCGGTATCTCCAGGAAGAGGCTTCTTAGTAGGTTTCTTCTCTCCCTGAAGGGTCGGTCCAGCAATTCCTCTCCATTCAAGTACATCAGATCGAATGCGAAGAGACAAACGTCGATGGTGACAGTGCCAATCGCCACGTCCTTTCTTGCGCGATTTGCAAGAGTCTGGAACGTCTTGAGCTCACCCGTTTCGCGGTCGATGGCCACAACTTCCCCCTCAAGTATGAAGCTCGACACTCCTTCTCCACGTATCTTGGGCACCAACGCAACAAGGTCCGGGTATTTGTCCGTCATAACTTCCAGATGTCTGGAGAATATTGTGACTTTGCCTTTCGCATCACAGTGCACTTGTGCTCTCTGTCCATCGTATTTGAATTCGCAGCTAAAGTCTCGCCCTTGCAGCTTCGTGAGCATTTCGCCTAAGTCGCGCGTTATGCTTCCGAGCATAGGTCGAAGTGGGATATGGAGCGCCAGCCCGCATCGTACCAGCAGTTCGTCGCAAACGCCAATTTCGAGGAGGCTGGGAATGAGGTCGTTGTAGTTTGGTCGTCGAGCGAAGCAGGCTTTGACAATCTCTTCATTCTTTGAGTAGATCTCTGCGAGCTCTTCCTTCTTCAGTTTAGCCAGCGACTTTAGATCTCGCGTTTCGAACTCGGCAGTGGGCGGTTTCGACAGCAAGAAGGCGCGCGATAGAGCGATGAGCATGGTGGTCTTGACAGCCCCGATGCGCAGATGCTGCACGAGCGTCCTGACAATATACCGACTCTCCTCCGCACCTCGCGCGTCCTGTAAAAGCCTCTCCACTATTCTCTGTTTTGCCTCCACGCTTCCCTGTCCTTTGCTGTTCGCGATCTTGACTAGCGAGTCGAACACGCTCTTGATCGTGAGCGGCTTAGGCTTCCGCAGCGTGAACGATTGCCTCTTTTTTGCCTCGAATGCCACATCCCCCGGGTCCCCATACTTGTTGTATAATGTCTTCAGTCCTGCATTGTCCAGTCCACAGACCTTCTTCAGCGCCTTCGAAATCGCAGATCCACCTAGTCCTAACTCGAGATCGATGTAGGGCGGCGAAATGGCGTTCGTCGCGAGCCAGACCGCTGGAAGCAGGCTCTCAGGATGGCCTTCGATGATGGTCCGCAGCAGGTTGACGAGCGTATCAACGATCTTGATCCGGCTCGTCGTGCTATTGACCAACACGAAGCATCGCGTCAGCAGCGCATACGTCGCATGCCCCCCATCCGATGCCCAATACTTCTGCAAGTCTGGTATGTATTGCGACGGGTCGAATTCGAGCGGGCTTTGGTCGAAGGGTATGTTCGCAGAGATGGTGTCTTCTTCCGCGGCGGTCGACTGGAGGGAAAGGGTATTCTTCTGCTTCGGAGTCGCGGATTTGGGAGGTTCGGAGGGAGGATTTGCAGGCTCTGGCTCGTGAGTTCCATTGGCCTCAGGCTCTATACCGCCATTCATGGTTAGTTTCTCGGGATCCGCATAGAGGTCACTGGAGGTTGGAGGCTCTGGGTCCATTATCTGATCCTCCTGGTTCCATTCAGCTTGCAGCTTCTGAGCAAGCTCTTCGTCCGTCAAGGCAGACGGATTCTGCACTGTATTGGAGATCTCCTTCGCATCCGTCTTCTTCACAATCCCTGCATCTACTACTTTCGCCGCGTCCTGCTTCTGCTTGGCGAAGAAGTAATCCAAGTTGCGGATGGGCTGGCTCGAGCCATCGTTCTTCTTCCGCCGCTTCGCCGGGCTGCTCATCTTGAATACCGCAAGATGATGTCTGATCTGGCCGGCAGTGACATCGTTCGGGGCCTGGAAGCTCTGGGATCTGCCCAGGTGACAGCCTGGAAGTGCACGTTCCTTCACGTCATGACGCCCGCTAGGCGCTCGGACCACAGCGTATTTCTCCACTTCACGTGCTCACGCGCCAAAGACGGATACGCGTAAGAGCACAGTGCCGCGCCCTCTTCTCATCCTCACCGTCGACACGCGCGACTTTGTGAAGTCGAGCTGCTCAGAGTGACGGGTTCCTCGCGCTAGCGCTCTGTGCCTTCGCCGTCGACCAGGGAACCAAGCCCTTTTCACTCTCACTTCGCAACAAAATCCGACGCGCTCGAGCGAGCGTCCTTCTCACTCTCCACCGCCGTGCCGGGCGATTTCTTTTTCAACAATCCCGTCGCGATATTCTCTGGAAAATTTTCTAACAAGCTCATTTTAGGGGTCCCAAATGGCCGGACGTTAGGAACGCAACTCCTCTGAAGAACCTGTGACTACTCCTTCAGTCACTATTCTCAGCTTGGCCGCCATCAAAGAATTTTCCTCTACGCAAAACGCAGCTTTTGGTGTGTTTCCAACTTCAAAAGCTGACCATGGCTCGACGCACAGGATTCGACGAATCGACGGGCCAAGTGTATACGGAAACGACCGCTCCAGTCCACTCTATGGTCTCAACGGTGTTGAACCGCACTACAGGCAAGAAGGAAAATCCGTCGACGTATCGTCACCCTGGACCAGGCGCTTCATCTCTCTACGATTCTGCTCTTCGTTTATGTATCTGGAATGTGGAGCAGTTCACCCCGGAAGCTGTGGTATATGCGAGCTTGCCCTATGCTGAGAGGATCTACAAGTGCTTAAAAGAACGGTAAGTCGTCATTGGACTCGGTTCAGAACGTACGAATAGTCTGCTAAGCAACATAGGGGCGTCTTGACTCTCAAAGCCTGGGCCATGTTTCAGGCCGCCTTTCCACAATCAGAAGAGATTGATCACAGCTACCATACGAACGTCGTCGCTCCACGAGGTGCTGACCCAGATGAGTTAGAGCCGATTCAGAACCGATTGAAATTGCTGCCCTTTATGGTTTGGCAGTTCTCGAGTTTGACCTTCCTCAACCTCCGAAACCTCAGAATCACACCTACTGAGCTCGTGGATCTCCTGAAGTTCCCCAACCTGGCCGCGCTCGTGCTCGAACAAAATATTGATCACTCAACTGGCCCTAGCAGAGACGGCATTGGCATTGATGACCTGTTTATGAGGCGATGGGGAACGGCTATCGATGAAATGGGCGCATTTCCGAAGCTCAAGCTCTTACTCTTCCGACACTTTCCGATCTATCTGGACGATAGCTTCAAATGTTTCTCGAACTTCCCTTCTCTCATCCTCTGCAATGTGTGCTCCCAGTGGATCCACCGCGACGTGAAGGGAATGGAGGGCGGACAGCTGATAAGCAAGGGGCGATGGCGGTATCTGCCTACTACTGGGTAAGTGAAAACCTCCTCGTCAGGGCAAACGTTAACTAGTCTTAAAGAAAAGATGCACCCGCCGGCAACGAGAACCCCCAAAACATCTTGAGACAAAAAGACAAGACGATCCACACAAGGATGGCTATGCTATATGACCTGGCCAACTCATTCTTCCCGAAGTCTGAGGCTAGTGCTCCCGACGATCCCGTTATCTCCATTACTTATGGTGACGCGACCGATCGCTACCATCCGAACTGGCATTCAGCATGGTTCGTTCGCGTTCCTACGGCTTCGGATGAGCTGTTCGCCCTACCGGTAAAGCGACCAAGTGAAGTCACCGAGGAGCAGGTTGAGACGAAGAAGAGGAAAATGAGAGATGGGAAGCAGAAAGACATTGGATCTCTGTTGGACTCCTTTGTTTAGGCAATACATTGCCAAAGCTAGCGATTACTGCCAGGTTCGGGGCTCCATGAAAGCGGTATCCATGCTCGGCATCGGATGTTTGGTGTTCTGACCGCAAAGTTCTCGGCCGTAGCGCTGATCTTACACGGTTAGGTATAAGAACCTGGGGAATTCCTGAATGTGCTTTACAACCGGCGACAGCCATAGGTCCAGGCGCCCACAAGCCTAGACGACGATACAATATGTTACTTCAGACACAAAATATAATCGGCCTAGTCCAGACTCACTACTACACTTCACAGTTGATCCTTGAGGTATTCGATCGTCGCCACGGCCTAAGTACCTGATCCGGCAAGGTTGCATTGCTAGTGCATGTCAGACCCGCCTACTCCGCGCTGACCCCGTACGACAAAAGAGCGGAGTTCCACAAACAAGAGGCTCGTATAGGTACATCTTCAGCCGGGGCTGAGTCATTCATAGCGCGCCTGATCATGACTAGTGACTTATCCGGCAACGGCGGGATGGAGAAGTAGTTAACATGGGTTGCGGCGTAGTCAAGTTATAAAGCAGGTGTGATCCCATGCAACTTCTGTTCAGTTCGCAGCGTTCCATTTCCTCGTCTTGTTCATTATCGTTTAAATCCTAGTTTGACTTTGAATCCTCTGTACGCAATGGCTCCCGCACCGGTCACTTGGATCTTCGACAAAGCGGACTATTCAAAGCACCGCGTCGTCAAGCTTCCAGACGACCCTCTGCCCGCTCTCGGTCCATCGTCGCTCCGTCTGCAGACTAAACTCGTTGGTCTCACCACGAGTAACCAGACGTATGCTCGCCTTGGCCATATCCTTCCCTGGTGGGATGTTTACCCACCGCCGGAGAACGCCCCAGCGCCATACAACGATCGGGAAACCCACTGCCGCATTGCCGGTTGGGGCTATGCCGAGATCGTAGAGAGTACTGTCCCGGATATCCCCGTAGGAAACATGGTGTTTGGCTACTTAGCTATCAGCACTGTGCCGTTCGATCTCCGCGTCGAGCACACAGGGCTAAAAGATCAAATCGTTGCCCTGAACGAGCACAGACAGCATCTCTGGAAGATCTACAACAGATACCGCATCTACCCTCCGCTAGCAGAGTTCGAGAAGAACAAGCAGCTGGACTTCCTGGGCTGGGACTGCCTGATGGAAATCCTCTTCGGCACCTCCTACAACCTCAACCTCTACGGCTTCGCCTGGAAAGACGAATACCGCATCCACCCAGCCGGCGAGGGCGAATGGACCGCCGAAGACGCAAACCTCGACAACTCCACCGTGATCTTGCTCAACGCCAGCGGCAAGACAGGCATGTCCTTCGCCTACGCGCTGCGCAACAACAGACCCAAGGAGCACCAGCCGAAGACTGTCATGGGCGTCGGCTCCCCAGCCTCCAAAAGCATGCTCGAGAACAGCGGCTTCTACGAAAAAGTGGTGCTAAACTCGGAGGCGGGGTCTGCTGCGGACTTTGTCGAGAAGTCCGGCTCCCGCCGCACCATCGTCCTTGACTTCGGTTCGCGGACCGGCACTCCTGATGCTTGGAAGTCCGCCTTCGCCTCCTCCAGCACACGCTTTGATTTCTTCTCCGTCGGGGGCGAAGTCAAGGTCATGTCGCCGGAGGAGGCATTACAGGCGTTCATGAAGCGTGCCGGCAGCCTTGTTGTGAATGCGAATGTGCTGAGGGAGAAGGGTGTTGAGATTGCGGGAGAAAAATACTTTGAGATGTTCTATAAGGATTGGGATGAGTTTAAGCGGAGAGGCGGTGTTCCGGGGTGTAGGTTGGTATGGGGAAAGGGAGTTGAGGGCTGGGCGGAGGGATGGGAGGCGTTGTGTAAAGACAAGGGGAATGCGACGGATGGGTTGGTGTATAGGTTTTAGTTGGAGAGAGAGATAGTTAAGCGGTCCTTGATGCCGTTTCGAGCAGGTTAGAGTGGAGTAAGAGAGGACGCGAAAGAGCAAGGTCAGTCGTTTGGTAGTGGGAGACTTTGGCATCCATGTCAAATCCAGCGCCATTGGTTTGAATCAGCTACTTCTTTATTCCGCTCATTTTTGCCGTCGCGGTTGCTCCTGCATCAGGATCTCCGGCTTCGTTCCTTCTTTCCTACCGTCCCTGTGACAACTATTCGTCGAACGTCGCCATGCTTCCGTGTTTCCGCACTCCGCACTCCTCACAACGCATCGTCATTCGCATCTTCACTCGCTCTATCATTTAAATTCTTCCCAACCAGATCTTACAAGTCAATCGCTTCCCACGGGAAATGGCCCGGCAGTGCCTCCAGCTCAAAGAGCTAGACCAATTGAAAATCCTCACTATCATAGACGACGAGATCGAGCTGCCCTCGAGGGAAACGGACCAAGCGCAATACATTACCCCAGATGATGACTCGACGGACGATGGTGAAGAGACAAATCTTCTAAAGCGTGAAGAGGGCATGAGCTTGTTGATTGTAAGCTTCCGCATGGGTACCATACAGACGGTCAAAAATAATATGCGCAGCTCAAATTCGGACTGCCACACATGAGGAACCGTTATTGATGCGCACAGACTGGGATACGCCATAATCCGGCAGGAAACAAGCGGCCTCGAAGGCATACCCTTCTCTTCGACACCGGACCGTCTCACGCAGCCTGGATCCACAACGCATGTGCCCTCGGCGTTCGCTTGACGAAAATCGATCTAGTAGTCCTCAGCCATTGGTGCCGCAATCACGCTGGCGGGATAAAGCGCGTTTCAGAGCGCATAGCTCGCGGATACGGATGGCCCGCTCCGGTCGCTCTTCCGCCTGCCCTGATCATGGACGTGCCAGCTAGATGCCCAAGGCCACGGGGTAAGAGAACACCACCAGATACACCTGCGAGCTTTCAGCCCACACCGACCATCCCCGATTTCATCAACGGAGGTAGAGGCGCGAGGGCGGATAGACATGACGACGACCACCTGGTCATGAGCCAATGCTTCATGGTCTCAGGCGAGATTCCCCGAAACGTGGACTACGAGGGCAGGCCAGAGGATACCATGCAAGTAATACAGGAGGACGGTCGCTTTACGAAAAGACCAGACTGGATACAAGAGGAACGCTTTGTCGCATGCATCGTCAAGGGTACACTCTCTCTTGACCCTCCACTTTGTCCCTCGAGTTTTCCGGAAGCATTGGCGGAGACTGACATTGGATACCATAGGAAAGGGCCTAGTTGTTTTCGCGCCGTGCTCGCACGCTGGCATTGTCAACACGGTGGAGCACGCCATGACTGCTACTGGTCTCAGCAGCGTTTACGCCATTGCAGGCGGCTTCCATCTCCGCGATGCCAGCTATTTGATAGTCGACCAAACCATCAAGCGCCTCAAAGGATACGGTGTGGAAATTGTCATCGCAGGCCATTGTACAGGGAAACATGCCATCGACAGACTCCAGGACGAATTTGGAGATCGTCTCTGGCAGAGCTTTGTGGGAGCGGAATTCACAATCGGCGACAGCGAGAACGGTCTTCCCTCGAAAAACCATTCGAAACCCGCTCCGACCGCTAGGTTGTTCGAACCGTTACAGATAATGCGACCGATACCTTTGAGGCAACAGCGAGCGGCAGAGGCGCCAGATCAGGCCGCGATTCTAGAGTGGTTGAGTGGAGTGTTGCGAGAGGCGAGCCCGCCGGGACAACATGACAGTAGCAGTGTAACTCCAGAGGCAGCAGGTCCGACTGGACAGGAGCAAACGATTGTCGCCCCACAGCTATCTGCCGCAGCATTCGACCCATCTGCAAGTCGTAGCAGCTCGGTGACACAAATTCAATGCCCATACGAGCAGTCAAGAGACGAGTATTGGCGGAACGAACCCGCAAGGCCCAGGGGCCCGGTATACGGAGAGGCACAAGGAGAGGACAGTAGCATTGGACAGCAGCCAATCCAGCCTGCACCAGGCACTGGGACTCTAGAACCGGGGAGCGAAGCCAAACATAGCTCTTTCTCAACAACCGCAACGGGCCAGCAGCCAGTGATCCAACTAGCTCATCAGCTGGAGAGCCGACGAGCCCAAAAGGCTCTACAGTCGACGACGGACCAGACTCAACATTTGACCGTCCAACAGGTCCACGTTCAGCGGCCCGACTCGCAGAGAGCGAACTCCTGGAGCGCTGGACAACAGCCAGTCCCACCTGCTCCAGCGTCAGCAATTCAAGGACGGACAAGCCAAAACGCACATAGTAATCCGGCACCGGCAGCAATTAGCCAGCCCCCGCCAATCCAACAAGCCCAACAGCCGTCTATCCAGCAGGCCCATCAGCCAACGATCCAACAAGCCCCTCCCCCTCCCCCAGCCCACAGGCCCCCTCCCATCCCAGGAATCCCCGAGTCCCGGCACTACCATCCCTCGCTCTTGCGCGATATTCTCCCAACTCAGCAGCCCAATCCCGCCAATCCCGCGCCACAGCAGAACAAGAAAGTCTCAAGGACCGCGTCGTTGCGGAACAAATTCAAGTTCTGGAAGCGCTAGCACGAGTTCCGCCGTCATCGGCGTCGGAGGGACTGTTTGTCGCGACGGTGTTGTCAATCTGTTTGATACTGTACGGGAAAGTCTTTTGTAGTCCATGCATGCGTTGTTTCTTCCAGAAAGAAATGCACTCGTGCGATGCCCTGCCAGCTCTAGTCTTTGATGTCCGTGATGCCTTTTGAAGGACGCGCTTCGCTTTCCGACGAGTGATTGGGTTCATCCAAGGCACTACCAAAAGCCCACAACTTCTAAGCATCTTCGTGTATGCAAGGCGGCGGAATGGTATGATACTCGAGATTAAGTGAGGTTGAAACGCGCGGGTTGATATGTCGAAGAAGAACCACGCATATGTTATTGAGCTAGAGGTCCACGTAGCCGTGGACGGTGTTCCGTGCTAGAGCCCAAAGCGGCTTAGCTTCAGGAGTCTATTCCGAACTTCTCGAGGTCGCACGTCGTGAACGATGATCAGACGAACACCATACCACATCGCCACGGAAATTATGCACAGAAAATACCACACACATGCACACAATCCACAGGTATTCGAATTCTTTGAGACACGCGCTTGTCATCACACGGCAGAAGAGACGGAACGTGCGGCCATTATAAGAGGTGCATTATATTAGCTACTCATCAGTTCGGCCGACTTTTGTAACTGTTAACATGTCTCGAGAAAAGTCCTGCCCATAGAACAAAGGAAGATCGTTCACCGTTTCTCATTAGACCCCCGCGTAAGTATGCCTTTTATCCGGAGCGCAAGCAATGCTAGACGCGATAGCGTGGCAAGAATGACCCACAGACCTGATCCACCACCGCGACAGTGTGCCCGGGCACATAGGAGCGGACAGTATGCCGAAGTTATAACCATCAAGCGTCTTAAGCGAAATGGGCGAACGCGAAGGCGACGACAATCGCCGCAATCGAGCTCTTTCCGGCACGAACGATCTGCTGACCCTGGTTGATAGGCACAACGGAGTAGGTTGGGGTCGGTGAGATGACAGTGTTGTTGCCACCCGAGGGGATGGGGTATCTGCGATCAAGATGTCAGCTAAGAAACGCAGGAATGGAAGGAGAGGATCAACTTACCCAGAGCCAGACGGAACGCCGGAGACGCTCGTGCCAATGCTCGTCGGCATAGGCATCTCTTCAGAGCTAGTGGTACCGTTCGAGGTCGGGACCGTCGTCACGGATGTAAAGGGATGAGTGAGAACGCTCGTGATCACCGTGGTGCCCTCAGGACCGCTGGTAGGCACAGGGAGAGTAGACTGCCCAGACGACACTAATTCGCTCGTCGTGATGCCGGGCATAGAAGAGCCCGGAGAAGACGGTGAAGGATTGAAGGACGTGGGCACGGAATCCGTCCCAGTAGACCCCGAAGAGGAAGCGCTGGCGCCTGGCGAAGACGGGACAAGGTTTCCACTCGACGGCGAGGAACCGACAGAGGAGCCCGTAACCGACGGAGATGGGTTGAACGAGGTAGGAACCGAGTCCGTATTCGTAGCGTCGGGGGTTGAGGAGGGGACCTCATATCCACTTGATGAGACTGGGGCCGACGGCGAAGGGTTGAACGAGGTAGGAACCGAGTCCGTATTCGTAGCGTCGGGGGTTGAGGAGGGGACCTCATATCCGCTTGACGAGACCGGAACTGACGGCGAAGGATCGAAAGATGTCGGAACCGCATCAGTGTTAGTGGCGACGGGGCTTGAAGAGCTCGCGACAGGCGAAGAGGGAACCTCATATCCGCTTGACGAGGCCGGAACTGACGGCGAAGGATTGAAAGAGGTCGGAACCGCGTCAGTGTTAGTAGCGACAGAGCTTGAAGAGCTCGCGGCAGGAGAAGAGGGAACCTCATATCCACTTGACGAGGCCGGACCCGACGGCGAAGGGTCGAATGAAGTCGGGACAGAGTCCGTGTTAGTTGCCATCGGGGTGCTCGAAGAGTCAGCGCTTGAAGCCGGCGGAGGGATATCGTCGCTCGACGAAGGGGCGAAAGATGTCGGAACCCCATCGGAATTCGTCGATGTCTCAACCTCGCTGGAGATTGACGTCGTCGGGATGCCCATATCAGTGGTCGACGCCGACGCCGGTGGAATTGGCGTGCTGCCCGGGAGAGAGGCACTCGACGTGACCGAGCAGACCGTCGTGGTGATGGCAACAACAGCCGTCAAAGTGCTCGTGCCATCGGTCGGGCAGTTGGTGACGTCCGGACCGCACCCAATGACGGTGTAGTACGAGGTCGTGTAGATGGTCGTCGTGGTGACGGCCTCGACGGCCAGATCACGGGCGAGACCTGTTGCTCGTTCGTCACTCAAGGTTCGTTGCGTGGCTCAAGCAGGCGGCGGAGTGCAGCGCAGACATGCTCTGACCTTCCAGCGGGCGCACAAGGCGAGCCCGCTTTCGACAGACTGAAGTGAAGGAGTGTATAGGAGGAATTGGCTTACCATCTGGGGACGCAAGAGCAGAGACTGCAGACGCAGCACCGCCGATGAGGGCGGCAAGCTGGGGCACCTTCATGGCGAGCAGAGCTGGCGAGGGAGCGAGAGGCTAAAAGAGTGTGGGAGTGGGTAGAGAGAGCGAGAGAGCCAACGAGCTGGAGGCTGGTTGCTGCAAAGCGCGGGGAGAGAGAAACGAGTGTAGGTAGTTGGTGGGAGGAGAAGCGCTGAAGTAAGGCGATCGGGACCTTTATTTCGGAGGGCAGGAAGCGCCAAGGCCGCAATCGATCGTCACCGCGAGGGAAGGCAGCAAACGCGCCTCTTTCTCCAATTTCCGATAAGGGCCGGGTGCGGGGGCGCAATTTCCCACCTGGGCAACGACAGTAAACAAAGCTCGCGCGTCACGTGGGTCCTGCTTTCACACCTTGGCACACAGTGGCCGGATGGTCGCCAGCCTCAGCGTTCCCAACACCAGGCAAAGGGGCTCCGACGCTGCAGACGCGGATAACTGCAGCTCGGGGGCGCGGTATCAGGATTCTGGCGAGCCAATTGCGCACCTTCCCGCCGCAGTACCAACGTGACAGTGTGCTCTGTGTTGCGGTGAAGCGAGCTCGAGCCTGGCCAGGTTCCTTCCGCTTCAAAAACAGCTCCTCCCGCCCGTCCACTCCCTTTCTTCTCCTTCACTCCAGCGCGACCGCCACACAGTCAAACTCTGCAGCCGGCACCGCAGCAACGCCCGAAGAATCTGCGCAGCGACCCCGCAGCCTCTGGCCCTTTAAATTCGTCCGCTGCCTCGCCTCCGTCTTCCCTCCACGACACCTCTTCTGCAACCGCATCTCAGCGACCGCATATTCTCTCGCCATACATACTCAATCAACATCTCTTTCATCTCCAACTCTCTCCGTCGCCAAAATGGTTGCGTTCAAGCTCCTCACGGTCGCTGCTGCGCTTGTTAGCGCTGTCGTCGCCACCGATGACTGTACGTCCACCGCAGAATTTCAGACCCAGTTTACAAAGCTCAGCTAACTCGCGTCAACAGCCGTCTGCTTCTCTGCAGAGCCAATCACCGTGACCGTGACCGTCACCGACTGCGGCACTGGCCCTCCGGTCGCTCCCACTCCCCCAGCATCTTCTGGCTACGTTCCGCCGCCAATGGAGACCACCTCCTTCATCTCTGAGGGTCCGACTCCTAGCGGTCCTGCCCCGTCTGGTCCAGTTCCGCCGTCAGGTACCGGTCCAGGCGCTCCGCCGCCGGGCACGTCCGAAGGTACTCCCCCGACCTCTCCAGGCCCGTCGAGCGGCAGCGTCACTCCGTCCGCGTCTCACCCCGGCAGCACCCCGCCGCCGCCGTCCTCGGACCATCCTCAACCACCCCCGCCAAGCTCGGCTGCCTCGGAGAGCAGCAACTTCGCAGCCGCTCCGACCGCATACTTTGGTGTGGGTCAGATGGTTGCCGCTGGGATGGCGTTGGCTGCCCTGGTCTAATGCGCATCGTGTTGGTACCGTCACAAGACACATGCTGTCGCTACGATAATGGCCTTCACTGATTTGCCTCTCAAACCGTCATCTCTTCATGGCCACCGTTTCGTCTACGGTTGGTCCTAATACTTTCACGATGATACAATCTGGGGGATCTGCTGGCATTGAGAGGAGGGATTCATCATTGACTTGTAGCTTTAGCGTAGCTATAGCTCTTCTCGATCGATAATTGGCGAACGAGGTTACTCTCACATATACACATATACGTCTTACCTGTTGCTGCTGTGATGTGTGTTGCCGCTCTGATACATCCTTTTATGACCCCCTTATGCGCATTCTTACCGACATGAGCATCGGCATTGCCTGTGTATCGAGAGAGGTCCATCATCACCATCACCAGCCTCATTGTTTACGGTGCAAGCTCTCTTAGTGTCTTAAACTCCAGGCCTTGGAGCCGCTCTCGCTAGTCGTGGACAACTCTTCCAACCGCGCCACAGCACGTCGGACTCACCGTACCGTAACTAATGGCATCTAAACTACTGTCCGCGAAACGCTATCTTCCTTCCACAAGGTCAATGGCCGAGCTGTGCTCGTGTCCTGATTGAACGTCGATATTTACGAAAAGGAAACGCATGTGCAGTCCATGGATAGGAAAAGCATGGATGGGACAAATAGATACGTTGACGAGTGTCGATATTAGAATCGGATCAGCAAATTTGAGACTGGATTGGAATACCCCCGATTCTATATCTCACAGCGGTGCGACACCGGAGAGCAGATAAATCAATGCCCACGTATCACTCTCAGGCAGATGTCTAGTCCTCCCTAATCCGTCCGCCTTGCCCTTCCTCAGTTGCCGCGCCTGACCCCTGGGTTCACATTGACGGATGCCAAAGCTTCGATCGTACCTCCCGCGCTTCCCCCGCTGCTCGCTTCTAAAGCCGCTGGCGATACAAAGCTCCCGTCTGGGCGGCTGACAAGCGATTATCCCGATGTACGGATTTGGCGGGGAGGGAATGCTAAGTGTGTGCCTGCGTGTTGCGGCACGCTCGTGGCGTTGTGGGGTCTCTGTAGCGGAGGTTTCACAGGGAGGACGCGGTGTAGCTGCGGCTGCGGCTTTGTGGGGGAAGAGCGCTGGAGGTTCGGATGGGGATGATACTAGCCGGGGTGTGTTTATGGGCCGGGGCTCTGCTGTCGAACGGCAGTGAGGCTGAGGGGCCTTGCGTGGGGTGTATAAGTCAGGATAGGAGTATAGCGAGGGCGTTGGTGGGGACTTTGGAAGGGACAATGTGCTCACACGCGCTGACACCGAATGAAACAATTTCTCTCTAGGCGCCCTGGCCTGGACTTCGACGCTTCCTAATTGTTGGCTTTAGTGAAGTGAATAGTAGTGGAGACCGAGTAAGGAGGGGGAACCGAAGGACTTCAGGCCAGCTGCTGGGTACGAGGAGAAGCAAGGCCTAGACGAATAGGTTATTGATCGAGTTTAGGATGAGTATAGAAAGTACTTCGCTCGCGCGAGGAATGTTTCGATCTCTCTAAGAGGGAATGTGAACCATGTACTCTAGGCACCTACTGAAGATGGTCTTTAGACGTCTTTGGGCGGGAGAAAAGCTGGGTAATTTAAACATGATCGCACAAGCCAGACTATACTATTGCATACTTAGAATTGATTCTAGACCGAAAGTGGGACGTTAATCTCTCTTGTCTCGCGTGGCTATCCCATCAACGCTGTCCCTATATTCCAATGTGAGATGGCCCTTTGTAGATCCGTAGGTATTGCCAGCCCGTCACACTAGTACTCGTCATCCATTCGGCGACGCGCCCTTACTGCCCTCTATTGATCCGCCCACCTCCTCCCTCTCCTTCCTCCTCTGCGCCACATCCCAGTTGTACACTCGAGCGAAGGCGACTTCCAGTGTGGTTATCTGCTCGCGCAAGAACTCCATGTCCTCCTCGCACATGGCCAGGCTCTTCTTCGCGGTATCGAGCTTCGACTTGAGCAGTTCTTCGGCTTCGGGGATGGGATATGCGAGCATAACGTTTGCCTTGACGAATGTTAGCCTCGCTTGCACCATCACTGGAGAGTATTATAGTGTAGTGTACCCCTAGCCATAGGTATACCTCGTCCGACGGGGGTATCTCTGCTTTCGCGTACAACGTGTCGTTCAACTCGAAAGTGGTCTCCATGGCCTCCGAATCGGGCTGTGGGGATATCAGCGGCTTTCTCGCTGACGCCAGATGTCCTTCCCACCTTCCTGCTTTTCAGAAAGCGTACCGTCTCCAACGTCTTTTGTATATCTGGTATCTTGTCCTTGAGCCCCGCTGCGCGCCGTTGCGTGTTGACTTCCATGAACTGGTACTTCCTGGTCATAGCTGGTAAGAGGCTGCTACCTTCTGCTCGTGCTTGCGGACGGCGACGTACGATATCATTTCCTTGAAGCTGTTCATGGTGTTCTCCACCTCTGAGCGGTCGGTAACGTAGTCTTCGACCCGGTCGACGAAGGGGGCGAAGGGGATGCCGCGGGGGTTTGTGGGCGCATCTTTGCTGCTGAGGGCTGTTTAGGACGTTGATTTTCACGGACACAGGTGACGCACCTTCCTGGCTTCGCCGTGGTAGCCATCGCAAAGCTCTGGTGTTTGCGCACGAAGCCCCTCGAGCTCTCACGATGTTGACGAATTGTTTGCTCCGTTTGCACCTCGGGAAAGCGGCGCTTTCGCTCCGAGCGGGAGGGGTACTTGGCGTTGTCTTTCCGCTCCGCCCCGCTCCCTAGCAGTCACATCCCCGCCGTCGTCCGGAGCGGCCGTCGCAAATCTCGCTTACAGGAGAGGAAATGGATGACCTCATCCAAGCCCGACCCGTGTCTTTCGTGCCCCTGGCACCTTGTCCAACAGCAACCTTAAATCAACCTACTCCCGCCGTCCACCTAGCGTTCTGGTCTTCGCGTCACTACATCGGATGTGTCCTCCATCGCCTTACACCAGCATTCTCGTGGATGATGCCATGAAGGCCTTCGCACTCCTCATACGAAAACACGATGCAGCTCCGCGAGTCAACGCGCCCGGCTGACGGCACCAACACGACCCGCACCGGTGAATCAGCGGCGCCATGGCTGAGGCTATACGCGCTGTGATAACGACTCAACGTTCGTCGTTGTCTTACCCTACCCGCATACACGAAAGGCAAATGAAGCTCGACGGCGGGCTATGTTCCGCGTCCCCCTTCGAACGGGTCGTGCATCTTTTATTGAAGATCGGCGCTCTGCGTTTTCGATCTTCTTGCCGGTGTTGACTTCCGGGCGAATTGAATCAGCACTACTTCTCTTTCAGCCTGCGAACGCGTTCCCACGTCTTTCAATACCAGTCTTCAAAACTTACTCATCAGACTGATAAGAAATGGTCGAATGTGGTTAGCAGCGCAGGCATCTGCTGTGGCTTGACGGATCGGCAGAGACGCTTGTCTTCGAACCGCACCAGTCTCCTGCAGCTGCGCCGCGCCCTCGTCGGGACTCCACCTATTCTCCGAGCGCCATATACTCAGCGCGAACCCTCTTTGACTCGCCGACTAAAGACTATGCCAGCGCATCTGCATTACTGCATTATCCCATCTCAAACAGGACGCGTCCAAGCCCACCGCTGTACTTGTCGCATCTGACGAATATCCTCGTCAGCCTTCTAGTTCCTTTAACGCTATACAGCAGCCTGCGCGAGATGATACTACAACCGGCCGCCTCAGATGAGGCTCAGGACCCGGAAATAAGGCGAGACAATAACTCTGTCAGCACAGCACAATCTCACGCCATTTTACTGGGGCCTTTATACATTCTGCTCCACCGCCTCGCGCACCGGATTACCTAGAATATCCAATCTTCGTAGAAGAGTGTTTTACGCCTTGGCTATCTACAGGCATGCCCTGTTCTAGAATGGAACCGTTTGAACCAAGTTTCGGTTCTTGTCACGGCATTCGTTTGATAGTGCCTGTTTCAGTCTGCACCGTCGATAGCGATCAGCGTTTTGATCTCCCTTTGGACAGCCCGCTCATGATTGACCATATCAGACCCAGGTTTCGGGGTAGCGTTATCCCAGCCTCAGTTCTTGCCCAGGTGCTAGCAGGGGCTGTGGCGGGTATCGCATCTCAAGGCCCCCAAGTTCACACTGCAAGGCCCTTGTCGCAGGGTCCTATCTCTTTTCGATTTCGTGCGAGATCCATCGTTCGAGACGGCGTCAGCTTCAGCCTGCCTTCAGGCGCTCTATTCTGTTGCAGAGCCTCCATAGCACCCGCCAGGTGACGTAGCGCACTTCAGAATACGAGCAGCCACGAGCACCATGACGTAGACTTCGAACAACAACGCCGGCAGCGCGATTTTATCCTATCTCGAACACATGCCAAAGCGAAATACCATGTCGCACCAAGCATGATCGTCGACCCTGTGGCTACCTGGAGGGTCGCAGTGCTCGCGCGATGCCCACCACAGCCCTGTCATAACGCCGGTGAGAGCATCGCCCTGCTCTTCCAGGATGATGCTCCTTAATCTCCACAATCAGGATCCGATTCGAAAAGGCAGAAAAGCCATTTTCGCAACCGTCTCGCTCTCACAACCTTGTTTCTGGAAATAGATGTGCGCCACAGACAGCTCAACGGAGCTTTCCCGCAATATTGATTATCGCGCCCCAGGAGGACGGCGGCAGCGTGCAACCGCCTGGCTGGGCTGAATGCACCCCTCTGTTGATCCTCAATAGCGCCTGAGCTTGAAACTATTCTTGTCAAAGGCGGAGAAAGCAAAAAAAAAAGTTTATCTGATAATCTTTGTAAACCGTGACTATCACTGCCCAAAGCCGGCGTGACGTGGAGTGAAAATCCGGAGAAATTCCAAAAGCAAGGAAACAAGAAAAGGGAAGAAGATAGGCGGCTGCAAGCCTGGTTTTGGACTGGAATGCTGTACGACTACTGCAGGGCGGCCGGCGGGCAGCAGCAACACCATGTGACTTGTCCCTGGGCTCTGGGACCTGCTGGGTTCGCAGCGGTGATGATCCGGATCATCGCGAAGACGTTCCGAGCCGCTCCGATGCATCCCACCTCAACACCATGCACCATCGCCCACCGTGAGAATGCGTGACCACGTTCACATTACACAACACCATTCCTCCAGCGATCTTTTCCTCATCCTTCGCTCCAAGTCGCTTCAATGTTGCATTTGCACTCACCAACAAAAAAACAACCACCAGGCGCAGAGATAGGATAAACAGCAGGTACTCTACTCAACCCAGCTTCCCTCCCCAGCACGGAGCAGTCACACAGCTTCCGGCCCTGCTTCCAGAAGCCCGCCTCCCCTCCCCCTTCGCGACAACAATCAAGCAAGCAAGCACGCCACTCAACCTTGCAACTACAGCACGACGCACTACCGGATCCCCCCATCCCCTTCTGCTCCGACCACCAGTTCAGCCCGCACCCGGCCGCACACCCTCAATATACACCCCCAATATGCCCCTCGTGTTCGCGCACACGGCGGGAAAGGCACTGTACTGTAAGGCACCACACCCCGACCGCCGGCCTCGCTTTTACCCGGGAAGGAAAGTCCGCCCGCCGTCCGAAAAACCCGTCCGTACAGTACATACATACTGTATCTACCTACGTACCAGCCTTGTATATAGCCGTTAGAGTACTCGCATGCGCGCACGCACGCACGCGCCAAGACCTTGCGTGCAGCTGGGTAAAACCGCGCTCGGGATCCGAGGGGTCCAGGGTATGTTGCCTTGCGTTCCCTTGCCTTCCCATCTGCGAGCGAGCGAGCGACGATCAACCGTTGCAGCGAGCGGAGCGAAAATCAGGGTTCGTTCCGTTGCGCTTCGTATCGTGATCGCAACGGGCGCCGTTGAACACGCACGCACGCACGCACATACATACATACGTGTATGTATACAAGGGTACCTGCAGCGGGGGTGTGTATTCGGGCCCAGAGCAAGATTCTGCAGGCTTCCAGCGCATGCAGGGAGCCGGGGCCGGGGTGGTGCTGGTGGAAGCTGCGCGCATAGATATATAAAGATATATTAACGGGTGGGGGTGTTTGTGCGACTTCAACGCTTTTTTTCTCGTCGGCTGCTGGATTGGGGCGTGCATGGTTTGGCGAAGGGGGGAGGAAGTGCTGCGGGTGTAGAGTGCGTGGCTGACGCAACGCGGATTTTGCGGGATTTCCGGTGATAGGGAGGAGAGGCCGGTGGAGCCGGTGGGCGCGACGAAGAAGCTCGCGGGAGAGATGGAGAGGTCTCCGGTGTTGGGAGGGAGACTGGATGGATGGCCAGAGCGCGGTTCACGGGATGCAGAGGCAAGAGCGGTGGTTTTTGAAGATTTGAAGCTATCTGATTATTCTATGTACAAGTACAGGCCGATAGCAGACCAAGAAAATAAGAGATATGGAAGAAGTCATCATAACACCATCGCGGAACGAGCAGATCATGAACAGAAAACGTGAAACATACTGGGCGAGGCGAATCCAGGAAAGAGCAAATTCCTGAGCGCCATCTAGCCCACCGACCAACTCCAAGATCAGCCAATGCTATGCCACCCAAAAACCCAGACGCCAGCATTCCCAAGTTCAACCCTTGAACAAAGGAAATGTATGCCATCTATTAATAATAAGAAATATGCTCATAGTGAATGCTCATAGCTTCAATCCCTTCTGGATGAGCTTGCCAAGGGTAGCACCCTGAGAATCATGTCAGTGACGAGTGGGGTGAGGTTCGAGAGCAGGAAGACTTACGTGTTCACCCTTCATCATCGTGAAGTGGTTGCCGCCCATGACAGCGTACTCAAAGTTCCCCTTCGGCAGCAGCTGCGCCCAGCCATTGTCGTCGAAGACGGTGCGGTTGTTGAGCAACCACTTCATGGGAGCTGGGTCCTCACCCTCACCTGGCGGCGGGCGAGGATCATCCGGGTTGGGGCACACGCCGTCAGTGCACCAGATGGCAAGGACGGGTGGTGCAATTTTCGGATCCATGGGGATCGGGTCATAATCCTTCAGGTTCTGGATGGCGGCAGCGAAGTGGGGGAGGAGCCAAGAGGGAGTACCTCCGGGCTTACCAGTGCCGAGAAGACCGATCTGATCGAAAAAGATGTGAAGGCGGGCGGGAAGAGGGTCGAGAGAAACTGGGCAGGGTGCATCAATCAGCACAAGGCTCTCGACCTTCTCGCCAGCATTGACAAGTTGCTGGCAAACCTCATAGGCCATGACTCCGCCGGCAGACCAACCGCCAATGAGGTAGGGACCTTTGGGCTGGCGGCGCTTGATCTCGGCGAGGAAGAGAGCAGACACGCCCTCAACGCCACAAGTCCACTTCTCCGGAGATTTCATGAACGGGCAGTTCAGCCCGAACACTGCCATATCCGGAGAGATGTTGGGGATGGAGATGTAAGAAGTGGCACTGCCAGATCCATCAGGGACCAGGAAGAACTTCTTCGTGGCGACCTTGGCATTGCCTTGAAGAAGGACCGAGGTGGCAGGAGGCATGTTGGAGACGTCAACGACCTTAGCAAGCTTCTTGTTCACCTCAGCGAGTTGAGGTTGAGTGGGAGCAGGCTTGGACGCTGACTTGACAGTAGCCGTTGCAGCAACCTTGACAATCTCCTTGGGCTTGGGGCGCATGCCCAGCTCGTTCTCAATGTCTTCGATTGTGACATTGGTGGTGAGGAAGGTCGAAGGGAGGTCGATGCCGGTCTGCTCACGGAGCGCACCGAGGATGGTCAAGCTCATCAAAGAGTCCATGCCCATCTCAGAAAGGTCGAGGCCGTCGGTGATCTCGGAGACGTCGACACCCATCTCCTCGGCGACGATCTTGCGAGCAAGGCTGGCGTCACCGTCAACGACCTCGCGAGTCTCGGAGACTCTGATGTCCATGGATTCCTTTCCGGAGACACTTGGAGCTGAGCTGGCAGGCGTGCTAGCCACTGCAGCCTCGTAGGGAGTGCCCAAATCAGATTCCTCTGTGGTGTCGGACTCATCGTCATCCTCAACAAGAGGGGCACCACCATCGTATTGCGAGAAGAACTTCTTCATCTCGCCGACGGTCGGGTAGTCCGTGAACAGGGTCGAGCTAATCTCCAAGTCAAGGTCCTCACGGAACTTGGCTGAGATAGTAAGCGACATAAGCGAATCGACGCCAAGGTTCTCGAACGCAGCCTCATCGACAAGCTCGGCCATATCGACATCGGTCTCCTCGGCGATAATTTTCATGACGCGAGAAGTCATGGAGTTGCCAGAGGGCTTAGGAGCGCGAGGAGCGGCTTTGGCGGGCTTCGCAGGCTTTGCAGCAGGCTTCGAGGCGGCCTTGGCCGGGGCGCTCTGGATCTTCGCAGGTACCGGAGCGGGAGCCTTCGCAGGAGCAGCCCTGGTGGCAGGGGCAGGTGCAGCCTTAGCGGCACCGCCAGCGGGAGGAAGCATGATGTTGAGGGCCCTGCGGGGGATGTTCTGGAACTTCAGGCCCGTCACCATGCCGATGACCTCACCATCCTCCATGATGTACACATCACCGACGGAGACGTTGCCCGGAGCAGGCTGCATCCTCACATAAGAGCGGTACTTCTTCTCAGGAGAGAGCTGCTTCGAGATCTTGATGGAGCCCCAACCATGAGAAATGTAGACGGAGTTGTCGGAGTCAAGGTGCTCGGAAGCATTGACGATGAAGCCTGAGAGATGGGCCAAGCTATCGATCCAGTATGGAGAGCAGAAGAACTCGCCGTCGGCGGGCGTGGTCTGGAAGTGGACTTGGGCGGTGGCTTCGGTCTGCTTTCCATCCAAGACAACCTCTTCCATGCCGCGATAGTTGTCGGCATAGGTGACCAGAGCCTTGAACAGCTTGTAGGCCATTCCGCGAAGGACTTTGTGGGCGGCACCGGTCTGGAGCTTCTGGTTGAGGAGATCAATCTGGGTCTGCACCATGAACTGGGTGCGGGCCCACTCCTCTTTCCAGGTATCCACATCCTCATACTTGACAGTGCCGAATGCGTGCTCAGCAAGCACCTTAGAGCCATCGGCGGGGACAGTGCGGAACTTGACGTCGACTCTGCTCGTCTCAAGGTCGGCTGTAGCCTCGATCTGCAGATGTTGACCACCAGGAGGAGGAGGATACTGCGGGATCAACGTCTTCGGAACCTCGACGGAGCAGACGTTAAGACCGGGAGTGGGAAGGTTCGGGCGGAGCTGCTTCCAGAGATAATCCGCAATGGTCATTGCCTGATCGGCGTACAACGAGGACGGGCAGAGCGGAGTCCCGTTGACCTGATGGCCGCTGATGGTGGCCCTCAGCTTAGGATCGGACAGATCGGATTGGACTACCACGGTACCAGTATTGGCATGCAGTTCCTCGCGAACAATGCGGTGGCAGGAAGTGGTAGAGAGCTTGGACTTGACCTCCACAGGAGCCTCGATGGCCTTTGCCTCGACCACACGGGGAGCTTCACCCTTGGTGAGAGTCCAGTTGTTGTGATAGTCGAGCCAGTACTTCTTGTCGTCGAAAGAGTACGTGGGGAGCTCAAGAAGCTGGTGGGCATCGTTGAAATGCTTGTGCCACTCGTTGAAATCGAAGGCAACACCAGCAAGGTACAAGGTCGAGATACTTGTTGTGAGCGTCTTCCACGGGTCCTCATTGCGGCGGAGTGATCCAGCCGTGCAAGGCGTGCCACCAAGAGAAGACTTGACCATACCGCTGCAGACAGGGTGAGCACCAATCTCGACCCAAGCAGTCTTGTCATCAAAGGCCTTGTCTTCCTTGCCAGTGCTGAGGGCAGCCCAGAAGTTGACGGTCTCGCGGGCGTGGCGGGCAAGATAGTCAGGGCCAATGATGCCTGCCTCTCGGATAACCTCGCCAGTCAAGGGCGATAGGACAGGAACCTCGGGCTTGCTGAAGACAACAGGTGCAGCAACCGCCTTGAACTTCTCAAGGATGGGCTCAACCTGGGCGGAGTGGAAGGCGAACGGCACATTTAGCTTTGTAGCCTTGAAGCCCTTAGCGGCGAGAAGCTCGCTAGTAGACTCTACCACACCAACTGTGCCGCAGAGGACGGTCTCCTCAGGTCCGTTCATGCAGGCGATCTCAGTCATCTTGTCTCCAAGAGCCTGGCGGATGGCGTCAACGCTCCCCTTCACAGCAAGCATGCCGTGGGTATGGGCAGTGCATTCCTGCTCAAGGAGCTGAGCACGACGCCCAACAAGCAGGACCATGTCGCTGGCGGATAAAACGCCCGCGACATGAAGGGCCGCATACTCGCCCAAGCTGTGGCCGATCACAGCGGTAGGCTTGATGCCCCAAGAGGCCCATATGCGAGCAAGCGCGACCTGGATACAGGCCATACCAAGCTGCACCACGACCGGAGTGAGGGTAGCGACGTCAGTACCATCCAACAAAGGGATGAAGGACGGGAGCTTGTGTAGACGACCAAGGTTGTCGAGCTGCTCGATGTCGGCCCTGAAGCTGTCCAGCTCCTCATACAGTTTCTTGCCGAGGGCGGTGTATTGAGAGCCCTGGCCGGTGAAGGTGAAGGCTGTCTTGGTCGGGACCATGGCAATGGGGCTGTAGGTGTCCTTGAGCTGTGCTTGCAAAGCGCTCTTGACCTTCGAGATGTCGTCAACGCAGACAGAGACACGGTAGTTGTGCTGGATGCGACGGGCCGTGGTGGTGTAGGATAAGCTAGGCAGAGTAGTCTCAGGGTGGTCATCGAGGTACTTGATAAGGTTGTTGATGTTTCGCTTCAGGGATGCAATGGACCTGGCGGTGACTGTCACCATCTGCATTCCCCTCGGGTCGACACCTTCTGGGGCTTTGGGCAAGGGGCCGTCTTCGATGAGAATGGCGGTGTTACCCCCAGCAGCTGAGAAGTTGTTCAGGAAGAGCTTGCGTTTCTCGGCTCCCTTACGAGGGAAGGCCACCTGCTTCGTCTCAATGTGGACGTTGCGCTGGAGGAGATCCTTAGGGAAAGTCTTGTTCATGACACCCTTAATACCAACGTTGGCGGGAATGGCGTCCCTCTTCAACATCATCAAGACCTTGGCGAGAGAATTGATACCAGAGGCGGCCTCGCCGTGGCCAATATTGGCCTTGATAGCACCGAGATGGAGCTTTTGCTCGGGGCGGCGCTGGCGGTGGCGGGGCGCGAAGGTGTTGGTGACCGAGGTCATCTCGATACCGTCACCGGCCTGAGTACCAGTGCCGTGCATCTCGACGTAGTTGATCTCATGAGCATCGACGCCAGCGTTGGCAAGCACCTTCTTGTAGAGGAACTCCTGGGCGCCGGCGTGAGGGTGCGTAATCGACACGGCTTCGGCACTGTGATTGGTCGCGGCGCCAAGAATGCAGCCAAGGATGTTGTCCTTGTCAGCAACAGCATCTTCGTATCGCTTGAGAATGACACTGCCGCAACCATCACCACGGCAGTAGCCGTCGGCGTCGTTGTCGTACGTCTTGCAGCTACCAGTCTTGGACAGGAACTGGCCCTTGCTAAGACCTGCGAAAATGTCGGGGTTGGTAAGAACGTTCAAACCGCCGGCACAGGCGGTGTCGCAGTCGCCGGCCCACAAGGAGGTACAAGCTAGCTGAATAGCCGCAAGAGAGGATGAGCAGGCTGTATCGATGCTGTATGAGGGTCCGGAGAACTTGAAGTAGTAGTTGATGCGGCCTGGCGCAAAGGCTCGCACACCACCCGTGATGAAGTAGGTGTCAACGTTCTCGGCGGCGTTGATCTCACGCCAGTCGTCCGAAGTCTGTCCGTAGAAGGTGCCAATGCGGTTCAGCTTGGTAGAGGGCGTGCGGTTTGGCACATATCCGGACATCTCCAACGCCTCATAGGCAGTGACTAACGCCAATCGGCCCATGGGGTCGGTCTGAGCAGCCTCGCGGGGAGACATGTTGAAGAATCGAGGATCGAATAGGCCGGGCTCGTCGATGAAACAGCCATATGGCGTATGACTCTTGTTCTTTCCCTTGCCGGAGGGATCGCAATGAGCCTGCGCGTCGAATCGATCCGAAGGAACTTCGCGATGGACATCTAAGCCCTTCGAGAGCAACTCCCAGAGCTCTTCGTGGTTGGCAGCGCCAGGGAAACGACCAGCCATACCGACGATGGCGATCTTGTCGTTTTGCGTGCGACCTCGCGATTCCTCCGACGCAACAGTCCATGAAGTGTGATCGCGGACGGATATGGAGGACTGACCGCCAGCCTTAAGAGCAGAAGCCAAGCTGTTGGCCACATTGGTGACACCGATTGCAGACACTGAACACTCAGCGTGGCTGACTGCGGTGATCTGCGACACTGCCTCCTCCAAGAGGTTGTCCCATCGGACGGGCTCGAGAAGAATCTCGCTAAGAGCACTCTTGAGTAAGTCCAGAGTGTTGGTGGCGGTGTGGCACTTGCCGGTGGATGCGGAGTGGATCAAGGCTTGCGGGCGAGAATTCTTGTAAAGCTCGAAGCTCTCAACAGCCAAGATGCGGTCAATGTCCGCTTGGCTGTAGATGTGAGGTGCATGGTACGGCGCGTAGACGGGGATAGGGACGCGGGTGTTGTTCTTGAATGCATCGATTTCCTCGAAAAGCCGCTTTGTTGTTGATGGGGGACCGCTGACGGTAATGGCCATCACGCTAACCGCGCTAACGTAAGCCTGCGCCGACGCGGATATTCTCCGCTCGTCGTGGAACTCTGCAAAGGCGCTCTTCGCAGCGTTCTCGGAAACGCCGGTGACGATGGTGGACCAGCTCTCCTTTGCATGCGCGGCGTGTTCAAGGGCATCCCTAGCGGCTCCGACGCAAGTTCCGGTGCGGAATGCGAGGCGGACGGCTTCGACGGCGAGGGGGAGGAGCTCGGGCAGAGTCTTCGCGGACGCAACAACAGAGCCCGCGATCAATCCAGTGCACAGGCCCAGCACTCTGGTGTTTGCTGGGTTTGGCGACTGCGTCGGGTTCTCACCATAATACCTACTGAATTAGCCCAACCCAGAATCATCAAGGTTCTATAACTTACCCTATGTAGTGCGCCAGCTGTGCTATTGTGACTATGCAGCTCTCCATTTGAGGGACTTTCACGCCCTTTGCGTAATACAACTCCACCAGATCGCGGACGGTAAGGAAGTCCGGAATCTGTTCTCGCTGCGGCCGCGGCAGCTTCTGTACCTCTTCGCGGAGGACAACACTGATGTGTTCCAGGAAGGTCGTGAGCGGAGCATTGTTTTTCCAAACGCATGCCTTCCGCAGCAGCGGATACTGGTCGGCGGTCTGGTCTCCGAAGATGAGAGTATTCATGATGGCGGTCGTAGACAACGGGTATATTAAAGACGAAGAAGAAGAGGAAGATAAGGGGCGGTGGAGGGATACCGGCCGATGCCTAAGAAGGAGATGATCCGCGGTAGGAGAAGAAGGCTTCAGAAGCCCGTGACCCTTTTGGTGTGTTTAGAAACGAGGGGTGTGAGCGAGGGTCGTTGGTGATATGTTTCTTGGTAGATGTAGGAAGACCTCTGTGGAAGTATCTTGGAAGCGGGAGGAAGGGCGCTTGATATGTGGAAGAAGAGGCCCAAGAGATTGGATGTGGGTAGGAACTGGAGTGAGACTTGGGGGATTGGCGAGGTCTCTATATTTGTAGGCGATCGAATTGCCCTGATAGGTATGAGAAATCAGGACTGCGGCCTGGGCTGAGATCGCGCGATGACAGGCGCTGCGTACCGGATCTGTGAGAGCACAGATACGGGGCTCATGCACTGCCGAACGATGTACAGCAGCAGCATATTGACGTGAGGACGAGAGTGGAGCAGTGGCCAATCTTTTCCTGATTGGTGCCGCCATGGTTCCGAGGGTTGATGGCGTGCAGAGACCCGGACTGACTCCGACTAAGCACCCATGGCTATTGTTAGATGGCGCAGGCTAGTCAGGCTACCCAGCCGCTGAGGTAGGACGCCAATGCGTCAAGGGTGATAACAGAGATGAGACGTGTGAAAATCGTGGTAGTCAGGGCGCTGTCTCGAAATTCGGGTTGACTATTCGGATCCCCATAAGCCGGGGTGGGCGTGGAGTCCGTGTCGTGCTGTCAATTATGTCAGCTAACAGCAGTTTCCAAACGCAATATGGACTAGTTTAATGCAAATCAGGCACAAATTCGGGATGGCGAAGTAGTTGAGCCGTGAGCATGAGCACTCGAGTGGAATATGCTCGGGCATCGGGCAGACATTGCGTTGTCGACAATGCACTAGAAGGACGAGGAGGTTCCCAGTGCTGAGGTCGAACATGATGTTACACGCTCCCGATGCGCAGAATCGAACGAGTGCTTGACGTTTCATTTGCAAATGCTCTACGTGCCGGGTGGTCGTGTTCGTCACTCGATGCCGGCCATGGTGTTTCTGAGCCGAGACGCTGGATGCTCCCGAGGCGGGACCACTCAGGCTCCATGTGTTTAGACGGACGCCTTGGGGTCGTTTTGAAGAAGGTGGCACAGCGTGGAACGTGTGTAGGCGAAGCTCCTTGGAGACCCGCTCGATGACCACGGCTGGGAGGAGCTGCTCGCTTGGAGCGTGGACAAAGGAGTCACGGCCGATCGCCCAGAGCGTTAGCCTTCCGGGATGTCTCAAACCCGCGAGCAGGGCTACATGCACTTTGGATGGATCCGCCCGGGCTCAGGCACGATGGCAATAGTTGGCCGGAAGCGGATGGGTCGGATACGAGAGCGGTTAAGGCGACGGGCGCGGCTTGCTATCTGGGGCGGCTGTAGCTCCCGTTTGACCATTGCGCGAGGCTAGCCAGGGAAAAGGAGCAGCGATGACGAAATGGGAGCCAGACACGCTGGCCGACGACGTTTTGGTGGCCGCGCTGAATCGAGCAGGGCGCGCGAGGTTTCAGTGATGAAGGGCGGGAGCTGGGAATGAGGTCGACGATCGCTCGCCTGCCAATACCGGGCTATTCGGGCGATCCTGATTAGCCTCCGTGACCTCGCACTTCCCCACACGGGTACACGACCAAGTCCGAGCGCGGTGAGCGCCGTGGGAGGCGTATAAAAGTGCCTGAGGGCTGGAAGCGCTGCAGGAGAGCGGTCCGCCTGGACGTCTTCGCAGGCCCTGACGGATGGAGAGCCGCGGCTGGCCATCTATCAGAAATTGATGAGGGTGCGTCTGCCCCCTGGCGTCCAGGTCCGCTGGGACGGCGTCGAGCGCAGCAAGCAATTGACGCTGCCTTCCGCTCGAGCGAGGCGGGTGCGTGGGCGTCAGCATCGCACGTCCACGGCCGCCATGAACAAGGGCGGTGCGGCTGAGGAGGCTCGCGGCGGGTGCAGGGCGCCGTGCAGAGGTCAGCGGAGCGGAAACGGGCGCCCACGGCGGAGGCAAGGCGGAGGCGGCGGAACGGTCTGGCCGCCGTCCAGCGCGCGCGATGGGCTCTGCTTGGCGTCGTCCTCGCCGTGACGTCGTCTGTCGTCGTCGACGCGGTGGTGGTGATGGGCCGCGAGCTCGACAGCGCCTGTGATGGATGAGCGCAGCCGTGTCGCTCCTTCCGCGCGACCAGGGGGCTGAGTGCCGCCAAGGCCGGAACCCCACCGGAAAAACCGACTCGCGACCTCATCGAAAACAATCGCGACAGACTTCACCTCATGCTCACCCACCTCCACCCCAAGGCCCCCATCCGCTCATCCGCAGCACCAGGCGCACCCGAGGAGCCCAGAACGTTGTCAGAGGCCAAGCGGCTGTGCTGCGGGACGGTTTTCCTTCCTGAGCCGTTTGGCGGCTGACTTACCAGTATAGCACCAGGGCAGTGCCCCAGAAGAGCAATTCCCCCTTGTGTGTATCTCCAAACGCGTCTCCAATCGGAACCGTTACACGTGTCAGTGCTGCCGGACCCTGATAGCGTTCACTCGCCCTTCGTATCAGCCCGCTGCCCAAGATCCGCAAATGGACCGAGCATTCCAGCCGACCCAGGACGAAGGCAACGGATGCGCCGGTCTAGATGCAACGCACCTCGCATCTTCACCTCCAGGGTGGCTGACATGGCGCTCGTACAGCACAGCTGTGTCTTAGCGGCGACGTGGGTGCCTATTTGGGACACTCATGAAGTACCTCGAGCGCGAATTACTCCGTTATCACATTCTCTCGCAAAATTGACCTCATGCGTCCCACTACTGCATGCTGCAGTCTCGTCAGCCCTCCGCCGAGTGGGTGCATGCCCGTCGGCTCCATTATCTGGTCGGTGGGTCTGCCGCATCTTCGAGGGCTGTCTGGTCGGCTACCCTACAGCTTGCAGATACTGTGGCGAGCTACCGTGGGGCTCGTTGATTCCATTAAGATCCAGCCATCTCAATGTCACATCAGCCACTTGAGTCTTATCCATATTCGCTGATGTGGTATAACGCTCCGCATTCGACCATCCCGAAGCTTACACAGCAAGCCTCAACCCTGTGGCTTTTTGGCGACGTCTGAGAGTAGCCATGCATTTGATAATGTAATTTACCTCGCCCATATGGGGGATGGTGTGTATCCTGTACAGAAACTCCACTATGGCTCAGTCATTCCAGGGCTCTCGTCCGATCATCTATCCAGGGCTCTCGGCCGAGATACATGGTGTCCAAGTGGGAATCAGCGCCTGACCGTCCAGTCAGGCTTCAAGCCGAACTTGCAAGTGGGCGAGAGGCAGTACTTCTCCCTCGCAGAGCGATTCTCGTCTGGCGCAGCTCATCCACATCTGCGCGAAAAGCCCCTGACTGGGCAGACTTTCGGAATGAAAAGCATCAGGGAGTACATCTGTGTCTCAACACTTCACGTACTTGCCGTACATTTGAAGTTTAGCGGCACTATCTTACGAGAAGTGTTTGATGGCATGCACTCTTCTTTCCATCACAGGGATGCGACCAGCATCAGGGTGAGCCGATCAGTAAACCTCAATGAGCAGTGTACTGACTACCTTTCAGAGCATCCAGATCGGTCGATGAGGGCATTAGAGCGGGCCTCCAACCACCGAATGCGAAGGGAGCACCTATTGCAAATCGTAGCTGCGTTATTGCGTCGAGGTTGGGATCTTATGTGGAGCTGACAGCATCTCCACCTTTACGCTTTTCTTCTTGATCGGGCCTTCTTACCCTCGGGAGCCACTCGAGGCATGAGTTGCTCAACTGAGAATCCATGATGCGGCCTTCAATCAGAATACACCGGTCCACACGTCCTTGATGCGGCAAACTCCAACACCAACAGGCTTTACATCCGCTTAACGGCCCGCCATTCGCTTGTAGATCGGTAGCGGTGTCCCTCTCCCGCTACCGGAGCACTGCATCTACTATAAGCTGCATTATCTCCTTGGCGCTAATCGGCGCATTCGTAATCGACGAGCAAGTCCAGCCTCCCGGAGAATTCTTTCGTGGAGTTGACGATCCGACGCTCGACCAGCGAATCAATGCGACGCATGCTCAAATGCTTGAGCACGTTAGCTTACCAAACACCTTACTGCAACCGCAGTAGTAGCGCCCCAGGTCCCACATCGAGAGGTTGCCAACGTCATCCGAAACGTGTCGAAAGCTGATGGCCTCACTCACAACTCGCGGTCGGACCGAGTTGACGTTGAAGCCTTCAGCACCTACTCAAAGCCGGTTGACGATCACCGGAATCCTTGCTCAGTCTTCACATTGCATGAGATTCCTGCATACAAGCACTCACTCCGGATAGGCGGAGAATACGTCAACGCATTTGGACTTCGAGGACGTTGACAAAAATGCAATTCTTCTGAGCGAGGATAACCCCCGTCCGTTATTACCTCACTTCTTCCACCCCGCTTCCGAATTGACCAGGATGTCATGGATGTACGACTGGGAATCGACCTTGACGCAGCAGCACGTAGTCCAAGGAATGCCTGCATGCTGCTATCAGCATTGCGACTTTTGCATGTGGCAATGGTACGCTTAGGTGCTTCACCAAGCACTTACTGAGCGCAATAGCCTATCAATGAGACGAAACAAGTTCTTGGGTCTGAAGTTGGACCGGTTTCTTCTCCAACGACGGAGTTATGACCCAAATGCAGCGGTTCTCCACTCATTCCCACGCTAACACCTAAGACACCCGGCATCCCAACCAAACTCTGCACGAAAGAATACTCCGAGTAAAGAAACGCACGAGTATGAGCTAAGTCATCGACGCCTTTTGCTCCCGGAGTGTTTGTTCCAGGCTCCGATATCTTGGCCGCACACCAGTCCATTCGGCAGTAGTGCTACCATCCTAGCGGGCCGCCTTCGTCCGAAGAGTGCGCGAAAATAAAACACACGGACTTTCGTTCATCGCATATACTATCTCCGGGCTTGCATCGGCGCAGCTATTCGAGAGATGCTACCTTAGCACCAAGTATCCTCGTTGCATAGCTGTTCACACCCTTTGAGTTTGTTGACAACTCAGGGGCCTCGGATCTAGGACCTGAGTACGAGCAAGTGCGAGGATCTAATCCACGTCCGAGATATGTATAAAATTCCTTCCGATGAACTGTACGGTTCGGAATTGGGTCTTATCTCTGAGATGATGGTGTATGAAATACGCTGACGACTATGGATGAAGGCCGCGTGGCGGGATTGAATACATGTGATAGCGACGTCAAGAGTACTGCAGAGGTACCAGTACATGGCTTGAAAGCTTCGAAAAATTCGGAGTAACGCACCTGAAGTTCAATCAGTCTTACGCATCCTAGTAGCTCTTCATGTGAAAGAGGCCTCTGCGCGACTAGCAATGGCATACCTACTCCGGTAAGTAAGAAACAGCTCACGGCAAAAATAGAACTCATGAAGAAGCGCAGCTACCTAAGACATCTAGAGAAGGGCATAGCCTTCAACTGTCAATTCAATGGCCGTCAAACCCGAAAACGGAGAGCACCTCAATTTCACGAGGTAACACCGGCGGAACCCTTAGTGGGGCAGCAAATATGTCAATGACGACATCAGTCGCGACGCGATGAACACTTCTCGTCTATGGGGGAGAGCGAATGCGATTACCGCAAGATCAGAAGTCGCATGTTTCTGAGAGTGGCGTCGGTTCGTGGCTTTCGACATAGATGCGAGCTAAAGTACTCTTCACCGCCACGGGAGAGTTGGACCCGTATGTGGCACCTTTTGCTGCCGCGCCAAGGTGCCGGATGAGCTTCATGTTTTCGGTGCGACTTTGCTAACCCTAAGAGTTGGAATTTCCGGCGGCGTGGACACTATTGCTGCTACAGGACCTCGGACACCTCTACGCTTTGGTTCCCTTACCTTGACGCCGACTTGGTGGAGCTCGTAGCTGGGGGTGTCCGCGGCATTAACGCTTTCTGGGTCGAATGATCGAATGACAGGAGTCGTGCTGTTCGCAAGTACGAAATGGGAACTCGTGCATGTCCAGCTCCTTCTCTCGGGAACGTCACTTCCCCAAAGGCGAACTGTCGGTATTCCAAGGCCGCGGACCAGGACGGAGCACGTTGCATGTACTCGGTGTACCTGATACCCCGTCTCCACAGTGCGATAGCCATGCGGAATCAAAATCCCGCATATCGTAGCACCTGGACAATATCTCTTTCCTCGAGCAGCAAGCAGCAAGCAGGGGAGAAGGGGAGCTGTAGCCCGCATACAGCAGTACAGTACCGCGCATGGCACCCCAAAGAAGAAGTCAATGCAGCAAGACAGCATCTGTCGTGGGACACATATACCCACCCGTCTTCCCCGACCATCAAACTCACCCACTCACTCACTCCATCCCGACTACCTCACCAGCGCTCACCGCCGCTTCCCACATCGCCCTCCCTTTGTAATCCCCCCTTGTCCCACGTCGCCCTTCCAAACACAGATATCGACGACAGCTCCACTGCCCCCAATCCCTTCAAGTGACGAAACGACCTTGCATCCAATAGCCCTCGCGCGGTGCCCATGCCATGCCATGCCGTCGCACAGCCGGACGCCCGCCCCCGGCCTTTTGGCTCTACAAGCAAGCCATGTATGTATGTATCCCTCGCAGCACCAGCCGCCCCCCAAGGAGGAAGGGTCTAAGACATGTGAGCAGTCGGTGCTACGCGGCCACGTTGGACTTTCGCGGCACCTGCTGCCTGCGCTGAATCTCGTGGTGCATAATCGTGGGTGTTGCACGGCGTCGAAGATCCCTCTGCGAGGTTGGCTGGGTTACACAGGCGCGGGCATGGCCGCGCTCTCCAGCGAAGCCCGTAGCCGTAGCCGTAGCCATAGCCGTGGCTATCGGTGGTTGCGGCCTGGGAACGCCGACGGGACGACATCGCACCGACATCCATCCATACATACATATCGCGCACGCGCTCTATTTCCGGGATGTGCAGGGACCCTGCGCGTGGCGTGATGGGATGGCGGAGAAGAGAACGGGTGTTCGCGTTGCACTGTACGACTCTGCTCTGCTCTACTGCCCTGCCTGTCTGTCTCTCTCTCTGTCTCCGCATTCTCCGTGCCGATGATGGATGATGTTTCCATCTACCCATTCGCCACGCCGCTGCGCGCCTTGTTTACCCCGCCGGTTCCTTCCAGGGTGTTCAGTTACTGTTACTGGTACGTATGTACCGTATACCGTACCGTAGCATAGGATAGCATACACCCGCCGACCGCATTTGTCAGACCCAGACTCGAGTTTAGAAGCGGAGTTGGACGCAGACGCAGACTCGGGCAGAAGGAAGGAAGGATACTATACTTCTACCAACCGACCATCCGTATCCTCAGGAACCAGAAGGATAGTCTAATGAAGGGAACCAACCGGATAGATCGTATACGTACCAAACTAAACAAATGGCTCAAGGTTCGGCTCGGTTGCACCCATTCTATCTATCCCATCTATCCCATCAGCAAGCAAGTCCGAAGGCTCCGTCCGTATCCCTCCCGGAGGAGGATAGTCTAGTCTTGCTGCCTGCCTTGACTTGCTTTGACTCACATCGCAAGTCCGGTCCGGTCCGGGTAGAAGTCCTCTGTGTAACAGTATCAAAAACGTGCGGTTGGCGATTGGATGGACTGCTACTACTAGTCTACTAGTCTACTCCTACCCCTACTAAGGATGCTAGACAGACAAGGTAAAACAGTTCGCAGCTTTACCACGCAGCTACGCACGGCGCTGATCCTCACCGCTGTCCTGTCGCAGCCTGCCGTGAACCCAACTCACCGCATCGCACCGCATCGCATCACGTTTGCCTGGTATGATTGCACTGCATACACCATCCATACATAGTATATCTGTCAGGCCCTGCATGCATGCAGCGTCCCTCGAACGTGCTCATGAACGAACGAAGGAAGGGTCCTGTCTGTCCGGGTGTGTGTGTATGTATGTATGAAGTTCGAACCATGTACCTTGCCTTGTACCATACCGTACCATGTACCATCCATCTTCCACGCAAGCGTACTCTAAACCGCGTCCAGCCCAAACAAGCATACATCGCGAAGAATCCTATCTCTTCGCCCATGCCGATGCCCATGCCGATGCGCATCCCGACCACCAGTGCGCGAGCCCAATCTACGCAGAGGGTGGTTCCAACAAGCTTTCCTTAGCGAACACGGGGGCCGATAGATTACCAGGCCTTTCTACCGATAGATTGCATCGCTAAGGCAGGCGGCTTAGAAAGACAAGACAAGACAAAGGCAGAAGAATTAATGGGGGTGTTTGTCTCAAAGTGAAACGGAGGGGGCGGAGCTCGCGATCGCGAAAGGTGTGGAGGAAGGATTTGGTTTGGGTAGGCCCTGCCGAGTCGGCAAGAGTGAGCTAGCGGGTAGGAATTCCTTGTACGAAAGTTCGTGTTTGTTTGTTGTGTAGATAGTACTCTAGATGAGATAGATGGGCGGTGCAGCAGCATGAGGCGAGCGGGCTAAGCGGGCTTTGCTGAGGAAAAACGTACCTGCCTTCCCAATCTATGTGAGTAAGACGGGAGACGGGCCTGACTATTTTGTTACCGTCAGATATCGCCTACTGACTGTTCTTGCAGTCAGCGCGCCCGCCGTTTCGGCCTGCTGGAGTGTGATAGCGAGTAATGCGCGCAATTGGATGACTTAAGGCGGATAGAATATAGTAGCTCGCATGTTACTTCTACTCTTGCAATCTGCCCTCTCTCGCGCGATGTACTAAGATTAGACGTTGGCGATGGCGGGCGTGGCGTCGCGGCTGTGAACAGGTGTGCCTCATGCTAGATATGCGAATGCGCGTTGCGAATAAAGCAACGACGCTTGGTGAGGCCCTCCACCTGGCTGCTGGAAGGACCCGTATCATGGCTGTGGTGTCGAGCAGGCGGCCAGTCGCCTTTCGCAGCTATAAGTGTTGCGGGGCTGTACAAGTCAGGTGCGAAAAAATTCCTTGGATGCGTATTCGTCGGTTTCTGGCGTATAGCTGAACTGTTGCGGTGTTGGCATTGCTCACCCGCGTCTGGAGGAGGTTTCTGTTTGGCAGAGTCCAGACAAGCCGGGCTGGAAACGGGCCGCTTTGGGGTAAGCTGCCGCGGTCAAGAAGCCGCCTAGCGGGCCAGCCCAAGGCGGGTGAACCCTTGCGAGCTCCGGCACTCATGACGATATAGACGAGTTTCAGAATTGCTGACCCGTTAGGGCTGCGCACCCGCTCGTTTTCGAGCTGTAAGCTGATGGATGGCGGCGTGTCCGGCGTGCACCTGCCCAAGACGAAGAATGTAGCGGCTGTTCTCGAACGGACGAAGAATATTCCGGATGTACAAGGCGTGCTTGTGCTGACGGATAACATATAGAGTTGTGTACGAAGGTGCTGGGGTGGGAAGCAGTAATCCCGGCTCGACTGTGCAATAACAGACCAGAGCGTCGGGTCTTCGCTACGACAGGGTACAAGACCCGAGAGCGCGTTCGAAGAGTCAATCATTCAGCGCTATCATTTTCCTCGCCAGGATATCTGCCGTTGCGGCCTCATGGCACTGCCAGAACCCTTGACGACGGTGCTGCAGGTAATCATATTGCCGGAGCGTCGACGCTCAAACCCGGACCGTGGACCTCAAGGTACAGTACTTGCTGAGTCCCCAGGTCGCGGCCTATGTACCTCGAGATCATCCAAAGTGGCCGCCTGCCGGTTCGGTGGCCTCGTGCACTGGTGCGTCGCCGTGAAGTCGTCACAGCGGTCCATGGAGATGACGCTTTTTCCGCGCTCGCCTTTTGCCCGCAGGCTAATACCGTCTGAAGGACGGCGTGCTGGGCAGTCTGAACGACGCGACGGTATCGCGAGCAGGTACCGCTACCTCTGATGTCGGATCTGCAGCCAGGCTGTCTGTCACCAGATGTCAGCACTGATTAGGAGAGCGTGAGAGGTGCAACGTCTGGACGCGATACCCCGCGCTCCCGCTTTCGGCAGAGGCGGCGGCGATCGGCCTCTACCTCAGCCTTGGAGAACCTTGCACCCCTTCAGCCACCAATATTTCCGTACAGTAGCCGTGCATGATCTTCACTCAGATCCTACTGCAAAGAGGTTCGAACAAACGTTGGCATCTCGCATTGGAAATCTTCCATACTCAGTAGCATGGCCTGAGTGCCGACTCCGTTCCCAGGCTTATCATCGTATGATGGGACGAGAGACGGTGTAGGAAAAGGACAACTCATCTAGCGAGTCAGCACTCAAATGTGCAATGCCGGTGGAGATCCGAAGGAGAATTGTCGTATGTAGGCTGTCGTTGCGTTCGTGGTGGTGTGCAGATCGCCCTCCCGCTGGCAGTCGTGGAGGAACAGGAGCTGGCCAGCCAGCCCGCGGGGTCTTCCGCTCAGCTCTCCGCCGCCATGTCTCCTAGCCAATCGCTCCCGCTGGAGCTTCCACAAGCTACCCCTCGCCGCGGGATGACGTCGAATGAGACCGTAGGGCAGCTGCCGGATGCGACGCTGGAGGCGATCATGCAGCGAGCGAGCAGTAGCATGAACTGAGGTACTTCCCAGGGCAGCTTGCCCAGTCGCCTCGCTGTCCAATTGAAGCGAGCGTGCGCTGCATTTGAATTATTGCTCTCCTGATGCTGCAGGCGTATGTAACGGGTCCCTTGGAGGTATGCAATGCTTGATCTTCCACATCCGTCATCCTCCATCTCCGTTTTGCCTAGTCTCCTCGGTAGTTCAGGGCTACTCCGGATGAAGAAAAGCCATATACTCCGGAATGTTCACGAAGCTCAGCGACGTGGCCGCAGTGCTCCCCTCTCCCCTATCGCAGCGCGAGGACGAGAGGCGGGCAGTGACTTGATTAGCAGGCTCCCCTCGAGCACCCACACTTCGACTGTCGCTCGCTACCTGTGCCGCAGCAGCGAGGGCGTGCCCCTCACCGGACACTTATGTACGTATCGGCTACCTGGCGTTCTCGTTCCCTCAGCCTTCAACTATCGGGCATAAAAGGTTCCGCCATGGCTGGCTGCTATCAGCGCCTCTTACGACCCTGCATGGCCTTGTCGACAAATGACGCATGTGCTATTGAGCATCGCAAATCCAGCGTCGAGTATTGTTCCCGTCACCGGCCGACCGAGTACGAAGCCATGCATCGCTTCGTGAGGGGCAGCGTCTGGACCGTAGCGATGTTCCGCCAGAAGAGGCCTCCTGCATTTGTCCAAATGAGACTTCCCAAGGACCGAGAATATGCCGGATGCAGGCAGATTGCGAGCTCGAGGGGAAGCAGCGCTATTCTGGAAGCTGGGAACGGGCGGACGCTGGACTCTGGACTTTGGAACAGTAGATTGCAGATCCTTCGAAGCGTTTCGCCCGCGGTGGGTGCGCGAATAATAGGGAGACCGTGGTAGCGCTCGTGTCCCTGATTGCCATTTAATATCGCTTGTTCGCGTCGCGGGCCGCTTAGATGAGGCACCTGGGCGGTTCCTGGCCGGCTGCAGGCGCTGCAGACGGCGCGTCCGGCGACGGATGGTGAAGTGAGGATGTGCAGAGACTCGGTCCAAATGCAATTTCAATTTCAGCGTTTCTGGCTTCAAATTGCGACGCAGCGGCCTGAGGGTTAGCGTGCGAGACTGCGATTCAGGGACGTGAAACGATAGTCTTCGCGCGGTCCGTGCGCTGAAGCCGCGAACGGGCCGGAGTATCGCCAGGCCCACAGGGCGGAACAGGAAACGCATCGCAGAGTTTGTTTCCACGGCAGTAGGGATTGCAAAGCTTCTACTGCGGCGTCGTGGGAGCCAGGAGGTCGCACAAGAACGTGGTGAGAGCCCCTGAGGACCCTGAAGCGCATCGCCGTGCCGGGGTGACAAGCTCACGGCCTCGTCGCTTCCGCTTTGGGAATATTTGCGATTGATCGGCGGCCAGGGTTTCCGTAAGCGAGCAGCGATCTGCCCCGTGCATTTCGAGAAGCCGTTCGAAGTGCTGGAATGGGAGTCTCCTTGGTGACTGAAGTGCGTGTGCTGCCGCGCAGTGCGACGCGTGCCGGTCAGCAATTGGAGAGAGCAGTGGAGAGGCAGCTCTGCACGGCTCGTTCTGGCATTGCCCAAAAGCGCCCGCTGGCGGTGATCGGCGTGTCTCAGGCAGCCTCAATCCGCAGAACAAAGCCTTTGACAGCATGGCGCGGCGAAGCGCTCTGCGAAATGATTCAATGTACACGAGTAGCAGTGATGCATCATGCTTTTCGACGACTCCTCCGCTGCCGTTGTGCCCAGTAGCCGTGGACATTACGTGCTGACCGCCTAGCGTGCCGCGGCGTCCGCCCTCGTGTGGCGCTGGCTAGCGTGGGTGCAGCGCTGGCCGCTCAATCGCAATCGACGGTATTGCTCTTGAAGGTTTGATGAAGAAGGATGAGCTCTATAGTGCTGTAGCCGTGTAGAGAGCATCGAGCGGTGGCTGCAGTCTCTTGCTGCGCCCTGGGCCAATTGATCTCCCCCAGGGTCCTGAGCGATCCTCGGATCGCATGTCCCAAGCAGTCAACACTCGGCTTCGAGCCGACCACGTCAGTTGTCAGCGAGACACTGCTCGACCCCGGTAGCGGGAAGGCCATCGCGATCAATGATCTCAACACCGCCCGCCGCGCGCATCTTCATTTCGCGCTCCGCGGCGGCTGTATGGGCCGCGAGAGTGTGCACGCCGCCGACGAGCGTGGCAGACAGCATCTGCTCTCATCTCATAGAGATCTAGTGCGACCTCACAAAACGGCATGGTGCGTGGGTTCAGTCCGCAAGGCCGCTCGCTGCAAAAAATTCCGAGCCCACTAAGCAGCGCGCGAAAAAGCTTGGGCTGGCCGATCGCATCCTGGACTGGCAACGGATCCGGAACCCTGCCAGCACATCCCAGCAGGGCCCGAGATAATTATAGCTGCCCAGCGCCGGTGACGCATCTCCACGCGAGCTAGAGAGCTGATGAAGCGAGCGCGAGCGCTATGCGATGCTTCGCCATTGCAGTAGCGGCAGCCGTCGCTGTGCGCGTCGAGGCCGGGCGGGCATTAAGTGCTATTTTATAAGGAATGAGCATGCGGCTCTGCGTGCGAGAGGTGTGTAGAGGACGGGCGAGCGTAGTGATGGTCCAGCAGTGAGCGCGCTGGTGGCTTGCTCCCGTTCCTGAGGCGAGTCAAGTCAACCAACCCCCTCGCACGCCTCGCCCAGAGTGGAGCCGCGAAGCCTTGCGCTAAGGAGTCAATAACGCTGTGAAGAGGATCGAGCAGCAGCACTTCGTCCCACGGGGCGCGCACACGCGGGGAGGCTCTTCGACGGCAGGATGCCCCATTCCGGCGGCCACGTCGAAGACTGATCTAAGACAGCGGCTGCGCGTTTCGAAACCGCGCGAGACGCTGCTGAGCGTGCCTGTGAGAGCGGCCTCGTTTCATTCGCAAGGGGCCGCTCGTCTTCGTGTGTTGTTGCGGGCGCGATAATGCAGTGCACAAGGCCGTCATGTCATGTGCTAGCCCGCTGCGATAGAGCGAGGCCGAATGCAGGCAGAGGGTCGAAGGGCTGTGGAGATAGAGGCCTATCGCCTGGAGTGCACTGCCGCTCAGAAGGGAGAAACAGTGGGGAAAGTCCCTGTAGGGCTCTCACTCAGCGCATGGGCTGACAGTAAAATGAGGTCGTCGACGGGCGTGCTGCTCCGCGCACCGCGCTCGGCTGAGTGCCGGCGCGGCTGGCCCGCACCTCTGTCTGGGGAGAGACGGCGGCGCTGGACGGCCTCGAATGCCTGGCGCTGCGGACTCATGAAGTGTAGACGTATGTCCTGGCCGGGCGCGCGGTGCAGTGCTCGGCGCTCATAGGGCACGCCAGGGGTGCGCTGCAGCATGGCAACATCGATAAGATCATCGTTCCCAAACAGGCAGCGCGTCTACGCCCGCCCGCATGCCGGTACGCTCGTCCGCTTCCAGAAATACACAATAATACATTACCGTCAGATACGGGCGCAGGCGGGCGCAGGCGCAGGCGCCGGTCCGTGCGCCCCTCGCTCCAGAGTCCAACGTAGTCGTTCCGCTGCGAGTGCCACAGCGTCCTCACCACTGCTCACCGCACACCCAAACCCAGCCCAGCACAGCGCCCCCCACAGCTGCCCCCCCGGTCGCTGGGCGATCGTCGAGGGATGGCTCTTATCTGCGCTCGTGCTAAGACCAGCCCCCGCCCTAGGTCTATCCAAGCCCCTGGCGCCGCATGTCACGGAATACCAGGCCAAGCGCTGCGCGCCCGCGACCCACTAGCCTGCCCATCGTTGTCGGAGCTGGAGCCCTCAATTGATGGGCATCATCGCCGTCCGTCTGATTCCTGATTATGCAGCGGCCGCCCTCGTTGGGAAAGGTAGATCCAGCAAAAACACATGCACCTCCCGCTCCGGCACACCTCTAACCCTCTTCATCCGTCCTTGGCCTGGCCCGGAGCCGTCCTCCCTTATTGCTCCTCTTGACTTTTTTGGCGCGCCCTGTCGTTCTCGTCCTTGTCCTTGAATATCAGACCTCGTTCGCCCCCAGCGCGGCCGCCAGCTAAGGCCACAGCCTACCTGACGTACATCTACATCTGACTCTCTACTCCACACAGCCAAACATCTGAAACTCCACTTCGACTGCCTGGTCTTACGTTTTCCCGTTAGCTCCTAGTCATCCTCCGCTCACTGCCAGCCCGCACCTTACCGGTCCAAGACACGCTGCGAGCACAGCTAAAACGAAGCACAAACCCACCGACATCACCATCTCCGAGCCCTCGCTTTCTACTTGCTGGCCGTGCATGCTTTGTCGTCCCGCCCCGCGGTCCACCGTTTCCCCATTCCAAACCGTCCTGTCCATTGCGTTACCGGCATTAATATTCCCGACTCCCATGTCGTTGGTACGGTCTCGACGCTAGATCTCGTCACGACCAAGTCTTCGGCTGGAGCTTTCCGATTCCGACGGAATTCGACTGCCCATTCATCTGTCGACCTCCCAATCCTCGCTCTTGCCCGCAGTTCTCGTGGCATCGACCCCTCCAAGATGGTTTTCTGTACGTACTGCGGTCAGTCGTTCACTCGGGACGAACACCTGGAAAGGCATATCCTCACCCGTAAGTCTGCACCCACGTCTCGAAGCGAGAACCTTCATAACCCGCTCGTTTGCACTTATTGACCATCTCTTCACGTGCAGATACCAATGTAAAGCCCTTCAAATGCTTCACATGTCATATGAGTTTTGCTCGCCGGTGAGTCTTGCCGTCTCCCCAACGGAGCTGCTTCTCGCCTTTTGCTCGGATATCCTGGGACCGGTCGAGGATGCTGGAGAACAGACACGCTGACAAGACCCTCAGTGACCTACTTCAGAGACATTACACGGTCCACGGACGAGATGCAAACAACCAAGAAGGCCTCCCACCAAATGCCGGCATAATACCGAAGTCCGCCGGTCGAACGCCAATCGCATGCAGCAACTGCGCCAAAACCAAGACAAAATGCGACAAGAAGTTTCCCTGCAGTCGATGTGCACAGCGCAACCTAAAATGCACACTGCGGCCGACCCGGCGAGCGTCGAAAAACGTGAACAGGGTCGGGCCACCGGCTGAGGGCACAGGAAGCGGACCACCTAGCGAAGCCGGGAACAATAACGAGTCTCAGAGCAACTCGGGTAGCAACTCGCCCGCTCGAGACGGGCAGCAGGTGCAACCAGCAAACCCTCAGCTGTCGCCGCAGCTGCCTCATCGGCTCTCCGTAAACGGGCAGGCGCAACCCACACCAAATCCCTCACAACCGTCTTCAGCCTCACACTCCCGCAATCCGTCCATCTCGCAGCCCATTCAGCAACTCCAGAACCCCACTCCAGAAGAGAAGCCGCTCAATCTCCCCATCTCAACCACCACCCCTCCGTTCTTCGAGCACTCCCCTCCAAATGGACTCCCACCCACGCTTCCCACCGTTTTGTCGCCGTTGCCGACGCCTGCCAATGGCTTCGTATCGCACACGCCCATGTCTGGGTACGACGACTTCGTGAGAACGGTGCGAGACGGCACTGACAGCAGCGCGAGCCCGCGATTTCTGATGGATCCCTGGAATAACATGTCCATGGGCCACGATTTCGACCCCATGCAGATCGACCCGTCGTTAATGATGTCGATGCCCGTGAACATGGACGTGGGCATGGGTTCTACGGCTAACGACATCCTCGGCATCATCCCCGAGATGTCGCCTCCTCAGACGTTCGGCCCGGTTCAAACACCGATCCACACACCGAGGATGGACGAATCGTTTTCAGACCTCCAGATCGGCAGCTCAGCGTCCATGTTCTACCCCTCCAATAGGCAATCTTCCATCGTTGATGCGGGTATTCCAGATCTCGGTGCCATCATTGCCGCGCAGGACGGCTGGACAGTCTTCCGTTGCACGCCACCAATCGCATCCAGCTCTTGCCCTCGCACTGCGAGGCTCAACCTGGAGCGCCTGGAACAGAGCCTGAAGAACCACGAGGGCTGGAGTAACTGGCGGCCAGCCTGGGATGAGTCCGACTTCCAGCAAGAGGGCCGGATCGAGGTAGCCAGAATCTATGAAGCCACCCGAGACAAGCTCCTGGCCATCACACAGAGCTTTCTACACAAGGCCTTGGATATCCACAAGGATGGCATGAGCAGCTCTCCTAGCAGTGGAGAGTCGCCCGGTTCGACCGCATCCAACTTCGTCCTTCTCCCGCCTGCCCACGTCCTGGACTTGTTCCTTCGCTCTTATGCCAACTCTTTCGAACGCTATTACCCCACAACTCCGCGGGGCGTTCTTGACCCAAACGAGTTGATGCAGAACTACAACGACAAGGCGTCGAGCTTGCTCATTCTGATGATGATCGCGCAAGGAGCGATGACCATTCCGTCCATCGAGGCGCGATGGCTGACCGGAGGCTTCACGGAAGCGTGTCGCATCTCGCTTTTCGACTTGATCGAGAAGAACATCATCATGGCTGGTGATCCCATCGTCCTGAGGGCGGCCCTTCTCTTCACCGTTCAAGCAGCGTGGAGTGGTGACAAGTGGCAAATGGACATAGCCATGGGCCAGCGGGGTATGTATTTCGCAATGCTACGGCATTCGGGCATCCTCGAACCTCGGCATATTTCTACGCCTCACATGAACGGAAATACGACGACGGATACGCTGTGGAGGGACTGGATTCAGCAGGAGAGTCGCAGTCGGTAAGTGGTGAAAACCCTGACTGACCTCGGGATCATGTGGGAACCCAGGTCACGTGCAACCAACTTACTAACTCGTTCTAGACTCGTCTATTCGTGGGTGATGGTCGATCAGGATCTTTCGCTGTTCCACGATGCGGCTCCCCTGTTCTCTGTTACCGAGTTCGGAGCGCCTATGCCAGACGCGGACCGACTATGGCAGGCCAAGAACTCGTCGGAATGGTCCGAGATGTTCAACCAGGTGCATGAGTTCTCCAATGGGTACTCGTCGGTAGGATCTGGTGCTAGGCCGCTGAGCCTGAGAGATCTCTTCCGTCACTTCCTTGACGACGAGATCATCGTCCAGGACATCCATCTTACCCCTCTGCACCTTCGCCTCCTCCTGCATCCTCTGCAAACTTTGGTGAGCCAATTCTGTCAACTCCTCAGCTGCTTCTCCGACAGCATGGCATCGAGGCAGCGTTCCAGGGCCGTTACTGCGGCTTCGACTCGCGTTCGCCTTGAAGAAGTGCAGTCGCTGTTGCAACGATGGTTCGAGCTGGCGGAGAGGTACATGAAGGCGAACCCTATGTGCCCAATGATGCAAGCCAATCTTGTCATGTTCCACCTCATCAGCCTGAACGCCGTGACGAACTTCCCCGAGATCGAGCGACTCGCGCGACGGGAGGGCGTAGACGGTTCGTATCAGCAGATGCTTTGGATCCACAAGAAGTGCATCTCAGACGTCCACGAGGCCATCCTCCACGCTGGTCAAATCCTCCGGATCATTCGGGAGATGCCGAAGGGCATCCGTCCGCCTTGGTGGCCCGGTGCGATCTATCGCGCCGCGCTTGTTCTCTGGACGGACTCGTTGACCCATAACGAGTCACTGAGCCCGAACCAGCAAGGACAGTACCATTCTCCGGGTGCGACGTTCCCGGTGGACCGTCTACAGGCGAACGACCCCACGGTCATCCGCTATGTGACCCGGAGAGACGGTATCCCCACGCTGACCAAGCGGGACGGGACACCGATCACCATCGACAATGGCTTCACTGTTCTTTCCCATTGCATCGACGTGATCGACGAGGGTACGGCGACGAGGTTTTCCGACGGCATCCGCGGGAAGCTTGAAAAGTTGGCGAGGGGTTGAGCGCATAGTCGTGCTCGTCTCGTCCACGGTTTCGCTCGTCAATGGCGAGCATAGTAGTCGACATTCTTCCGACTAACCGCATCATTTCCATCTTTTTACATAGATTCCCATCACCATCAGATCCAGAAGTGCTCTTGGATCGGTATCATGGCGGCATACATCAGTTCCCGGCCGTCGAAGGACGGCGGGCTATGACAACGGCGTTCTTGGGCGTTTGCGGGTCATCGACCTGCTTCAATTGTAAGCTGGATCTCATACCCGGCGACCTGGAGGGAGAGGATTCAGTAATGTATAGTACCGGCTCGGTGGCCTGATATCGGGTCGGACCAGGCGACGGAAAGGGACCTTATATCACCCACCTGTGTTCTCGGCACCATCATGTTGTGCTGGATTCTTGTTGGATAATCAAGCGTTTCGGGCGTGTCCTCCGTCTTCTCATTCATCCTGCCAATGAGGACTGAGTGTTATAGGATTTGTATCCTAAGGCCACCTTTGTCTATCCTCCGATCGTCAGCCCCCATCATCCGATCGTCGGCATGGGTCGTGGTTAGGCGGGATGGACGGTCCGAGCGACGAATCTCCTTGTTACGACCAACTGTCATCGCATGTCTTATTCTGGGCTTTCAGCTTGCGGGCGTTTGTCTTCTTGTTCTTGCTTTTTGGCTTCCGCGCTTGTGTTTCAGGTCCCACTGTGTGCGCGCAGAGGTGGTGGAGGTGATTGGTCTCTTCGGCGGTTATTGGAGATGATGGCGGGGTCGCTCTATGGTCGTTGGCTGATGGGGCCTTGGGTGGTCGACGAGGAGGCAACACTACCCCAAGTGGTGGGGCATGTCAATTTGTCTGCGTGTGAGTGGGATAAGCGTGCTTTATGAGGTTGTTGCAACGCTCCTTTAGAAAGATAGGGAAATGATCGATTGTCCGAACCGACAGACTGGAGAAGAGTCCTCTAATAGTAATGAAGTGCTTTCGCTCGAGTCATTCTTAGGCAGCAAGGGTACGAGGAGATCCAGGCTTTTCGGAAGAAGAGGAGGACTGCGTGCTCTTTTGAAGCAATACAGCCGTCTTTGCTGGTGGGGGGGAGCACGTACCCATAACCCTACATGCCCCTCGCGGCTTCCCGCACGGCTACCATGACACCCGTCGCACCGCGCGGTGCACTAGATCAACGCAAGCTCGAACTTGCCGCTCGACCCACTAGCTTGTTTGGGCGGCGGAGGCAGCGCGCCCTGGTAGTCCAAACCGTCGCCTCGTGGCCCAGGTGAATGGTTAGCGCAAGTACAAGGACGTACGGGAAAACGACGCCATTGGCTCCACCCTCTCCCTAAGGAATTCCTTCTTCTCGAGTTCTCCGGAGCCGCTGGCTGCGTAGGCCGTGCAAGATCTTCTGCTCTTCGAGTAGTGATATCCGGTCAGTCGACGGCACGAACTGGACTCGACTGGCCTGGACTGGACTGTGGCATGCATGGTTGCAACCTACGACGGCGGGCTGCGGGTAGGGTTGCGGCGGCATCGCTAGCTAGCCAGCCAGCTACGCGCGCAAGAGGTACCAAGACTTCTCACTGCAGGTTCCTGCTTCGCCGGCTGACGCGGCCAGGATATCGAGGCATCAGAGCGCCGTTCGTGGGGACCGGTGGTGGTGGGAGGAGCGGTCTGGTCGTCCAGTCAAAGCAGCGGCGCGCCGCAAAGGGATATGGGATGGGACGGGCGAGGTACAGAGTAAACGCGGCCGTTTGGCCCTTGCCGCATGCAGCAATGCTGTCTTCCCAATCGGGGGCTGACGTCGTGTCGTGCCACGGAATTCTATCTACCGGTGTCCTGTACCACGGGCGGGCTTTAAACCTGCCTGCCTACCTGCCCCCGGGGTGGATAGGCGCAGCGTGAGCTCCGGATACGGTGATCTACATACAGGTGATGTGTTGAGGAGGGCAAGGCAAGGCAAGGCAAGGCGACGACGACTCGGATGGCCTGCGGCTGCCCGCACTACGAGACTGACACCGCAACGGCTAAACCTGGACCGTGCGATCGGAGAATTGGGGCACCATCTGCCACCAGCGAGCAAGCAAGTTGAAAGCCCTGCTGGAGCCTTAACGTGCGTGGTGGTGGTGCGGTTCGCAGAACGGTATGTCGGCGGTTGCACGCACCGGTCCTTGCTGGGGTGTGACTACGTTTGGACATGGGGCTTCTACTGCTCCTGACTGGTTAATTGCAGATCTCCTGCAGGCGGCAGTGCTGTTGCGGCGGATATTGTGTGCTTTTGGCGTTTTGGGGGCTCGAGCTTAGGGGAAGGGCTAGGCTGGATGGGTAGATGGTCGTTGGGGACCGGGTCATAGTCAGTCTTTCATCACGTCGTTTTGCACGCCGTCAGTGGCATTGCTTCACCGCGCCTCATCGTCTCCGTTCCTCGTTTTCGCATCTTCTATTTCCATATGTTTCGGAGTATATGCCGGCGGTGTGCAAATTTTTTCACGGGGCGAAAATAGAAACACGAGAGCCTTTTGCAGTTCTGGCGATGCTGTGGAACAATGGATGGAAACTGTGACGAACAGTGCCGCAGTGCATCAGACGTACTATCTCTATCCTAGCAAGATCTTCCCCGGACGAGCGAGCCGCGCATTTCGAAGATCTTGGTAAGCTTTGCTGTCGGCAAACTCGAGCCGAACTCCACCGTTTCTTCTGCTTCTCAACTCTGGTTCGTATGAGGCAGGTGGGCGGGATAGGGCTACGGAGAATGAGGGGGAGAAGCGGTGTCCCAGGCAAGCTATAGGGGCATAGCCCTTGACGCGCCAGGCGCAGTTTGGCGATATGTCATACTGACAGGATGTGGAGGCGCTGGAGAAGGGAGCTATATCAGGGTGATTTGCGTCGCTGACTGCAGCTTTGAGCCATCTCCCCCCATCTCGTTCTCGCTCACTGACGTCCAGTTCGCGCGGTGGGCGAGGCGGGACCGTTCCGTCTTACGGTTCGCATGCTGCTGATGCTGAGGATTGTGGACGGGTGTGTGCTCCGTCATGCTTGCTCTCTTCGCAATTTCGTGTCCTTGCAGAACCTCTCGTCGGCGTCTCTCGTACAGCCCCCCGCTTCGCGCAGCACACTGCATCTTTTACGACCCTTCCTCCCCTTCTGGCCAGGCCACGTCTCGCGCTGCGAGTTCTCCAGCCCGTCTGCGAGTACGCGCAGACTTGCATCTCGCCCAGAAGCTGTCAATGCGCGCAAGGGCTGCGGAACGGAGACCCACCCACTGAAAGGGTCAATTTCTCACAGGAACGAGAAAGCATGTCGGTCAGGCGGGCCGTTATCTGTATACCCCACAGCAACGTGTCATGGTAAGATCGTTATCGCTGGAGGTTACTGACGAGGCCAATGATGGTTGCTGTAAGGACATGAGGTGATGCAACGGGATGTCCCGCGTACGGCATCTTGGGACCTACCTCAGCAGGAAGGCAAACCAGCTCCACTACTCAAGAGATATATGAGAATAAGCTCTGTCATCTCGAATGCCGCTTCCCGCTGGCCAGGCAGCATCTGGAGTCGGCCTTTCCGGATCGCATTCAGGCAAGATCTTCTGTACGACGACCAGCAGCAGCACCGTAAGCCAAACATTTCCTTATCTCTCACTCGTCTCTCCCGCACTTTCAGCTCTGTACCAGCTTCGAAATTGCTTCGACATTGAAAAGGGCAGTGCTGCTGCTTGCTTTCTATTTTGGAGCATGACGATGTAGGCATGAAGTTGAGAGTCCGCAACGCACGGGCCATGTCCGAAGAAAATGGAAGTGCGGAGCCGATGCGGTACTTCCGGGAAGGAGGGCGGCTTTGTCACCCGCGACACAGGCTCCTTTACCCGGACTGCGAAACACAGAGTGCTCTTCGGACTTGGATTGTTGGGCTTGGATGCTGGGGATGGAGATGGGGAGCCAGCGAGCACTGCAGTGTTGGGGTCGTGCTGAGGACGGGCGCGAGGTGTGAAGTGTGTAGGGAATGCGACTAATCAGGCAAGAGAGGCTTGCCCGTTTCCGGCAAGATCACATGACCCTGCCTTCCCTTCGTTCACGAGTCCAACACGTCGCGGTCTGCATTATTGATTGCATCAGTCTGCAGGCAGTTCCATCGCTTTTCCTGTCCCAACAAGCTCGGCCTGTCCTAGAGGAGAGCAGTTGTAATTCGAGAGGTTGGTGTTGTCGTCTCAGCTAGCCCCTCGCTATGCTGAGCCGCTCTCCAACCTCACTCCAGGCGTCATCCTCTGAGGGCCTCATCGCGAGCAGTTTTAGCCGTTCCTTTTTTGCATCTGCGCCATGTCGACTGGCCCAATGAGCAGCGTCGCCAGAGATTGCTGACTGTACTCCTCGCCCAATCCCGTCGAGGGTTGGCCTCTTCGGCCCCGCACATGTCCGAGATCTTCCCCAGAGGCTTCGCAGGAGTAGCAAACTGCTACAGGAGGCTCTGGCTCTCCTACGGACACTAAGCCGTCGGATCGGAGGCGGCGCAGGCACAATCTCCTTCCAGCCCTAGGACTCGGAACGACCTGAGGGTCCGATCCAGTTGCCGTAACGGAGAATGTCAGGTTGAGCGCTGAAGGAGGGCTGGATGGCCGTGGGGAGCAGAGGAAGGGGAGGCTCAGACCCGCAAGCTATTGATTGTCTCCAATTCTCCGCCTTCAGTACCGGAGTGTGAAGGAGTATATATCTCATCCACTTCACGAGTCTTTCTGATCATCCCTCACCACCAAGCAACTCATCAGCACTCAGACAGACCTTCAAGGCTTCAGCTACTACCGTCGACTACTACACCAACCCACCAACCTCAAACTACCACCACTCAGTCACAATGGCCGCTATTCCTACCTGGAGCTTGGAGGGCAAGGTCGCCGTCGTTACCGGCTCTGGTAAGCTCCCGCCAGGAACCACAATCTGGGGTAGCTGCCCCGCAGGATCAATTGGCTAACCCACCGACAGGCCGCGGTATCGGCAAGGAGATGGCTCTCGAGCTCGCCCGACGAGGCGCAAAGGTCGCCGTCAACTACGCCAACAGCTCGGAAGCCGCCGAGGAGGTGGTCAAGGCCATCAAGGCGATGAAGACAGGCGCCGATGCCGTTGCCATCAAGGCCAACGTCGCCAAGGTCGACGAGACGGTCAAGCTCATGGACGAGGTCATTTCCCACTTCGGCAAGCTCGACATCTGCTGCTCCAACTCCGGCGTCGTTTCCTTCGGCCACTTCAAGGACGTGACTGAGGAGGAGTACGACCGCGTCATGCAGATCAACACCCGCGGCCAGTTCTTCGTCGCCAAGGAGGCGTACAAGAGGATGGAAGTTGGCGGCAGGATCATCCTCATGGGCTCCATCACCGGCCAGGCGAAGGGCGTTCCCAAGCACGCTGTCTACTCCGGCTCCAAGGGTGCCATCGAGACCTTCACTAGGTGCATGGCTGTCGGTATGTTCCACTTCCAGCCCCTCACCCTTTGGGACCAGAGCTAACAGAGTATAGATGCTGGCGAGAAGAAGGTCACCGTCAACTGTGTCGCCCCTGGCGGCATCAAGACCGACATGTACCACGCCGTGTGCCGCGAGTACATCCCCAACGGCAGCAACCTCGACAACGACCAGGTCGATGAGTACGCCGCTACCTGGTCACCACACAACCGTGTCGGCCAGCCCATCGACATTGCCCGCGTCGTCTGCTTCCTCGCTTCCCAGGACGGCGACTGGGTGAACGGCAAGGTCATTGGCATTGACGGCGCTGCCTGCATGTAATGGGCTGCTAGTTGGCTTGGGGTTTCCTTTTCACTTTTTATATATCTGCCATGTTTGACTACGATGCCTGAAGCATGACTTGGCGTTTCTCTCGATATGGTATCTAGGTAGAAGAAATGACAATCTGAAAAGTAATGACACACATGGCGCCACTTGCCACGATGTTTGATGCCTGCCGCACGCCCCAAGGTGTTTCTCATGCGGTTTTGATGCCCCAAAATATCTTTCGTCCTTTTCGGGGTTAGTCTTAAACTTCTGTCACGATGTTTGCCTGCCGCATCCCCAAGGTGTTTCTCATGCGTTCCTGATATTGTGTCCGAGGCACCGAGAACTCCATGATCTGAGGTGCCCAGGCCCCAAAATATCTTTTGTCTATCTTGGGGTTGGTCTTGCACTTCTGTCGCGATGTTTGGTGCCTGCCACATGCCCAAGGTGTTTCTTATGCGTTCCTGATGCTCTGTCCGAGGCACCATGGACTACATGGGCTAAGGTGCCCAGGCCCCAAACCATCCTTGGGCTACCTATCTTGAGGATATTGCACGTCTGTCGCGTTTTAAGTATGAGGCATAGTTCGATATTTCTGAAGTCATCGTTCTTAGCAGCAAGAGCCCTTGGGAATGACAAGATGGACTCATGCTATTGGTACCCGCATTTCTATGGCGCTCTCGACCTCTTGATGAGAACAATGCGATGAATGAGACCGCCAGTGCCTTGTCTAAGGAAGAGCTTGTGATGATGCTTGAGGATGCTTGTTTGGGTGGCGCTAGCCGCATCCGATCTAGCCCGTGCACAGATTGCCGAGGTCGATCATGGCGACGCCATGCTTCGAAACACCACCCAAACATTTCTGTTTGACCACGTCTCCCCGTCTCCAGGTGTTCAGCCCGACATCTAAATGTGTCGTGCCTTTGTGGTGCTATGTGTAGTCATCAGGAAGCTTTGCAAGTCTTCTGATCACCCTGCTTGTAGTCTACCTCCCAAACTGCGGTCTTTCAATACTTTCATATTCCTAGAGTTCAATATTCCATTCCGTATCCGGGGCGTTTCTTGTTTGTAGGAAGAGACTCGGCATGAAGTGGCCGGCAGGGACCGAACGGCTCCCTGCGCCACCATGGAAGACTCGTCGCCCTCCTCTGCTTCACAATGCCTCTTCGTTGGAGACGTCTCGTCGGTGCGAAATCCAGACCGATTCTCTGTCATCACGAAGACGCAGGCCACTCACAACGCAGACTTGAAGTTTCACCATCCAGAACTCGTCTCGTCCTGCATCTCCCGCCAAGCTTCTGGTATCGGATGCACCAAACTAAACGATCCACACCCCTCATGAAACGGACGCCATGCAGAACAGAGACCTTGCCAAGTCGGGTCCGTGTCTGTCCGACCTCAAGACCACGAGGATACTCGACCTCATGTCTTGGCTTCCCCAAATAGCTGACATTGAGGCCAAGCTTAGGGAGAGATTGTCAGGTATTCAGCGCCGATGAGCCTAACTTGACAGGATCCAGGAGTTTGTGCCTCCTCTCTCATGTAACATGACACCGGCCCGCCATTGACGGAAGCTGCCCACGCCGAGGCATGGACGAAGCCCAAGATACTCATATTTAGCCCTCCACCGCACTAATTCTTTGCGTCTCTCTGCTCAGCTAGCCTGGTCAGTCGCTCGCCGTTCCTTTCTAATTGTTCATATTAGACCGTAACTCTTTCTTTCTTGTTCATAATCTGTCGTTCAATAGCCCAGGTGGCTTCCTTCCCTTCAAAATGACGTCTGGTACCGTCTCTTCCCTTTTCTTGCTCCTCTTGAGCTGCACACCGGCTCTGGCTCAGACGCAGTCCGCGCAGTTTAATCAAGTACTTAATATCAATGGCGATGTAAGTGAGCATCATGTTCAACAATGCGAACACGTTTACTGACTTACCTAGATGGCAATCAACTCTTTCCAGTTTCCGGACCGGTCAAAGATCGAGACATTCTCCCAGACGCAGCAGCAACTAATCGTTAATCAAAACACGCCGCCTGTTCCTCCCAACCAAGTCACGGGCTCCACTGGTCAGCCATTCGTCGCTATGAGTGCCCAGTCTATGTCCATCAGCACGAATAACGCATCCGACCTCGTTGGCGCCGAGATCGAGCTCACCATCGATCCGCAAATGCTGCAACAAAATGCCGTCAATCCCGACAACACATTCGTGGCCAAGCTCTCGCCGGATAGGCAGACCTGGATGATCCAAGAGACAGTCAGGAGCGTCAACATGTAGGTCATCTGCTGAGTCACTGACCCGGAATGAATGCTGACGGAGGCTAGCTCCGACATGACTGTCCGCATGGTCAAGATGAACAACATCGATGGCGAATACATGGCCCTCGGCCGCCAGACCATCGAGACCAACGCGTTCCTTCAGAACTTCGGCAGCGACGCGGCTACACAAGTCGCCATTCAAGGCACCGGTCTGCAGGAGAATGAGTTTATGGACGGATTCAGGATGTCGACGCGAGCCACTCAGCCAATGACCATGAACGTGGACGTCAAGGACGGTATTGATGGGAGCATGTTGGCGGCCTTGCAGGGCCAGGAGCCAGTCAGTAAGTAGATTAATTCCTGCATTCGGGTTCAGTCTGCTAACGCTAGCTGTAAGATGACTTCCGCTACTCGGTCGTGACGAACCTTGCAGGTGTCACGCCGGATCTCAACCAGCAGGTCACGGTCATTCAAATGCCCAGTAAGTCTCAGAGACGCCTGCTGAAGCACGTAGCCTAACCATCTCGCAGTCAACGCCGTCCGCATCCAGAACATGATGCAGGCAGCAGGCATCCAGCCCGGTGGCCAAGTCGCAATTGCCGTCGCCCAACGTGGTGTCCTCCAGAACCCCGGAGGTGCCACTGGCAACCTCAATGGCGCAGGTACTGCACCCGCTCAGCGCCGTGGACGCTCCGTCGATGCTCGCCAAGTCCAAGCTGGTACTCCCACCAACGGTAACAACCCCGTCGCCACCCAGCTTCTGCTCGCTCCTACCTTTACGCCCATTCAGGCTAATGCCGTCCTCGACCCCGTCAACATGCGTATTGCCATCCCCGTCCGCGCCGTCGATGGAGAGTACATCCTCACCATGCAGACTGGTGGAGCGCAAGGCCAGCAGCAGCCACAGGGCGAGCAACAGCCCCAGGGTCAGCAACAGCCAGAAGGTCAGCAACAGCCAGAGGGTCAGCAACAGCCAGAGGGTCAGCAACAGCCAGAGGGTCAACAGCAGCCCGAGGGTCAACAGCAGCCTGAAGGTCAACAGCAGCCTGAGGGACAGACACCGCCGGCTGAGCCGCAAGGCGCAACCAACGGCACCGCTCCTGCCGGCGAAGCCGCCGCGCCCAAGCCCGAGCGTCGTCAAGCCAGCGGAGAGGAGAAGGCCCCTACAGGCGGCGCTTTCCTCACCATGAAGGAGGTTGACAAGATGGTTGAGCTCATGGCGTGGGGTGGCCAGGCGCCCATTACGCAGATGATGAACGACTACGTCAAGGCGAACACTAACAGCACGGCATAAGGCGCAGGTCTAAAGCTAATCTGCCCTGCTTTGAGGGGAGGAGGAAGAGGGGGACGGGGGAAAGCCAGTCAGCTCAGCTGGACTGGGAATAGGGATAGACACGCTAGATTGTTGAATACGAAAGAAAGAGGCCTCGGTCTTGCTAGCTTTTCCTTTTTTTCTTTCTCTCTTCTTTTTCTAGCTGTCCATATATATTTTTCTCTATAGGATTCAATTTCCCGCGAGATATCCTCGTTTGTAAAAGGGCTATTGCTGTGTATGTTGTTCGTTCGCACAATGGAAAATCAGTTCAGGCCTGATTATCTGCCTTGCATCTATAACACGCGGAGCGTGGAGTATGTCTCATCACACCATCAAGGGAGCGTCCGCCAAAGTTTGCGCTCGAACCCATCCACGTCTCAGCATAGCTTGAAAAGCGTCATCGCAGAGTGGAGCGTTTCGCACGTGGTTCATCATCCTGTCCGAAGAAGCTACTCTTTCCGCTTCATCCGTGGCCGTTCTGCGTGCGTCGTCACCGCCGATCGCCTCATCGGCTCTCCTCTGCAATGGTGTGCGGAAGGACCGTTATCCGCCACAGCAACAGAAGAAACGGAAGGAAGGACAGAGATACTTCCCGGCGCACCATTTCGGACGGATGGACGGTGCGTGAAGCGTGAGAGAGACTGGTGGTCGACTCATCCGTCCGCTGGAGAAAACTTTCTGGTCTGGTCTGCGTTGTACTGATTTGCTTGATGGCCTGAGGGCTCGTCTCGAGTACGGGCATGCATGCTGTAGTGGGTGGGTATTGGGAGTCCGCGATGCGCGGAGGTCGGGGCGGCAGCTTGAGAGCTCGGGTACTAGTGGATCTAGATAGGATCTCGTATACATACTGTACACTGCAATGAGAACGCCAGCAAATCGATCGTTAATGGTGAGGTAGATGGGTGCACAGACCACCTTCTATCGATCGATATGCAACTCCAGTCAAAGATCCAAACCAAAAGCGGTATAATCGCGCGGAGATTGAAATTCAGTACGGCCCCAGACTCAAGGAGGAATAGAAAAAGCTCTCTCTTCGTCTCCGAAAACCGCGATCCTACTTTCCGAATCCAGCCATACCGAGATTCAACGCCTGATTTCCTCCCAAGGACATCTACCAAGATCCCCTTAAAGCCTTACTCTCATCTCCCCAAGACCTAAAGAAGGCAAAACCCAAGCTCCCCTACCCCTCCACCTTACCACCCACCACCCACCCGCCCGCCATGCCCAGCAAACTCAGCACCCTCCTCGCCTCCTCCGGCAGAACCCCCCAAATCCTCGACGGCGCCCTAGCAACCTACCTCGAGACCCTCGGCGCAGGTACATACCCCATCATCCCCCCTCACCCCACCCTTTCTAACCGGAAAAACGTCAGATATCAGCAGCGCGCTCTGGTCCGCGCAAATCCTGCTCGACCAGCCGTCTCTCATCCAGCGCACGCATCTCGACTACTACCGCGCTGGCGCTAATATTACTATCACGGCGTCGTACCAGGCCTCGCTCCCGGGGCTGGTGAAGCATCTGACCGTGAGTGAAGAGGCGGCGAAGGTGCTGGTTGGGAAGAGCGTTGCGTTGGCGCGGGGAGCGAGGGATGAGTATTTTTCCTCGCGGCGGGCGCATGCCGCGAGAGCGAGGCTAGGAGAGAATGAAGAAAGGGAGGAGGACGAAGTTCTGCTCGTAGCCGGCAGCGTAGGGCCGTACGGTGCTTTTCTCGCAGACGGGAGCGAGTATCGAGGAGACTACATGCTGGGGAAGCAGCAGCTGAAAGCTTTCCACCGCGGGCGCATGCAGGCGCTAGTCGAAGCCGGCGTCGACGTGCTGGCGTGCGAGACGATGCCTTCGTATGCAGAGATCTGCGCGCTTGCTGAGTTACTGCGAGACGAGTTCCCGGGAACCGAGGCCTGGTTCTCGTTTACGCTGCGCGACGCGGGGCATATTAGCGATGGGACGGCGCTGGAGGATGTCGTTAAGGCGCTGGAGGGAGCGGAGCAAGTCGTTGCGCTGGGAGTCAATTGTGTACCGTCTGACCTCGCACTCGGCGCGCTGAAGCAGTTGAAGAAGTTTACGCGCAAACCGCTCGTTGTGTATCCGAATTCAGGGGAGCTGTGGAATGCGGAAAGACGGGACTGGGAAGGCTCGAGGAGCGAGGGCACACAGCTAGCGGAGCGGACGAAAGAGTACTGGGATGCTGGGGCGAGGCTGATCGGAGGCTGCTGTCGGACGACGCCGGCGGACATCAAGGTCATAGCTGATACATTGCGAGACACCAAGAGATAATAGGTGACGGTGGAGGACCACGGGAAGATGAATACTGTGTTTGAATTCGAAAAAAGCTAAGCTACCAGAAGTCCATGGTATGTAATGCATCCATAAAGAGAACAGACCCAAAATAGCTCCAAACCACACGGTCCTTGACCCAAATTCCCAGTCCCGTCCCAATATCGATAACACCTCCGCGCCTGCACCCGTTCTCCATTTTCTTCATGCCTGGTAGCTCGCAATATTTCGCTTTTCCCCAATGAATACCCCGGGGCACTGAAAGGAATAGTGAGAGTACCAATCCACACTATTGAAGGAAAGAACGTCCAATGGTGGCAGCCCATAGGCGAACTTAAGAGTGCAAAGCAGGGTTGCTTACCTTAGAGGGATTGTCAAATGGCCTATCTCGAAGGCAAAAAGGCTCCGCCCGCAAGCACCAGGTTCATCCGCGTAAACATGACTTTGTAAACCGGGCTGTCCTTTGTCTGGAACACACTGATCTGATCCGGCGATACCCCCGTCTCTTTCGCAGCTTTCTTGGCGCTGGTGACAGGCGCACCTGAAGCTCCCTTTGTAGTAAGCGCACCGTCTGCTTTTGCCGCTGCAGTACCATCGGCAGCTTTGCTCGTGGACTCGTTGGTCTCTTGCAAGACGTCCCATACGCGAACGGACTTGTCGGCGCCCCCAGAGACGAGAACCGTTGATTCGACGCTCCACGAAAGCGAGTAGATCCCACCCTTGCCGTGACCTCGCATGCGCTTCTTCCGTCGGCCAGTCTCCAGTGTCCAAAGGATGATGTTGCCGACGTCGTCTGCGCTAGCAAGAGTCTTGCCGTCGGGCGAACACGCAATTGCTGTGACGTTGCCAGTATGCCCCGTGAATAGCCGCAAGCAGTTTCCACCAGAAATATGCCACATCCGCACCGTCCTATCGCAGGAGCCGGTAAAGATATAAAGGTTGTTGGGGTGGAATGCGACGCAGTCGACATCGTTATCATGTCCGACGTATATCCGCAGTGGTTCAATATGGTCCGTTGCCCACAGCCGAGCCGTCCGATCATTAGAGCCTGTCAAAAAGTAGTGTCCATATGGTCCCCATTGTAAGTCCCAGATAGGATTGTCGTGGCCGCGGTATGCGACTAAGCATGTGAACATATCCAGCGACCACAGTCGGACGGTCTTGTCTTCGGATGCGGACAGAAGATATTGTGCGTTGGTTGGAGGCCCACTTGGATCAGGGTTGACGGTCGCAGGAGAGAAGGCGACCGCATAGACAGGACCGGAATGACCTACTAGCCGGCGAGAAGAGGTCGCTTGATCGTTGTTTTCCTCAACAGTAGAGAGAAGTTTGCTGCCGTCGAGGGACCATACTCTGATGTAGGACTCAGCCATGCCGGCGGCGGCGAGGTGGTTATCTCCGGAGAAGTCGATACAATTGATGCTACACGAAAGTGTCAGTTAAGGCTGGAGGCAAATCGCAATGCGTGTAAACTTACCTGTCGAACGTGTTGTGGAAAGTGTACATGGTGACGCTCACGGCAGGGCCGACGCCGCCCGTCCTGCCCTCCATCCTGTAGCGGTCGCGGTGCTCTACTACTTTTTGCACTTCCATGGATACGTCTCTGGCTAGCGATGGTGGCAACGGTACCATATCCCGCGAAGGGACGTCGTCGGTGGGCTCGCGCTTGATGCGCTGTTCAAACTCATCAACCAACGACGACTGGCCCGGCCTTGGCGTATTCTTGGCGTCCTCCTCTTGAAGCGCCGCCCGCACATCATCCTGCAAATCCTGATCCTGAGGATATGGCCCTAAGGTCAGCCGTATCCGAGCTGCGTCTGCTTCCGGATCATGCCGCTGTGTGAGCGGATGTCCAGGGTTGTGTCCGGGAATGCCTTCGTCTTCGGCAGGGAGATCATCATCGCCCTGCCCGCTTGCCAAAATCGCTGCGATACTCTTCTCTGCGGTAGCTGTTCGGTCGACTGTGACGATATTGAGGTGATCGCGGATAACATCCATAAGCGCTTGCCCGCCCTCAAACATCTTCGACTCCAAAAACTGGATAAGATTATAAAAGGGCATCATGGTCAATGTGAGTCGGTACTTGTTCTCCAGATACAGCTTCGCCACGCGACTGTCCTGCAGATGCGGCGGCAGCCGTATTGCGCTGAGAGTCTTGACATCGTCTTCGTGATCGCGCTCGAACAAGGCCCGATAGGTGCCAAAGAAGTTTTCGGCGTCTTTTGTGAAATACTCGCGCACAAGGTCCAAGAAAGAGTATACGAATATCGGCCACAGCAGCTTGCGCAGCTCGGGCTTGTAGAGATCCAAGTTATCTTCGGTGTATTTCCGCAGCAAGTCGAACGCTTTCGTGTATTTCGGCCCTCCCGTCTCGGCACTCTGCGATACCAGCGGGCTTCCGTTCACCGGGTCGGACTCCTTGCGGAGCATCGCCTCCGTGCGGACATAGCCTTTCTTGCTGAGATATTCTAAGACCTTTGGCCAAGTTAGCAAACGAATGTAGGCGCAGAATTAACGGACAATGGCGCATAGAAAGAGAAGCAGAGAAGGGAGTGGTCCAACGGTTGACTGACATATGCGTGGCCGGGGACGTGTACGTTTTGGCCGGACAACCATTGCCTCACGTATGACATAGTATTGCTGCCTTCTGGCACAGGTCCGTCTTCGATTATACGAGAATAGAGAGACGGCGCGTAGGAAGAACGCCCGCCAAAGATGGGTATGTTAGGGAAGTTGGTACGTCCGGCCATGGCGTGGTTGGTAGGCGGCACGTACGCAGAACAAAGGAAACGGGAATTATGAAATAAAAGGAACCCAGCGCGCAAGTTGCGTCTTTCACAAAGACCCTCTCGCTCGGCTCCTCAACAACGACTGTGTCCCGAGATATGTGTTTTGGTGGGGCCGCAACAGTGAATGGGGGAAAGACAGAACTTGAGATTCTGTACTGACAATTTGATTCAGATTCTGTTGCGACTGCGACCCCGAGGAACCTCCTGTTGGCGGTGGGACAGAGCTCTGCTGCGAAGGCATCCCATGTTGCGGCTGGAGCCCCGCGCTGGGAGGCCCAGTTCCTCCTACGCTCATGGCCCGTCCAGGAGCCCCGGGCGGGGGCCCCGACATTGTCGTTGTTCTCCTTCACAGGGCTTCGGACCGTAGCTTTCACCTCGCGGCGATGGAAGGGCAGGTCGCGTTGCGCATTGGTGACGCGCTGTAGCCAGGACAAACGGTGCTTTGGAGTGACTCGGTCGGCGGGGTAACGGCAAGTGAATGGGAGGCTGTACGTATTGTTTTCGTGGTGCGGACGGGATTAGGCTTTCGAGGGCGGTGGAAAGTTGCAGCGCGAGTGAAGGCGGAAGCGTGGTCCGAGCTTGCTGTGGCCGGTGCGCGGCTCTGGCGGGGAACCAATGTCGATCTCCAAGCTCCGGGAGGCTCCCACAACTCCACATTCTTTCTCTGTTGAAGCTCCTCAGCGCCGCGAAAGGCTGTTGAAGGCAGGATCCTTTCGTTGTCGGCCATATACCTCAGTTGTTCATTTCGGGCAAGCAAAGCGCGCAAACGAAGCCGTCCTATTGAGCTCTCCACCGTCATCTCGTAGAAACTCATATCCACCTCGCCAGCCCGCAAGCGTACAACTTCTTTCAACCTCGACAACAAATGGCTTCTACTAACCCTTCCGCTCCAACCCAACCCCAATCCCAATCCCAGAACCAGCAGCAGCAACAACAACCCTACCGCGACATCGCCGCCACGCAAATCCGCTCTCTCTCCGCCATCAACGCGCGCATCCCCTCCATCCTCACCACCTCCGCAACCACCATCTCCCAGCTCACCAACGCGCCCATCCACCCGCCGTCCATGGACCTCTCGCCCACCGCACCCGACACCCCCGCCCTGCGCCGCGCCGCCCTCTCCACCTCCTCCAACGCCTTCTTCTCGCTCGTCCTCGAGCTGCGCACCGCGCTGCACGCCCAGATCAACGAGCTGGAAGAGCAGGGCGTCATTCCCGCGGAGGCGGTACGCTATTTTGCGCCGGTGCAGCAGCAAGGGCCGCCTGGGCAGACACAGCAGCAGGCCGAGCATAGGGATAGCGAGGCGACGGTTACGAATGGCGGGCTGGGCGATTTCGATGTCGGCGTGCTGAACGCGCGGGCTGGAGTGCGGCAGAGGGATGGGGAGGAGGTGCTTGGGAGAGTCAAGAAGGTGTTGGAGGAATTGGTCAGGCAGAGTGAGGAAGTGGAGGTCAAAGAGGAGGAGATGTCGGTTGATGGGTGAAGAGTAGGAAACTGGCGACCCGTATGCGACCCAGAGAGGAGGACTTCAATCATCTCCGATGAGGCCGGGGGAAATGAATGGACCGCGGATGGCTGGGATTCATATCCAGCGCGCGAGTTTTGCATTCATCGGAGAGCCTCCTCGGGCGAGGACATCCAACTTCCCTCTCAAACTGGCATTTGCCACGAGATGCAGATTAAAGGGATAAAGAGAACGGAAAAGTCCGCCCATCCATCACCATTCGCTACGGGGCCGCCGAAGATGCGGATTCCGAAAAGCATCCAAGTTTCTCAGAACCGCAATTCCGCAACTTTAAGGCCTCGATTGCACAGCATGGCCGGAAGTAGGAAAGCACACCTTCAACAAGTCCTACCGCAATGCTCCGACTCCATGAGCCGGGGCCGGACTAAAAAAGGCTATGCCCCAAATAAAAGGAAAGGTCTCAGGAACCAGCAAGCAAACGGCAGTACTTGAAAGCATTAGTGGGTAGAAAAATGCTACCTACAAGCAAGGGGCCCGCAGTCCCAGCTTAATACCACACCTCAAACATATACATACACATCTAGCCAATACCAATACCAATACCTCCATCCACCCTACTCAACGCCACCCGTTTCCCCTCGCATACTGTACACACCCCATACATACTATCCCCTCTTCTCTTCTCACCCAACTCCATCACAGAAGCAATCCACCGCACAGCACAGCAAAACAAAAAAGTGACTGTTGGAATGGATATCATATCATGTTCCCAGCCGCCCTCCCTATATAAACCCAAAAGAGAATTCATACCATATGCGGGACTCAATCCCAGCCAGGCAGTAGAAGCGACGACACGCGCTTTCACCCATCCATCGTCTAGCGACTTGACTTGACTTGCATGCACGCCTCTTATACTCCGTCTACTCTCCTGCTTGCTTGCTTGCTTGCTTGCTTGCGTGCTTGCGCATAGATATCCAGAATCCATTGCCAACTGAAAAAAAAAGAAGGAAAAACAACGCTATGTCTTAGCCGAAAAGGGGGGAGAAGGCCCGACAGGAGAAGAGGGTTCAAAGCAATTATACGCTCCTCTCCGGGCTCTCGCCCTCGGCCACGACTGCAACGCCCAGCCCGCGATCTGGACTTTGCAGGACCAACTGCTCGTGTCTCCTCGCGCGCACAAAGTCCGAGATACTCTTGATAAGAATGAACCAGCCCACAATCATCAGTCCATACGCCAACCAATCACTACTCGAAATGCCCGAGCTCGCCGGCGTCATCTCGGGTCCACTATCGCTCGGCGCCACAGCGTTCGGGTCGAAATCATGCGCATTCGGATCGCTTGGTACGCTGCCATCGAAGCCCCCGCCGGGTGCATCGTTGCCGGGTGATGTAAGCGCCGTGCCCTTCATTGTGAAGCCGTATTGGACGAGGGTAATGCCGAGGCCGGCGCGGGAGCCGTTTTTGGCGGCGTGCGTTGTGTGGAGGAGGTAGGTCAGGAGGAAGCCGACGAGTTGGAAGGACATGGAGATCATAGCGTTCCAGACGAAGGAGAAGACGGAGCCGACGGGGAGACCTTCGACGAAGACTTCGTCGCCGAAGGTACCGGGGGCGAGGATGGTGGTTTCCCAGTAGGGTGGTGTCGCGTCTGCGGCGGCTTGCTCATAGGTCTGTACGTTATGTTAGTGTGCTATCCTTCGATGTCCCATGTGTGAAAGGTGAACAAGGTACGTACCGGAGGCTTCTCCTCGACGTCTTCTCCCCGAGTCGGCTTCGCGCTCAGATTCGCCCACACGCCATCGTTCTGCCCTCCGCCATATATCCTCCCACTAGTCGGTGCCTGCGTATTGAAAACCGGCAGCTGCGTCACCCGTCTCTGAATGCCTATTCTCACATTCTCCGCCTCCTCATGCTCCCTCTGCTCGTCCGGGTTCCCTCGCATCAGCCGCTGCCGGTCGTCCCGCCCATCGCCCTCCTCCTCCTCATCCGAATCACTGTCAAAGGTGTCGGCGAGCGTGCGATCCGCATCGTTGGTGAGCGGGTCGTCGGATAGGAGGCGGCGCGAAGCGGCCGCGGGCGATGAGGCACGGCTGTGGAAGGAGGGCGGTGGCGAGGCGGGGATGGGGTACGGAACGTCAGGGCTTCCAGGCGTGCTATCGTCGTCGTCGTGCTCTGCTACCTGGAGGTGTCGCATCGTCAGTACCGTACCATCCACGGGTAAACGGACCCCTGGGGATGCGCTGCGTGAGGTCGCCGCATAGGGCCGAGGAATACGTACCCGCTCGTAGCGCTGCGTCGGCATTGTAGCGCTGGACCAGACTCCACGGGTGGACAAAGGATGCGAAAGGTGAAGGCGAAGAGAAGAGGTAGCGAGTGCAAGGCAGGAAGGCAAAGGTCGTCTCGTGTCGGGGCTCAGTCAGGTGCGGGAGCCGTCAGTTCACTTGCGTTTCGTAAGTCGGGGTGTGAACTCCGTGGAAAGGCCGAGAAGGGAAGGAACGATCCAAGCGCCGTGCTCAGCCACCACGTGATCGCGCCACAGCCTCGGAATCGGTAACATCATCGACTCTGGGAACTTCACGCGGACGAACAATTGCGCCGCTTCACAATACATTCACAAACATGTCAAATTCAGTACGTACACCCAGCTTACTGCGCCTTGAGCGTACGTAGTCAGACCATTCAATTTGCCATCTAAGCTCGGAGAACCGCGAATACGGATCTGGATGCATCGTCCTGAAGCGGTTCAGAGTCCTAAACGCCGTCGAGCCCGCGAGGGCGCCGCGTTGAATTATTTGACCTACGTGCTCGACTATAAGCTTACCATGCACCAGACAATAGCGCGCCACTACACGCGCCTCCTCTCCCTCTGGCCGAAAGACCTCCTCCGCCCAAATCTCCCCTTCACACGAACGATCGAATACCGGGGCGCTCCGTTCGGCGTAAAGCCTCTTTCTGCCCCAGACGCGAAAACCGATACCATCAAAGCCGCTCCGCTGGCCAACGCAGACCCCAAGCTCGAGCTGGCGAACATCAATGCGCTGTATTCGCTATTGGAGAACCGGTATAGCAAAGCATACCCCATGTCGCCGGGTGTGCTGAAGCCGGCGTCGAATCCGGAGCATTATGACAGACTGATGGAGGAGATTGAGCGGGCGCCGAATAAGAGCTGGCTGAGTGCGAAGCTGGATGAGTGGAAGAGCAAGATTCGGTGGCAGTAGTGGGATCTCCGGGGCTGTATGATATTCTGCAAAGGGCTCAAGTTCGTGTACAGATAATAGGGAAAACGGTGCCTGGCTGAGCAGCGGGCGTGTATAAAATGTTCGAATACGAGGAGCAGGCAGACCCAGTGGAGAAGAGTCGGCAGTGATGTATTATTGCATGTATTACTACAATGTCGTGGTTTTATAAGCTGGAATGATGGACGAAAAGAGTGCCCGACCAGCAGATACAAAGAAATGCCTCCGTATGATTGCGCAAAGAACCGTGGTGGACATAATCCATATTCATGACCCGCCAGGAGTCAGACCAATGACCAATCCAAGACCCAATATCGCCTCTCTTTAGGCACATGGCCTCGGGCGCTTCAGAGCATTGCACTCACTTGCCCCTGCTGTTGATCTTTGCCTGTCGAGCAGATCGCCTTCTAGTCGAGATGCCCCCAATCGCTGAATCGGAACTGCCGCTCCTCTTTCCGATGGAGAGGTCCACCGAACTTTCCTGTCCCTTGCCACCTTTCGTTCCCGTACTAGCCTTCTCATGGTTCTTTTGGCGCGAGTTGTTGGTCTTCTTGCGGGTTGCACATGCGAAGGTCTTGGGCTGGTCCCGAGATTGCCCCTCCACGAGCTGCACGGTCGTCAGTTCACCTACATTCACTCGCGGTGGAGATGTTCATACCTCATCCTCGACATCCCAATCAGATAAGTCTGACGGACAGTCCGAGAGAGAAGCTATGCTGGTGTCGCTAAGATCTGCTCCGTGTTCCTGCTCTTTCTGGTCGGCAGTCGTATAACCTAGAGAACTTAGCTTAGCGACGCCGATATGAGAGTGCGTAACACTTACCACCTCGCATGGCCAGAGCCTTCTTCTTAGTCTTTGAGGCTTTGCCGCTGCCGCCCACATCATCAGCTTCACCACATTCCTCACCCCCAGAATGCCCCTCTGCTAGGTCGCGGGCCGCCGAAAACATGTCCCGAAGTATTTCATCTGGGGACGCTACGTCGCAGAGCGCATAGCACTTCTCGAGAGGTAGCCCCTCTTTTCCATGCCAATGTCCGATCAGTATACCCTCCAGCCTGCCGATGAGCCGCTCCCTATCGGGATGTCCGGGAAACAAGTCCTCTCGCGGCACTGTCTTCAACACAGTCTGGCTGTTCGTGATGGGTACGAGGCCAAGATGTTCCTTCTTCTTGAGCAAATTAGAGGACAGCAAATGCTGGATCTTTGCGCCTGCAATCATCGGTGTTTCAACGCGATCATCATGCGAGCGTTGCGGACTAAGAGACGCAGCAACCGTATCCAGCGAGATCGGTTCAAATGGTAACGATGCAGGGTCGATAGCTGGCGACGAGCCACCTCCACGGAGTCCAGGAACAGGGGACGAGTCCAGTCCATGATCTGCAGGATCCCAATTACTCAACGGCGACTGGGGTACTCCCGGTGTGGGTGGTTCTGCGTCTGGATCGTCTGGATCGCCGAAGGCGTGGTAGACCGCACACACAAGTCAGCCTCCAGGCCACGGCGGATCTGCTTCATATCTTACCATCATGCTCATCCCAGTAGCCATCAAGGTTCCACTTGTACGTGCCGTCATAGAACTTCATCGACCGCTCCGTCAAGTAATCCTTCCAATTCGGCTTCCGTTCGCGGTTGGGGTTGTAGTTATATATAGGGCCGGCCATGTTGCTGCTAGGTATCGAGCTGTGTTTCTGAATTGTGCTGTAAGGCTGCTGCCCGCGTTGTCAGCGCCGGGTGGTTAATGAGCTGTCGCGGACTGACCTTTGAGCGAAATATGCTCTGGCGTGAGTTAGGACTACCGCCAAAACAGATGAAATGAGGTTAAGAACTTGTATGGAGTAGGAAGTGGAGAGAGTAAGAGACAGAGTGTCGGGTGCTAAGTCGACGTTTTTGCGTTTTGTGTTTGTTGTGTTGCAGCTGCTACGGGCAACGATCGGGTCTGAGAGGGAAGGAGCGACGAAGTGAAAGTATGTCGCTCAGCACCAGTCCGGAACCGCGGTGCAATAGATACGACGATGGAAAGTGACCTCAAGGGTGACAGGAGGGCATTTCTATAAGGGAGAGACCAGAGATTGAACACTCAGATGGGTTGGAATCTATAATTTTGACAGCCGAGGGAAGTCAGCGCCTTGAGCCATGGCAAGAACAGGACACTGTAAAACATCGTCCGCGGGTCTGTGTAAGCACAAACGCCTCGTACAGTCTCAGCCCTGGTGATAACGCCGAGATCCTCTGAACAGACACCCATGAAACTCCTTCAGAATCCGCCGTACCTATCGTACAAAGTGGTGGATGTAATACAGGGAGTATGAAAGACATGTAACACCGAGTGATGCGGTACACTCCGCGCTCGAATCTACAACGTGCCGGCACCCGTGTAAGCCGGAAGTGGTTGCTTCGCTGCCATCGTGGCCGCCAGCTTCTCACGTTCGTGCTTTTCCTGCTCCATCATGGCACGGTCAGCTTTGGTAACACGAGGCTTGCGGACGGTTGAACCACCACGGGAACCAGGGCCTCCGCCGCGTCCCCGACCTCTGCCTGACGTCTCTCCTCGCACACTGCCACCACGGCCACGGCCGCGTCCGCGTCTAACTGTGCCGTCGGCCCTGTAGATAGTCAGCAGATCCAGATAGACCAGATCGGGAAGCACATACCTCTCAACAGTAGGCTTCTCCTCGGTAACCAGTGGTCCGCTATACACGAAGAAGCCATCTTTGGCCATGAGTGCCTGTTGCTCCCATGCCAGCTCGGTATCGTCAATGAAGTCGTCCTCCTTATCATATTCCTCTTGCTTCCTCTTTCGCCGCCTCTTGACACCATTGCCAGTAGCAGAACCTTCCTCGTCTCCACCAACGTTATCTACGTTGCTCTCAGGCTCAGATAGATCGAGAGACATGTCGTCAGCGGATCCAGCACCTGTGGCCTTCTCGAGGGCAGCGCCAGCAGCGGTTATCTGGCGTTGGCGCTCCTTGCGTGCTGCAATTCGTGGGTGAAGCGCAGCAAACCCATACTTCTTCTCTACCTCCTGCGCAAAGTTGATGGTGACGTTCTCTCGGCCCTTGAGCGGGAACGTGAGGAAGATGTTGACGCCTTGTGGTTCCGACGAGCCATTCGTGGAGGCCACAGGCCCGAAAGGTGTACCGGACAATAGGCCACTCCCAGTTGGTAACGGTGGAGGTGCATCCTTCTGGCGGGCAGGTTTGACAGGCGGCGTCGGCGCATTTGAATGTGACGGCGTGCCCGCGCTTGTCGAATCAGTTTTCTTCATCGGGACGGACATCCTGGAGTTGAGGTCGGAGTCGATCTCCATTGGAGCGGGGCCAAGTGGCGCGCTGGGGTGAGGGGTCTGTGGTTGATTGTCGTGATGAGGAAGGAACGACCCAGGTCGCGTCGACGTAGCCGCGGGTGAAACGGGCGCCGAGGTGACAGAAGCTTGTTGCTGCACCCTAGCGGTCTGTGAATAGGCTGTATTGGCAGCAGAAGGTGGGTCGATCAGACTTGTGATGGATGGCGACGCACTGGCGCGGTTAAGAGGCGGCGAGATGGGCGGCGGTGCGGGCTGCGGCTTGGAATCCACGAATATACCGCCCCGAATTGGGTCATATCGCTGTCCCGAGCTGGCGGGCCTCGGTGTTGAGGGCGCGACATTAATGTGTGAAAGATTCGGGTTGCTGTGCAGAGGCTCAGGGTTACTCAACACGCGAGGAGCCTGCGTAACAGGAGGCGGCTGCTCTGGTTGGAGTACCGGCGCCAGCTCTGCGGGTCTTGTTTGCGGTGCGGGTTGCTGCTGCACAGCTGGCTTTTCCTCTACCGGCGCCGGCGGCGTGCTCTGTGCCTCCAGCGATGCCTTCGTCCTTCTCTTGCGCGGCGCTGGTGCTGACGACGGGTCCTTGGGCTCGGCGGGCTTGCGAGGTTTCCTGGGCTTCTTTTCCTCAACTACATTTGGATCTTTGGGCTTTGGCTTCGGGCCAGGCTTCTTGCGGACAGTACCCGCAGCCGTCAGTCTGGGCGTGGTAGTTGACGATGCAGGGGTTGGCGTGCTAGCATTCGCTGCAACACCAACACCACTGCTGCCGACGCGGATCGTGGTATTATTCGGCGTGCCCTGCTCAGGCGAATGAGGGGGCGAACTCAGACTGCCAGGCGAGGAGGCAACTTCTAGTGCATCCATGGCTGCAGAACACCGAAACTATGCAACGCCCAAAAGCCGTGAATGCGCGCGACCGAAGGCTACAAGAAGTAGAGAAAAGGGCCAGAAAGGCTATCAGATATTCCGATGCTAAATCGGGCGCAGGGTGCTGGATCGAATGGAATGGGAGGCATGCGGCTGGTTGGGCGGGCTGGCAGACTCAACACCACAGCTCGTTATTGCGCTCCACCACAAGAGTTGTCGAGAACACGAAAGCCGATGTGCACGGCGAACGTCGGGTGGGAAGGGCCCTAGAGAGGGCCAGGAGCACGGGGACGAACACGCAGATTCTTCCCTGACGAGATTCCGATGGCCGCGGCTGCAGCGCGAGCTGTATCGATGGAAATAGCGCAGCCGCCGCAAGAGATTTGCACGGGAAAGAGAAAAGGAGGAGAAGAGGAGGTTGACGTGTCTGGGTGCTGAGGGGGCTTCAAGTATAAAGGGCAGATGGGACATTGGCGGACCAGTCAAAAGCACGGGCGACGGTTACGACGAGAGAGAGATGGATTTACGCCAGAGCGAGCGACGTGCTGGGGGCTTTTCACACAGGCAGGAGACAAGAGCTGGCCGCCAGATGCCCGCTGGCGGCAGCGTCGAGCAGAACCCGGAGCTGCTGCAGCGAGTGTGCAGCTGGCATCTCCCACATCAGACCTGAAACTGGACGTCCGCCGAAAGCGCTCGACGGCGCAGACGGGCCCGTTCATGAAGCTGGCGCCGCGGTGGACAGCAGATCGGAGAATGAAGAGCAGAGATGGTCCCATTGCCTCTTCGAGGGACTGGATGACTGACTTTGAGATTGCCGCTCCAGCCACACCTGCTGCCGCCGCCTGCAGAGATCCGAACCGAGCATGAGATGCGGCGCATTTCCCGCCTGATCTCGATTGCCGCCGTCTGATTAGCAGATTCATTAAAGCCTGACACCGGCCTGGCCTGTAGGGCTCTGCACTATCTACCGCATGTCAACCACCTCTGTCCGCGCTGGCTAAAGAGCAGACGCACGTAGCTGCATCCATCGAACGTAGCATGTGGCGCGCGGCGTATGATTGGCCGGGGCGCTACGATCGCTGCAAGCCGCTTTTCCAGAACGAGCCGCATGCGCCCCAAGCGGCTGCACGACGTTTCGAGCGCATATATCTCCGAACGTGAACGATTTCATCCTATAGCGGTCCTATTTAACCCCTATGAAGGCTTCTCAGAGCGGCCCACTAATGCGCGGATAGACGCTATGGACAATGCGCGAGCGATGGTGGTGAGTTGCATCTATTACGTGATGCGACAAATGCAGCAAATCCCTTCTCAAGCCCAAACCCAAGCACCTCCGCTGGAATCTGTATGCCTGAAACAAAGCACTCGGAAAGCCCACATCCGTCACGGGAGGGACGCGCATGCCATTTGACAGTATTTCAGCGAACGTATATCACGGTGTTTATCTTGCTCATTGTAGTCACGGAAGAACACCTTTGAAAGTTGTGAGAGGTATAGTTGCAGATTTTGTACTTTCCCGGCCGCAAATTTCGACAACGTAAATTCGACCACGAGTGCCCACATGTGAAAGCCTCAGCCAGACCTTTGACACCAAACACCGACAACGGCCGCCGGATAACGCCAATCCAGGGGATTTCACCACCGTTCCTACGCCTTGCTCTTTTTCTTCTTCTTCTTGATCTCGCCATCGTCATCAACTTGCTTCCTCTTCTTGTCCTTCTTAGACTTCTTCTCGGCCGCTGCCTCGCCGTCGGCTTCAGCGTGCTTCGACTTCTTCTCCTTCTTCTCCTTCTTCTTCTCCTTGCGGATCGCCTGCTCCGTAGCCTTCGCCGTAATGCCATCGGCCATCTCCACGTCTTCCGCGGCACGAGCCGTCGGATCTTCGACGTCAATGTCTGCAAGCACCGACTCCATAGCTGCCTGCATCACCGCCGAGTTCTTTGCTGGAGTCGCCCCGGAAGCGTAGAACTCTATCCTCTCATCAACTTGGCGCTTCAAAGCTTCTCCAAATTTCGATGTAGGTGTCTCGGAGAAGTTGTCTATCCTGGAGGCAATGGAGCACTTGTTGGCAAGGAAGCGCGATATCCTGCCTTTGGACTTGGTGCCAGTCCTGCCGATGAATGACGAATGATAGATAAGGCCATATTTAGGTGTATTGCCCTTGGTCTTGAGCGCGCGGAACAGGGCCTTCTCAGCTGAAACGAGCGTTAATGTCAAAAATCTCTTTTGTATAAACAGTAAGCGACTTACCACCCAGAATTTGGACTGTAGAGGCGGGATATTTCGACTGTAAACGTCAGAGGTGCATCTCACGAGCCATCCGAGCGTACGAACCAGGTTTGTTAACGAGCCGGCTTTGGAAATCAGTCGAGCTCCCACCGTGTCACCAATGAGTGCCGCAAGGTTGGGAGCCACCGTGCCCATCCTTCGAGAAAGATAATTGCTCAGCTGCTTACGATAAGCGGTGAGCGAGGCAGTCCGCTTCGCAGACGCCATGACGATTTCCATATCGGCTTCTGAGAGATCTCGACCCTATCATTTGTCAGCTCTGGTGAAAAGAGAAGGTGGGAAACGCGCACCATCGATGTCCTAGCGGCTTTTATAATTGCACTCGCTACGCTCTCGTCGTCGTTGACGACAGAGGCAAGGCTGTACACTTCGTCAGTCATAATCAAGGAGTAGAAGAGGAGTGTGCCTCACTCGTGAAGGTCGTCATCTGTCAGGCGAGCCTTGTCGCCTATTTTGAGGACAGCTTTGGCGTATTGGTCATTGTCTGATACAATTCTCGACAGCCTGTATTAGTTAGCACTTGTAAAGTAAAAGCATGTTTTGACACCTACTCTGGAAAATGCCACCCATAGTTCTCCCGCAACCTAGAGACGGTCAATACAAGCTGTGCTAAGCTCGGACATATACGCACCGCATGGAAAACTGATTGACTGGTAGCGCATTAGCATACGAGCAAAGTCGTAAAGGAAACGGACAGACGAAAACGAGAAGATGGATACAGCTCGACGCATGTCCATCGGTGAGAAACCACAGCGAGGGTCGCGTAGATCATGAAATCAAGAGAGGCTTACCATCCTTATCCAATTGGTCCAGTGTGGCTACATTAAGTTAGCAAAGGCATGGACTGTAGCTGCAAGAAACTTACCTATTGCCTGGATGATGTGATTGTCATGCTTGTTCACATTGAACCTATAAGAAAGAGATATAAAGTCAGCGTGGTGTCCAGTAAAGCTTTTCTGAGTAGCTGTTGAGCCTTGTAGAACCGGATTAAAGCACAGCTACTGCGGATCGACAACAGACATTGAGTTCGTAACCCCGGTAACACTTACTTCACCTTTGAGCGACTGTATGCGTGTCCCAGGCCTAGAATAGACCGGTCCATATCGCCCGGCTGGACCTTCTTTACTAGCTTTTCGCGGTGCATTCGGAGTCCACGTAGGACTAATATGATGGACAGTTAGCGGGCAACACTGGAGGGGGATTTGGGCACAGAAGCAGGGACTCGGACGATGATAAGGGAGCTTTAAGATCCAGTCATTGGCTCTTCAAGAACCCAATGCACCACCCGAGAATTCACTCTTCTGCGCCTCGATTGACGTACGGTCGGCAACCACTTGGTTTGTTTCGCCAGTCTCGCAGGACAAGTTCGGGAATGCGGCGCGAATGCTTCCGGCCAGGTTCTTTTCGCTAACGCCAAGCACGATCGACTTCTTCTTCCCGGCCTTTGGCAGGTTGGTTTCGAGAGTGGCCCTGAGGAAGTCCGACATGATCCCTTCCGAGATGTCATTCTTCGGGTTGTGTTAGCGCAGCTATGGCGAAAGAAACCATCTGCGGGAGAGGACGCACAATCTCTTGGAGCGCATCTTGCGTGCCTTGAAAGGGCGACAGTCCTACAAGCTCTACAGTCTTTCCGAACTTGTCCAGATCTTGTACAGCGGCTTGGACCTCTTTGAGGCGGTTGCCCTAAGATGCTACGATCAGCGATGTTCGGTGTCCGCGCAACGGCGTTGGCTTACGATCGTATCGGGTTGGTGGATAACCTTGAATACCTACAATGGAACGATTAGCTTGATTACACCTGAGCGTGGAGCTCATATTACGTACCGCATACCCAACCGGGCTCTCATGGAGGAGGTAGTCAACAGACATGGCGTGAGCCGCGGAGCCTGATAGTGCTTGTACTTCAGGTATTATAGAAATTGTTGTTGCTGCGGAGAATCGGCGTCGCAGGTTTTGCGACTTGAAGCTGTGTGGATGCGAATGGAGCTCGGAGGAGAAATTTCGTGCCAAGACTTCAATCGGAGCATTGTCGGGCCGTTGGTGGCCCGTGCGCGGCTACGAAATTTGGGCCAGACGCGACAAGGCATACGCGAAAACATTCAGGTCTTTCTTCGACACCGCTGTAGCGTAACTTTCTGCTACTCTTCTTATATCCCAAATACTTTTCCGTTCACGATGTCAGCCGCTCAGCTACTCAACCCGAAGGCTGAATCGAGGGTCAGTTTCTTCCTTTTTGACATGTTTGAGCTTTACAAACATGCTAACAGCTTCATAGAGGCGCGGAGAAGCTCTTCGAGTCAATATCTCTGCGGGCGAGGGCTTGCAGCAGGTGCGCAGTTATGCTTTAGCTTCCAGAAAGCCAGTAGACTCATTCATGCCAGGTGTTAGCGTCGAATCTAGGTCCCCGCGGTACCTTGAAGATGTGAGGGCACTTCTCTAGCTATATAGATGTTCCGCTGACTTTGCGAAGGCTTGTAGATGGTGCGGGCGCAGTATGTTAGAGTCGGTCTTGTTGAAAGGGTATGGTTAACCAGGTCGCGCAGATCAAACTCACCAAAGATGGAAGCGTGCTGCTGAAGGAGATGGTAAGCATGGTCCAGCTTTAATCCTGCTCAGAGCACTAACTAGAGCGTAGCAAATACAAAACCCCACTGCCGTACGTACCGTTCGATGTGTTAACGACCGCATGTACTCAGGCAAAGCAGGTTATGATCGCACGAGCAGCCACGGCCCAAGACGAAATCTGTGGAGATGGAACAACATCGGTGGTACTGTTGGTCGGTGAACTGCTGAAGCAGGCAGACCGATACATTTCCGAAGGACTGCACCCTCGCGTAATAACGGACGGATACGAGATTGCGAAGAACGAGGCGATCAAGGTATGTCAAGTGAACTGTGCAAAGTGGCCTAAGCTGACGGCATTTGCAGTTCCTGGACGAGTTCAAACTCAATAAGGAAGTCGACCGAGAACTTCTGCTTTCCGTGGCCCGGACTTCATTATCTACGAAACTCGACAGCAGCCTCGCCGAACAGCTTACCCCAGATATTGTGGACGCCGTCCTTGCTATCTACCAGCCGCCTGCAAAGCCAGATCTCTTTATGATCGAGATCATGACTATGCAACACCGCACTGCCGCAGATACACAGCTCATTCGAGGTCTGGCACTCGACCACGGCGCGAGACATCCAGACATGCCAAAGAGGGTGGAAAATGCATACATCCTCACTCTCAACGTCAGCTTAGAATACGAGAAATCGGAAATCAACTCAGGCTTCTACTATTCAAGCGCGGACCAGAGGGAGAAGCTTGTTGAGAGCGAGCGACGATTCGTTGACGAGAAATTGAGGAAGATCGTCGACCTGAAGAAAGAGGTGTGCGGGAACGATCCGAAGAAAGGTTTTGTGATAATAAATCAGAAGGGCATTGACCCGTTGAGTCTGGATGTGCTGGTCAAGAACGGCATCTTTGCACTCAGGAGAGCAAAGAGGCGGAACATGGAGCGTCTACAGCTCGTTTGCGGCGGAACGGCCCAGAATAGTGTGGACGACCTCACGCCAGACGTTCTCGGCTGGGCTGGGCAGGTGTATGAGCACCAGCTGGGTGAGGAGAAATACACCTTCATCGTAAGTGATCCTAGCGTTTGTCTCTGACACTCCACTAACTCTGCATAGGAAGATGTGAAAGACCCGAAATCTGTTACGCTCCTCATCAAGGGACCCAATGGGCACACTATCACACAGATCAAGGATGCAGTCCGAGACGGACTGCGGAGCGTCTACAATATGATAGTAGATAAGAGCGTGGTTCCCGGAGGAGGTTCGTTCCAAGTGGCTTGCGCAGCTCATCTCTCCAGTGAGAACTTCCGGAAGACTGTGAAAGGAAAGGCGAAATGGGGTGTCACCGCATTCGCAGATGCCCTCCTCATCATCCCCAAGACGCTAGCCGCTAACTCAGGGCACGACATCCAGGACTCTCGTAAGCGGAACAAGCCAAACATTCGTTTACGAAGCGCTGACCAAGATGTAGTGGCCGCATTGCAGGACGAGTACGCTGAGGGCAATGTTGTGGGGCTGAACCTGGCGACTGGAGAAGCGATGGATCCTATGCAGGAAGGCGTCTACGACTCGTACCGTGTGCTCCGCAATGCCATTGCGTCAAGTACCGGAATCGCGTCCAATCTACTCTTGTGCGACGAGATGCTAAAAGCACGGCAAATGGTACGACTCCTACCCCACATTATTTGGATGCTGCTAACACATGGTCTAGGGACGGCAACCGGAGCCAGGAGAAGGTCAATGATAGGCTGCATGAGGTTCAGGGTGAAAGGAACGATAGCACACGATGATCGTCCAACTCAGATCGAATCGCCGTAAGCGACAGAGGTGAAGATGTTGGATCGTGGTCCACTCGTGGAGTAGTGACTGTCGGCTTCTAGACATGCGCAGTGTACAGTATGAGCCTCGCCGGGTTAATTGTATAGATTTACCCCCTCGCCCTAATTTGCAAAAATTAAGCTTAAATCTTGGAGGATCCGCTAAGCCTAATTGGGAGATGCAGCTGGGGCGATGATTGACGCGGGGAATGTGGATCCTCAAAATTCGAAGTTGCTTCAGAGGAATACCATGGCCATACTTGATGACACATTCGTACTTTGATGAAATTGCGAGCTGCATTCTTTGAATCACCAAAAGATTCAGGGGAAGGGGGAAACCCATCTGAAGGGGTCTCCTAGCCAAACACGAGCAACCAAGCTCGGGTAGTCGGCATGTCGTCCAGAGACTTCCGAGCCAAGGCCGTGGAAGGTGTTCACAAGTTGAGGAGCATCCTCCCTCTTTCTGTTGGCATTTGGCTCCACAGTCCCTGCCTATTACCTTTATTTTCCGCTCATTTTCCCCTTCCTCTTCTTTGCTCCCCATTTAGGCCCAATGGCAGTAACGAAATAGCGACTCTGTTCTTCTTGCCACTCCTTTTTCGCAGCTCCGCGGGGCCGTCCACGCGCAGCGCACGCGCACGCGACACCTTAACCTGTCAGATTGCCCGTCATGCTTCGATACCGCAGATATCGCGTATTCCTCGTGTTCGCCGTTATCGCTGTATTCGCCCTCTATAAATTCGGCAGCTCGAGCACGTCGTGGAAAGAGCAGGCGGCCCGTTTGTCGCAGGCGAAAGCAAACGATGAGGACCCTCCGCGGTTGAATTGGCAGCCGAGGCCGCAAGTCGCGAAGGAGACGAAGAAGTTTGAGGTTGAGGTTCCTGCAGCGAAGACGCCGCAGCCGAAGCAGACGCCGCCGCCGATTGCGCCCGTTAGCCGTCCGGTCGAAAAGAAACCCACCCTCTCGCCGAAGAAGCCCGCTGCGAAGCCGACACCGGTTGGCGCTGGAGGTGTTGAGAATGACGATGCGACGAAGCCTGAGTTCACGCCGCTTGCAGAGGGCGGACAGGGAGCGCTGGAGGTGACGCCGTTGCCGTCGATTTCGAGCGTCGAGCCCATACACTGGAAGAAGCTGAGCGAGCATTTCCCCGTGCCTTCGGAGTCGCTCATTAAGCTGCCATCTGGGAAACCGAAGCCCGTACCCAAGATACAGTTTGATTTCAAGAAGGAGTCGCCTGCGCAGAAACAGGATAGGGAGACGAAACTGCACGTTATTCGGGATGTCTTTAAACGCTCTTGGTCGGGCTACAAGGAGCATGCATGGCTGCAGGACGAGCTCAAGCCTGTGTCTGGGGAATCGAAGAATCCATTTGCGGGCTGGGGTGCTACACTGGTGGATGCACTGGATACACTGTGGATTATGGACTTGAAGGAGGAATTCGCGGAAGCGGTTGAAGCTGTGAACAAGATCGACTTCACGACAACCACAAGGCCTGATATCCCGTTGTTTGAGACGACGATTAGATACTTGGGCGGCTTAGTCGCGGCATACGACATCAGCGGAAAGAAGCACAAGAACCTGTTAGACAAGGCGGTCGAGCTCGCGGAGGTGCTGATGAGCGCTTTTGACACGCCGAACAGGATGCCGGAAACCTATTACTATTGGCGGCCGTAGGTTACCTACGCCACGCTAGACTCTCAAAGCTAACTTCATCCAGCGACTTCTCCTCTAATGCTCATCGTGCCAGCAACCGCGTTGTTTTGGCGGAGATTGGTTCCTTATCTGTGGAATTCACAAGGCTTGCTCAGCTTACTGGGGAAGACAAATACTACGACGCAGTCGCTCGTATTACAGATCTTTTTGACGAATTCCAGAATAACACGAGGCTGCCTGGCATGTGGCCTACCTATCTGGACGCTTCGGGCTGCAAGATGATCGAGTGGACACCGGAGATAAATAAGCCTCTTCAGAAACCTCTCCCAGGCAAGGACCTTGATCAGGAGCTACCGGCAGTGGCAGACGGTCCGGTTGTGAAGCAACCCGAAGAGACGGCCGCGGCTACAGTCACAGAAGAGCTCTCGCCTGGGGGACACAAGTATGTACCCCTGGAAAAGCCCGAGCCGTTTGTACTTGTACCAAATGGCCCGAACCCCACGTTCAAGCCACCACCTCCAGAGGAACCGTTACCGATGTGGCTCGGTGACCCAGGAAAGGGCAAGATCAAGGGTTGGGACGCCGACTCTGGCCTTGCAAAACGACAACTCGATTCCGATGATGCAAATGCGTCTCCCGTTGAGGACTCCCCTACTCCCATTGCTACTGAAACGGATGCTGCGGCTGAACCGACGGAGACTCGGCCTACGTGTCAGGAGCAGGGCTTTGCATCTTCATCGGACTACGGCTCGGAAGAGTTCACATTAGGCGGGATGTCGGACTCTACCTATGAATATCTACCAAAGGAGTACCTGCTTCTCGGCGGCTTGGTAGAGAAGTACCGCGACATGTACGAGAAATCCATGGACGTCGTCAAGAAACATCTCCTCTTCCGCCCCATGGTCCCCGACGAAAACGACATCCTCTTCTCCGGCAAGCTCATGGTTCCCTCCCTTAGCGCACCTAGCGAAAAGATCGGCGATCTCGAAGCCGAAAACGCGCATCTGACCTGCTTCGCTGGAGGTATGTTCGGCATGGGCGCTAAACTGTTCGACCGCCCTGAAGACCTGGACATCGCGAAGAAGCTCACCGAAGGCTGCATATGGTCGTACAACATGACGGCTACGGGTATTATGCCCGAAGCCTTTGACGCTGTGGCTTGCGACAGCCGCGAGCACTGCTCGTGGAATCAGACCAAGTATTGGGAGACGCTGGATCCCAGGGCGGACGCGAGGCTGGAGCAGTATAAGGATGCAATGAAGACGTATAAGGAGCAGATGAGCAGCGCAAGCGCCTGGTATGAAGAGGAGCTGAGAGCTATGGCCACACCACCCCCGACTTTGGAGGAGACAGCTGTGGGTGCTGTCGAGGCTAGGCCCACGCCAACAGTTGTTGCAGATCTGCTCGACAAACGGCAATTAGCCGATCTCGAAGACGACGTCCTGGAACAACAAGTTACGCCTCTTAAGGAGTCGCCCGCCCCCGAGGTCTCTCAAGATAGGGAGAGCGTCATGGGAGGCGAAGCGGAAGAGGGAGAAGGACCGCCAACTCCAGTCCAGTCCGTGGCAGAGTCGCCCTCACCGAGCCGCACATTACCCGCTTTCCCAGTCATCTACACCCCGAAAGTCCCCCCCACTCACGAAGAGTACATCAAGAACCGCATCCAAGAAGAGCGTCTGCCGCCCGGTGTAACTTTCATAAAAGCCCGCGGGTACATCCTCCGGTAAGTTCTCCCTCCTCCATCCTCCATCTACTCCACAGCTAACCCGCCACAGCCCCGAGGCCATAGAATCCGTCTGGTACCTCTACCGCATAACCGGCGACCCATACTACCGCGCCGCCGGCTGGCGCATGTTCGAAGCCGTGAACGAGCACACCGCAGCCCTCTACGGCAACTCCGCCATCGACGACGTAACAAGGACGTCTCCCACACTCGAAGACTCGATGGAGAGCTTCTGGCTCGCCGAGACGCTGAAGTATTTCTACCTGCTGTTTGCGGAGGAGAGTGTCGTGAGCCTCGATGAGTGGGTGTTGAATACCGAGGCGCATCCCTTTAGGCGGCCTACATAGAGCAAGCGATCGGGGAAGAGGGGATAGTGTTGTGTTGTTGGATGAGATGGCGTGGCGGGCGTGTGACGGCGTTTTTTCCAATGGGCTGGACTTCTTCGGGCTGCGGCGTTGCTTGCACATACCCCGTGAAGGGAGAGTTTCGCGTTTTTCGTACCGCTTCGTTGGCTTGGTATTATTATTATTGCATTCTGCGGGCACGTCGGTGGGTGTCATCGCATTCGTGTGAATAGCATATCAATGGAGTTTTCTTTCGTTGGTTGTGTAAACCTCGCTTCGCGCGTAGCGAGTCCGTTGCTTCCTGGCGAAGGGATCGTAATACCACTACACTCTTATATACTAGATTTGCGGGGGACTGTTATTCGAGATGGCCGAGTGGGGATGGCGTGTGATTCGGAGTCAAAGTTTTCCAGATATTTCTGGACGTGTTCTCAGAGGGAAGTCCCACTCCTGCTATTATTATGGTTCGAAGCTGAAAGATCTTGCTATGGTACATTACTGGCGCGTTTGGCTATTGTTTTTACGCAGGCGGCGTTTGAACGTGGGAGTGCCGTCCTTTTTGGGCGATGGAGGTGGTTAGTAGGTTGAGAGGGGGAAGGGGTCTGCGTAGATGAGTGATACGTTGTTCAGAGATGGCCAACGAGTGCTGGATCCGAAAGCATGGTGAGCGGCCAGTGCGAGTGTCATGACAATTGGATGATGCTTATATGAGAAAGTGTCCTCTTCTGGGAAGGTGGACAGGCTTTCGAGAAAAAGTCAAGCTGGAAACTGAAGAGATATAAGAGAAAGCAGATATAAGAGAAAGCAGATATAAGAGAAAGCAGATATAAGAGAAAGCAGATATAAGAGAAAGCAGATATAAGAGAAAG